TTTTTTTTTTTTTTTTTTTTTGCAACGGCGCCTTTTCTCCCGTCTCCACTGGGGTTTTATGATTGCTTGTAGCTCTAGTGAAGGGACGTCCGTTTGGGTGGTTTCTGTGCCTGTTGCTCGGAAGGATCCGGTGAGCGTGTTGTGGACCTGATGGTGTCATCTTAGAAATCCATTGAGAGAGCCAAGAAACCGGAAAGAAGGGTAGAGATCTTAAAAGATTCGGTACAGAGAGGGAATCGAATACAAACGGGCAAGATGGAAGTCGCCTCATTCTGTTATCAACTTGTAATATACAGAAATCAGCAATATCAAATATCTACTCTACTGTCGGCACCAGCACGAAATACCTACCTATCCAGGGCAATGTAAGCCAAGCGGGGAGAGAGCCCGCTGGCCCGACCTTTCCGCTTGCTGCGATGAAGAATCTGATAACAGAAACGTTACTACGGATCGTTGATTTAAAAAAACAAGGGTCTGGCTTGCATATGAGGCTATTTGCCGGAGTTTTGTTACCTACTCTCTCCGGTAAGGCAGTGGTAGTAGCAGTAGCTTGTGGAAGACAAGGTGAGTCGAGTTTGCTATCGACATTGATAGAGCCATTTCCTGGCCAATGTCCTCCTCTTACCGCAATGAAATACTACTACATGTGCTAGATCCATTGTCGTGCCAAAACGTGAGCTGTGTTGTTTGTGTCTCCGGCCTCAATGCTGCTTTGGTCGATTCTCTCCCCCCCCTCCTCCTCCTCCCACTCGGGCGTCTATACACTCCCAAAGTATACCCATATAATCCATACTCCGCCCCCAGCGAGATAACCCCTAGCCCTTTGCCATTGCTCAACCGAATCAAGATCCCCCTTCTTAGGCCCTTTCTACCCCCCTCCCAAACACCAATCCCTCCAAAATTGCCAGTCAGAAAAGGTACTAACGAGGGACAGGCCAAGCCTCAGATGAAACTTGATGAGAAGCGTTCCCTTGGCTTGCCTGAATTGGGCCTGGCACCGTTGCGACCAATAGTATAAGGAAAGCAAGCTGGAGCGAGCCAAGCCCATGGATGGGGGTGGGATGAGTGCATCGTTCTCTTTGCTTCTCGGAGAGGGGTCCCAGACGTCCCTCCCCCCTTCACCCCAAAGGCTGATTTGCATGATCCGGGGTTCGGCTCATCTAGAACTAGAGCCAAAGGGGGTGTGCGTAAGATATTCCTATGACCATTCTACTACGGGATATGGAGTTAGTTAAGGGGACCAGGTAGGTCTTCGAATCACCCCATCATGTCGCCAACCTAGATAAAGTCAAAGGCAAGGAATAAAAGGTATATATTTTTCATATATTACGAAAAGAGACTGCGAATATGAGCCCGGAGAAGAAAGAAAAACAACCTGCAAGCGTTTCACAGTCGACTGCGTCTTTGATGGGAACGGACCTCCTGCACTCGCACATACATGGTGTGGTCTATCGGCTCGCCTTTTTTGGCTCTCGACTCGATGTGTCAACTTCGTTGCATTGGCCATGAGAACTCTCTCCCCCATCCCGTGTCTGAAAAGTTCGATGGAACTGCTGCTGGTGGTGGTATCCCGTGCTTCGTGGCAGAGAGCTGCAATCGGTGGCTCATTACTGAACCCCCTCGTCTGCCGTCTTAACACATCCTCGTTTCCATGACACGATCACAAACTGTATCCAACTCTCTCCTGAAAGACACGTGATTGAAGTGCATGGAAACCTTGTATCAGTGCGCCAGTGCGCTCTCTCGAGCCCTGTAAATGATTAATCAAGCGGACTTCTCCTCGTCAATCGTTCCGCTGGAATGACAACCACTGAAAGGAAGCCAATCACACCTCGATAGGGAAATCGGCTTCCGTGTTACACTAGAAACCCTCCTTCGATAAGAAGTAGCTTCGGATGGCTTCGACCATATGCGGAGAAATTGCATAGACCGGATGGGTAGTCGCAATGCGATCCTCCTCGTCGAATATCTGGACGCCGCTCGTATGAGGTGACGCTTCCCAGCTATCGTCTCCAAGAAGGGCTTCATCGGCACGAGAGGCAACAAAGCGCCACTTGTGTTGGGCGGAGCTGAGGCCGGACAGGACGTAGCAGGAATGGTACGCGTCCGAGTATCTGTGCAGATATCAGTGTACTTGCTCCGAAAGTCTCCCCCCCTGAGATTGAGCGCTTACTTGCTAGGTTTGTCCCTCATGCCACCCCTCTTGGACATGTCTTGACAACAGCAGAGGATGTATCGAATAAGCCCGTTCCTGCTGAAGAGGCTGTCGTCTTCATCTGTGGCTTCAAGTGACTGGCTTGTAGGGCCAGCTGTCGGCCCGCTCAGGCTGGCCTCGATCAGGGGCCAACACCCGCCGACCCAGTGGCTATAGCAGCCGTCGACAAGCTTGTTTGTGCGGCCCGAGAAGCCACCCTCTGGGGCGTACTGGCGAGATGAAAGCCAGGAGATGAGACGTGGCATATCCAAATATCTACACACAGGAAAAAGAGTTAGAGCGCAAAGCCCCTCATGACGCTTTATCAAAAGATGGGCACCCTGGGATCGGATACTTACTTTCGAATGCTTCGGTGTGGTGAGTCGATTATTGACAGGCATCCTAGAGCGCAGAATGCGTACGCGCCATGTGCTTCGACCCCGTGCTTTGCTGACACGCCTCCCTCGTACGTCTGGCCTGAATGCGTCGTTTCGTTAGAAAGAGAAGTCACGATCAAAACAGAATCGTCAAGATTGACGGGCGAGAGAGACAACTTACACAGTCGTACCCATTCGCCTAGTCCACTCAGAAGAGTAGTATGGCCGGCGGCAGAGGCAGGAGACTCAGGCGACAGATCCAAAGGCAGGTTGAGCAGTGAAATCACAACGCATGCACAGTAGGCCCCCCTGAGCGAGGCGTCAGTCGGAAGCTCTGACACCACAGCGTGGGCGTCGATTCAAGACGTACCTGACATCCTCCTCGCCTCCGACAGCCATCTGGAACCCGCCGTCTGGCTGCTTGAGCTGGCACAACCACTTCCACATGCTCCTCCTGTCGACCACGTCGTAGGCCTCTTCCCCGCCGACCAACGCCAGCGCGAGAACAACCGCATACGTGGTGGCAAGGTGTGATGCCTGACCGAACCCGCCTCCAAACCCTCCGGTCGGGTTCTGTATGGGACGCACCGTCTCGATGAGCCTGGCGCGATAAGGCTCGACGTCCTCGCCGAGGAGAGACAAGGCGTTGAGGCACCAGTAGAAGATCCACGGGCGGCTTGGATCCGCTCCCACGTACCCGCTCGGCAGCACGCCCAGCTGCTTCCTCAAGAACCTCGCGTGTCGTTCTCTGTCCAGGCGGGGGAGGCCATGGGCGTTGACCTTGTCGTGCTCCAGGCCGCTCAGGAAGGGCAGACACTCGTCGACGGTCTCATCCTGGACGTGCGACGAGTCCGTCTCCAGCTCGTCGCGGATCGGCGGCGGCTGCGTGAAGAGGCTCGGGATGGACGGCCCAGACGCCGGCTGCTGTCCCACTGCTGCTGCGGCCATGCTTGCGTTGTTTCTCAGCTGATGCTTGAAGAGTACTCGAGGACGGCTGCGGAAAGGTGCTCGAGATTTCATCATGCGGAACTTCAGGGCCTTGTCATCTTTTTTAGCAAGGACAAAGGACAGCAGATTGTCAAACCCCGCTCATCCCTCCCACCTTGCTGGCGCTGTGAGCTACCGAATTGACAAGCCACCCTCGGGAAAAGGCACGTTCTTCTCACAGTATCACGTTCGTTAGACGGACGGCATTCAAGGCCCGTGACAAGCAACAGAACAATGGGAAGACGAGGTCGTCGCCATTGGCATTGTTGCCGGCAATATCCCGGCTAGCAAAATAGCGCAGCCCCTCTCCTGTTATACGCCCACTTTGACTGCTCTCGCTGTTAGATGACTCGAGCTTCCTGTTCTGAGCTCAACCTCCTGGCTCTGCCGAGGCTGACGACTATTATTTGTGCTCAAGAATGGACAAGACCTTGGTGAGGCTGAGTCCAAGGATTAGGGGAAATGGCACGCGTAGGTGCACAGAGACATTGTCAGTTGCGCCGTCACCACCCCGCCGAGAGCCATTGCACGAGGCTCCCTAACCAGCTGAAAGATTGTAGGCATGGCTTGAATCTACGTTGAATGCCGTGTGGCTTTAGCCTTTGAAGCTTAACGACAGCGGCGATTACTTGAATGCCATTCAATGAGATTTGCTTGAACGGGTTGGGACATGGCTGAGAGCTAGAGCTGCTGCTAGAAATTCATACCCTATTCTTTTCGCGTTCTGGGTGCGCCTCTTTCTGCTTGAACTTGCTTTTACTTTTCTATCTGAGAGCTTGTAGCGTTCGTGAACGAGACGACGGGAAATTTTGGCGTATCCTCCACGAGCAAGCCCTGCTCCACGGAACTATCACCTCGTGATAACGCATGACGTTTGACTAATGGTGGTCTGGCTGGGTGGTATATCCCTGTTGACAGCAAAGCCAGTCGACAGACATCCAATAACCTCTTTGTCCAGGAGTAACCAAACGGCTGGGAACTCGGCATCCTGATGCCTGTCATTGATGGCTGCTGCTAGTATAGCTGTCAGGTGCTCGACGGCAATCGTATTTCTACAAACTACCGGTAGACGATCCTGGCCATGGAAGCTACAGTACTGATGGACGCACTGCTGGTGATAGTACTGTCTTCCCTTCTAGAAGGCCGACCCTAGAAGTCAGCCCATCTTCCGTCGACAAGCTGATTGTCTCTCCACAATGAGAATGACATGGACTCTGGCTCACAGACCGGACTCATCCGGGACTTCCATCACACTGGTCTGTACGATGAAGCAACAAAACCGTAGATATTATTCCCGTTGCCGAGTCGCACGATGACGGATGACAGGGTAACAAGCCCGTCTCGAGTCATGGTGTCTGTGGGGCCCGTCAAACCTCGAGGGCTTGTCGATGGCAGGAATCATGATTCCAGGAGGCGATGCGGCCGGCCACAGGATTTGACCTCGAACAAGACAATGGTCTTACTACCCCCCAAGCAAACTGATAGCAAGGGTGGACAAATATATATCGGAGCTTCCTGAAACCGACACTCCGACCACTGCGATGATTTTCATGTGTGAGGAACGTCATGGACGAGCACAGCTTCGGATTGTTAAGCCGTGATCAAGACCCGATAAGTGAGCATCGGAATGTGCGTTGGCCAGGAAAAGCTGTCATGGGACAAGCGGGAGCACCCCTGCCAACAAATCTTCACATGTTGCTTCTTCCGACCAGGATACGATGGAAAGTCCCTTGATGGATCAAATAGCCCAGTGGCAACATCTCCAGAATAAAATCCTTTATCAAAAGATATGGAGTCAACCGAGAGCATCCTATCAGTTCTCCTTTTGGTGAGTCCAAGTCGAAAGCGCTTCAGGCTTGGTACTTGTACGCCTATCACAAGTTCGAGACCTGTCGTCTGTGCAAGGACCCCCAGTCGGCTCCTGGGCAGTGGGCTTTCTCCTTCGCCTCTTTTCCAACTTCTCCCAGATCTTCAGAGTGGGTATCGTGATCTTGTGTCTCAGACTGCCGAGGGCAGAATGTAACACTCACACATCACCAGCCTGAGGGCGGGGTTGGGCCGGGACACGTTCGCCGAAGGCTGCTTTTCAAAGTCTCCTGCTGGCTAATCTGGTAAGAGGGCCCTTTCTGAAGCATCTCAGAGGGTCCGTTGCTCACCCATGTTTCCTTTGCCCAGCGAAGAGGCGTTTTTGGCGCTGGCGCTCTGGCCCTCCCGACTCCGGTGGCTGGCGATGGGTCTTCGCCTTCCCAGGGAAGGGGGACCTTGTTAGTAGGAGCAGGGCATCGTAGCAAAAATAGTACGAGATCGTGCGCTTCAGTCTGGCCAGAGCGAGCACGTTTGAAGAAGCGCTGCAGCTAGTACGAGTTGGTAGCAAGGAAAACGGGAGCAGGGCAGGGCAGAGCAGGGCAGGGCATCGTGCAAACGCTGTTGCAGGGGGGGGGGGGGCCGCGGCGGTTGGGCAGCGGAGCGTTTGCCGGCAAGTCGAGTCGAGTGGCGAGAGAGCGAGAATCTAGTAGGAAAAAGTCAGGCAACGAACGGCAGAAACGCGCTGCGGGATTGTTGGAGCCAATATCGTATGCAAATGCATGACAATTGCCAGCACTAGAGCAGACGCGCGCGCGGCGTCTTGTTCACGTACTTGGATGGAGCACCATCGGCAACGGCGTCACGGAGGAGGATGCCTTCATGTTGACTGTCGACCGGCGGGTCCAGATGGTGAGGCGTCTCGTATGCTGTTGATGAGGCAAGCATTCGATGTGATGGTCGTAGTGCTTGTTGCTTGTTAGTAATTTACATGTAATTCAGAGTATCCTTCGTATCAGTTGCTGGTATGTAATATCATGATGACGAAGATTCATCCAAGACGGTTGCTGGCTGGATGGTTCATCGACCCGGCCGTCACCGAGGCACATGGGCATTCGCTGTAAGCAGCTGTCGACCAGTACTTGCATTTCTGGCGGCTCACGCGCTGCTGGACGTGTACCATTTGCTGGGCATATACTCGGTCGAATAGGCCTGCATCGTCAACGCCGGCTAGGAAGAACAGACGACGCGGATGACGGTATCTACCCGAGGGCCAGCATCCAATGGTACGCCAAACGCTCCCTTGTCTCTGGATTAAGTCCCCGAGTCCCAACTTTGCTGTGCAATGGTCCGGCCAATGTCCACCAGAGGGTTAACCGGATCCAGCAATTGAGATCAAGCACTCTAATAAGGGCACATGGGACTCCCGCATGCATATCTCAAGGATGATCGATCGAGAAAGTGGTAATAATAGGTGAACCCCGATCTAGCTGGTTTCTGCTTGGGCGCAACTCGTCGCTACAGACCTTGCCATACTAGAGAGATATGTATGAGATTGTATGTAGTATTATGTCTCGAACTCACTTTGCCCAAGCATGGTGTAGCTCGAATGGCCTTGGCCCCAGGCAAGGCTGGAGGAGGGGGAAGAGGTTTGGCTCAGATCAACGCCCATGTACGAAGTACTCCGTACGGGTACTCGTACGTGTATCTCACGACGTTGATGTGCCACAGGGCAGTGAGTCTCGGCAGGCTGCACCTCGTGCATGTTTGAGTTCACTCAATTTTGCAAAGTTGACGTTGATGGCATACCCGACTGGTCGACGGCTAAAGCGAGCGCCGTGGCAAAGTCCATCTTTTGTCCGAGTGATGGTGGCACGACTTCGCGTACTTTACTTGGCAAAGCTCTTCGCACTCGATTCGTACGTATGCACCACTCGGACTCCGCGTAGCAGAGAAGCAGATCTCCAGCATCGGGGCCTGGCCTTGGTCGGTGATAAGGGTTTAGCTGGAGTCTTAGCTGCTCTGTGTGCACGCCACAAATTGACAGCGCATCAATCCTTCTGCCGCGCTCGACCGGGCAATGCATCAGCGGCGACCGGCCAGCGAGTGAGAGGATGGCATGTGTACGAGGGGATCCCGGGACTCTGGGGACGGATGGGGCGGCTAAGCAGGGAAGCCGGCCGCCCTCAGTTCTTGATTCCTTGTGTTCTTAGCTGATCCATGGCGCGATGCTATTGGATCTCCAGTCAGTATCATGCCTGGGTCAACGCGCAGGGCCGGGGCATCTCCCTGTCCAGAAGCCGAAAAGAATCTGCTGCGAAGGCAGACGACGCCGTTTCGTATCCACTCGCCTGGCTCTCTCGCGCGCTCTCTCTCACATCTCTCTTTCTCTGTCGCTTTGATTTTTTCCTCTGCCGTTCCGATGAACCCTTGCTGCAATGGAACCTTAACAGGGAGCTCCGCGGTGGAGGAGGAGCTGGGAGCTTGATGTGGCTCGCCCGAATCGCGTAGAGCTAGTTGGAGCACGGGGGGGCGATATAGGATGTGCTGTTCAGAGCACGCATGTATGTAGGTCTGAAGCAACCCTCGTATGTACGTATCGTATGGTAACTCGTATGTACTGGGACGGAGCGCATGTGCAGCATGAGGCGTTTGTTCGTATTTGGAAACGTGCCAAAAGACGTGGCAGCTCAGATCTGGCGCACGCAAGAGACGACGGGCTCCGGAATGGAACGCCGTTCCTTGGTCTGCGTCGCTGTATGTACGTGTACTACGGACATGTAGATACTCGCCGGAGAGTCATGATGCAGGCCGTCGCTCCGTTTTTCTGCGCCCAAAACGATGCTACTGCAGCGCTGCTCTGCGGCCGTGATGGCTTCAAGTAGTCGTCGCGGTCCGTCAAGCGCGAGTCGAGGGACGGGATCCCCGCTAGATTAGGTTAGGCGGGCAGCTCGGACTTGAGTTTAGCACCAGCAGCAGTGGCACCAAAAGCACAGACGCTCAAACGGCTGCTTTTGTGCTCCTCTGCCTGTTCTTGTATGTATGTACGAGTACCAGTGTGTCCCAGCAATGGATGCAGTTGTCGCACGTATCATGACCAGCATCACGATAGCAGTGCCTGGGCTGGCCTCCCTGTCCCGGTCGAGATACTGGGAGCTGCTGGCAAGGACCCTTCGGATTGATCCTTTCTCTCCTGCGGTGTCTCGCCCCCGATGCCCCTCCTGCTCCGATACGTGCGGCATGCGGCATCCGACACTGTGCAGGGCGGAGGGACGGCCAGCGCGGCACAGTGCGACATGCAGCCGGCGAGGAACGGTTCCAGCAGCACCAGCACCAGCACCAGCACCAGCACCAGCAGCTCCAGCTCCAGCGCAGCAAAGCAGCAATTGCGCCCATTGGTGGAGCTCGAGCTGTGAGGAATGTGGTGGCGCCATAGGCTCGCAGCATTGGACGCACAGTGCCAGACGCGCAGGCCGTCCAGGCCCGGCGACACAGTGCATTGTTGGGTGCTGCCCTGGGGCTGGGGGTAATAGCGCTCTGTCCCCCCTCTGGTGGCCCGCTGCGACCCCTCCGCGCCCCTCTGTGGCCCTCTGTGGCTCGCTGGGGCCCTCGCTGTGGCCCTCGCTGGATCGCCGGCCGGCAGCCCCACCGCTGTGCAGCTGCAGATGTGCCTTGGCGGCGCCCATTGGCTGCTCGTCCCGGCCCGGGGCTGGGCGACTGGGCTCACCGCCTCTTCACGCCTGCGACGCCCCCCCGCCCGCGATGCCTCCAAATCATGCCAACCCGCCGACCACCCACTCCAACCGCCCGCGTCCCTCCACCTCCAGTCTTCAGTTCATGATCCCGTCACTGACTGATTGCTCTGCTACTACGCCATACCACCGCCAGAGTAGCACGCACAGTCGCATCGCAGCTGCACAGTCGCCATACAGTCGCATACACAGTAGCAGCACTGCTTGTCTGCTTCATGTTGCTTGCTTGCTTGCTTGCTTTGCCCGAACTGACTGTGTGACTGTCCGTCCCATCATCTATCTATTATCAGCCTCTCGACCTTATCCGACTCGCAGACGGACTGACTGGGCGCCCGTGTCTCGTTCTAGGCACCCAGAAAAAAAAGCAGTCCCATATAGCGCCGTCCAGCTGGCCTGCAGCAAACCGTTTCGTTTCTCTCGCACCCCGGACGCTTCCTCTTCTCTCTTCCCTTTTTCCCTTCTCTCCCCGCCGTAATCCCCGATCATCCCTCTCATCAACGCCCAGTGCCAGCATCTCGAAAAAGCGGTGTCAACGTCAACGCCTCAGACCTTGATACAATACAGGCGCCCTTTGCTCGCATCCAAGCGTTCCGCTTGAATTGTTCCTCTTTTCTCTCTCCTTCTCCCCCAGAATGACCCTCGACTACAATGTCAACGGCGGGGGCGATGCCTTACTCGATCTGACCTACGAACAACACCAGCGGGACCGGGCTGCTGCGTATAGCTACTCGGCATCAACCACAGCTCACTCGAGTCCTGGCCCTGCGTCTAACCTCGTCACCGGCTCGTGGAATCTGCCCGTCGACATGAACGCCCACGCCGGCTCGTCTCAGGGAGCTCGAGGCAGCTCCCCGGAGGAATACCACCCAAACTCGCCTCTCTCACACATGTCCAGCCCTCACAGCCACCATTCGCCGGTCCAGCACTCGCCCTACCAGCAACCCACAAACCCGTTGACCGACTGGGCTCTTCATCACCATCAGCAACAGGCTGCTTCGGCGGCTCAGCAGCATCAGGTTCTGCCTGCCCACGACTTGACGCAGTACATCCAGGATTCCCTCTTGAACTTTAACAATACCTTTTCTGGATACCATCATGTCGACTATATGCCGGCCACGACGCAGGCTGCGTTGCAGACGCATTTGCTCGAGTCGCCCTTCAGCTCGATGCCTGCTCTGGATGATACCGCACACGCTATGCACTGGGGAGGCGCGGGAATGGGAAACTGGCAGGACTTTCAAAATACCTTGCAGCTGGATGGGCTGCCGACCGTTGGCAGCAATTCGCCCACTGGAACCTACCTTGAGGTGCTCTCATTACCGTCTTCATCCTCCGGCGATGGCTGGGCAATGGTGGACTGGGGACATCCTGGCCACGAGCTCTTCCAACCTACGCCAAGTGCCGCCATCTTCAACCCCGGCCAGACACTGCATTTGAGGACCAACTCAGATTCTTCCGACGGCGGCAACTCGATCGAGCTCGGTAGCTTTGAGGAGGTCGCCCCCTTCCCCTATTCCCCCTTCTCACCAGACTCTGATGGCCAGGCCGACAACCACAACAACGGCCACCGGAACTGCTACTCGGCTGATGGCCACCATCACCACCATGACAACGGCCATAACCATGGCCACAGCCACAGCCACAGCCATAGTCACAGTCACAGTCACAGTCACAGTCACAGCCCTATCGCTGTTGTCGCCCCAGTTTCCCTCAAGGGCGAGTCGTCCACCCGTCACAGTCCCGGCAGCGGAGCGGGCTCGGTTTCTCCCTCTTCATCCAGCACCACCTCAAGGAGGAGTGCCGGCATCCGCAAGAGTCCCATTGCCAAGGCACCTAAAACCGTCGTCCGGCGCGTATCCAACGGAAAGAAGGACGGATCTGTCGAGAAGAAGGTGGGCCGTAGAAAGGGCCCTCTTTTGCCAGAGCAGCGAAAGCAAGCCAGCGAGATAAGAAAGCTGCGTGCTTGCCTGCGATGCAAATTCCTTAAGAAGACTTGCGATAAGGGGGAGCCCTGCGCTGGATGCCAGCCGTCTCACGCTCGCCTCTGGCAGGTCCCCTGCACACGCATCGATATCAAGGACATCGGCTACTTCATGAAGGACTGGAAGGCCGACTACGAGAGGCACATGGATCGCGGAGTGTCCGTCTACAATGTCAAGGGCTTCGCGCAAAAGGAGACGCTCATGTGGATCACCCACGGCTACGGCTTTGCCCTGCCCGTCATGGTTCGCGAGGTCTTCGTTGCCGATGACAGCTGCTTCTCCGTCGAGTGGGTCGAGTCATATGTCACCACCAACGACACCATCGACTTTGAGACCCGGACGGAGAAGCTCGATGTCGGTGCCGAGGGCATCCGCATTGACGCCCTCTCCGAGTACCTTGACAAGCACATCGAGGGCCCGTTTGAGGACTTCATCGACGACCACTTCGAGGGCACCCCCTTCATCACCGAGATCCTCAAGACTGCCCACCGCTACTACGTCAAGGAAAAGATGCCCGTCATCCGAAAGGCCCTTAAGCTGGTCCTTGCCTACAACTTGACCATGCACATCACCATGGTGGAGAGCCAGGGATCCGAGATGCCCCTCGATGGCCAGATCGACGACGAGGACTCCAAGTACTACGGCCGCACCGTTGCGCCTGTCATGATCAACTTCCAGATTAAGTGTGCTCTGGCTGACATGTGGCGCGAGCTTCAGAAGGACATCCTGGAGGAGCTCTCTGCCCTCTACTCGGGTGTCTACAGCGGCGAGAAGATGAAGAACTGGCCCACCATCTTCCTCCTGGCGTCCATCCTGCTCGCCGTGTGGGAGGAGATGCAGTTCGACTGCCACTACCGCGTGCCCGACCCTGTGGCGGTGAACAAGTTCTGCAACGACATGGAAACAACCCCTGTCGGTGTTATTGTGGGCCTCTTCCACGCCATCTCTCAGAAGCTCCCAGCCTTCACCGACTGGGACACGCGTGAGCACGGCCACCTGCTTCACAACAACGTTGCCGTCTGTGACGCCATGACCGAGGTGCGACAGCATGTTCTCAAGCATGGTAAGTTTGCACCCTCTGTGTTCCTGTCGGACATGACCCTGGTGGGCGAAATGTATGCTAACAAAGTCTGCTCTACAGAGGCTTACCTGCGAACCCGGAGAGAAGCCAAGTTTGACCGCTACGATTTTGATTCGCTTTCGAACAAGTTCTTGTCGAAGCTTGTTATCCGGGCCAACTAATTCTAATCGTTTGTCTGTTTCAACCTATCATCGTCGCCTCTGGGGGGAGAGGCCCGGGTAGACGCGCTCGTCACTATCATTTTTTTCCATACCTCTTCACGACTTTCCTTTCACCTGTTGTTTTTTCACGGTCATTCAGCGACGGCGTTGTGATAAGATTCTCTTCATAAATCTTTGAGAACGACTTTTGAGCTCGCGATCTGCTTCACATTAGCGTTTCTATTCTCTTCATCGGTTGACCGCCGCCATGCAGCACGACGTTATTCCGGAATGTCTTACGAGCTTGATATGACTTTCTTCCACGAATGTATGACTTGAAGAAGAAGACCTCTCCTTTCATTCTCTCTCTCTCTCTCTCTCTATCTCTATCCATCTTTTTACTCTGGACTGGGCAGCTCATCGTCTTTTTACACACGGGAATCTTGCGGTTTGATATATTTGCTTTTCAGTTTTGCTCTTTGCGGTGGAGAGATGGACACTCTCAACCATGTTCGTTATGGGATCAATGTTGCATGATGTAGTGGGTTGGAATTCAGGGCGAGTGGCTATGCAGCATAGACGAACATGCATGGTATAAGGCGCCTTTGGCCACGGCTTTCGACCTGGTCTTGGATGGAGCGGGATGATTTGACTTGCCTTGACCAGTTAGGCAGTAGGGTGCGATGGCTGGGTATGCCACGAATAAAAAAGGCTTTGACTATTGATAATGGAAGCAAATGTTTCTCATGGTGCTGTCTTGAGTGTGATGTTGTCTGTACGAAGCATCTCGTATATTAGCCCCCATAGCTTGGCGAAGCTGGGGCTGTCCTTGAAGCCTGAACCGTCATGTATAGCGAGTGAGGTTTGCGTAGCAATTTTACATTGCAGCAGAAAATTGACTTGATTAGGTCACATTACCTACCAAGTGGCCGCTTTCTGCGTAACAGAGATGGCTCACTTTCTATGTGTTGACCTAGAAAGTGGTCATTCTTGACCTAGAAAGTGGCCATTCTTGACCTAGAAAGCGGCCATCTTTGAGCTGAAAAGCGGCCGGTGATCACTCTCTATGTAACGCCACTTCATGTTGGTAGGTAATCTGACTCTGGCCGCGGTTCTATGAGGCCCGCATCCCTTCGATTCGCTCATCTGGCATTATCATGTTCTCCCAAGTGCCCGATCGGCGGATACAGGAAAGAAGAATGGCATGTAGGTACCCTGAGCGGCATCCACGGATAGTAGGGGCATTTACTGATGAGATTGAAGAAGCAAAGAAACATGCTTGGCGAAAGCAGGAAATGTCAAGTAGAGTGGGGAAACAAATGTGGTATCTTGACACGAGAAAGAATGGTCTTGTTATTTATCTGCGTACATTCTTGAAAGCGCTTGTTTTAGTAGGGCTCGGTTTGGTCTTGGTTGAGCGTCTGTTTGCTTGAGACCTGGAGTTGAGGGGACGCTCGCGGTTCATTTTATACACTTCCTGGCTACATGTATTTACGAGATATATGTCATTTACTCTTCGTCGAACGGTCGTCTCGGGAGCACGTAGGCCGAAGGAATTTTGAAAGACAAAGTGTTAAAGCGTCTACTAAGCTAAGTATTACAATTGTATGCTTGCAGTGGCGACTGGCCTTTGTCAAGGCGCTTGAATCAGGTCGAGATAACAGTGTTCAGTTATAAAAAAACCGTGATAAGTCGAGCTTCTGAAGCTGAGGTAAGGCGTAAAAATCCCATCAAGATGGAACTTGAAGAGCTTGATGCTTTGATAGCTGTACCAAAACTCATGACCCTGAAGGTGACTCCAATGGGGGAAGCATTTTCATCACTTGCCAGTATAACCTTGCACAAATATCGAGAGGCAACAACCCTCATACCTGTGCAGACCCTGCGGCTGGCAAGCTGGGAGAAGCAGAGGAGAATCAACTTGGCAAGGTACCTATTGATTCCCTCAATTGTCAACTAGCAGAGAAGTTCCTTCATGTGATCGTGCACTTGCTGTGCACTTGGCCGCGCTCTCGTGCTCGATTTCTTGTTTCCTTAGGCCACAGAACTTCAACACGCTTATAACTACCACTCAGTTTCTCTCTCATACTCCGTTTACTCTTCCCTCTTCTCTTGTATTCCCTCTGCTCATTTCGTCTCATTTCATCTCTCGTTTTAATCTCTTCTTCGACAAGTCTTTCAAGTACCCGTCAATATCTTTGTCAGTCCACTCCACTCATACTGTTCAACTCAGCTCCCAACATGGCGGACACGCCAACGGGATTCTCTATCCCAACCCATCTCGATCCGGACTTGTTGGAGACCTATGTTCACAATCAGGGACTCGCCATCGATTATCTCGTTACCAAGGGCCATATCACCGTCAACAAAACCATCAAACTCAAGAGGAATGGCCTCTTGTACGCTGAGGGAGAGGAAGATGAGATGGAGGATATTCTTCGCAAGGAGCCATGCTTGCCTCAAGGTGGTGCTGACGCTGCCCTTCGACAAGACAGCCGATCATCTCTGTTGGAAAGCCTCCTGGAGGCTAAACCATTGAAGCGTATGAGTACGGACAAATGCTATTCTACGATCATGGACATTCTGAACAACCTCCCTATAACGGCTCATCCTGCCTGGGGCACTCTAGCAGCAACTCTGGCAGCTGATACTGCATCTGGAAGATCAGGATCGGATCTGTGCGCAAAGATTGGCGCGGCCTGCGAGGAAGAAGAGTTGGACTGGAAAGCGTTCGAGTTCTTCAAGAAAGCCTGCGAAAACGGACCGAGATACATACATTATTCGCAAATTGTTGCCAGCTTGTTTAGGCTCATGGGTGTTCGACAGGGGCGCCCGAATACTTTATGCCTCCTATACGGCAGGGCGCAGTTTCATGACACTGAAACAGCCGACACCATGTTGTCACTGACGGCTCTCATTCAGTACATCCAAATTTCTCGTTCCGGCGAATCGGAAAACGTCTATCCAATCCTACGGCGAAAGTGTCGAAACTTGGGAGAACTCCTCTCCAAGAATAGGGTAGCTCCCAGGTTGCGTCGTGTTATGGAGCTTTATATCGACGAGTCTGCTGGTAACGACATCGAGGTTGACAATGATGACGATCATCCAGAGGGTCTACAGCCGGAGAAGAAACGACGTCGTACCCGGCCTTGAAATATTGGAATGTACTTCTAGCCAAAGTCTTTGGGAGGGACATGATCCGACGGAGCCCAATCCATGGATACTCGGGAGTCCTCATAAAATGAGGCCGTAGATTGAACTCGTCATAGCTTTTGAGGCTATCCCGAGTCGTGAAAGTCTAGCAAGCAAGTCTGCAGCAATCAAGAAGAAAGAAGGAAGGAAGCGCATCTACGGAGGACACGGGATGGATCGAATGCAAGGATGGCTTTGCCAGGGGCCAAAATGGTTTTAGGCGTTTCGGGTTTGTCACTTAGATGTTAGGGAAATACAAACAGCGTCGCAGAGAAACGGCGGAAAGGAGTTTGACGGTTGAAAAGTTCGGACAAATTTTTTGCTATCTCCTTTCAATTGATTTCCTTTTGCACTACACGTCTCGGGTTTCTCTCCATTATTGCTCTTCTGGAGATGAGAGCTGCGTCCTATTTCCATGGGGAGCGTTGCAATATACGGTCGAGAAGTTTGATCTTGCGGCGGACTCCAATGCCGAGATGAGAGCATTGACACTACACGGTATCTAGGTAGACAAGCACCTCTGAGTTGCTGAGGAGTTATTGCATCCCTGCCTGTTTTGTTATCAGATCTTTTAAGCTATTTGCCACCGGCAGGTAGATCGTTGATAGAACCGTGAGGTGAAGTGTTCCCGGGGAGAGCAGGATCGCCAGGGGCCTTGTGCTGCCTTGGCTGCATAGCTGCGACTACGGACGTGGAACAGGCTTGCTATTAGTAGATCATTTTTGTCCGCAACACCGCAGACCTACTTGAGCCGCTACCCAGGCGACAGAGGCCTTTTTCATTCCCGAATGAATTGGCTCATTGAAGCATGAAGGAGGCTTTGTCATGCATGATGCATCTAGAGTAGGAGGAAGTTGCGCGGTATCGCCGGCTCTCGGAAAGGGGATGGAGAGACGAGGCAGGGTGCTTCATAGCGACATTCGCCAATCTCGACTTACAGTCGCTCTCTTCCTATCAGCACCTCGAGCACGTCCAGCAAATGGCTCATATTCCTTTGGCTTCGGAGGTCATCGACGTTGTCGCAGCACACCCTCAATTTGTCATCTTCAACACCATCTCGTCTGGCATCTTCAACATCACCTGAGGCAAGGTCGCATCTTCAACGGTCCAAAGGCAGGGCACCTTTATGGCTTATCGTGAACGGCGGCCCCGCTGGCGGATAGAGGGCTCCACTAGTCCGCTGCGCTGCTCTACCTAAAACAGGACGCTTGTCTCGGCCCCTCCTGAGGTGCAAATCGCGGAGGTGATGCAATCACTGCATTGGTCCTTGCTCGTATGACGAAAGCCTGACCCGAGCGGAAGATTCCTGCCTGTTCCTGGACGGAGGACAAGCGCGCGTGAATGAGGCCAAATTGCGATATCAGATCAGGTAAGCAGACGGTGGACTAGACCAGAAGCAACGATGCACCGTCTGAGGCAGAAATGCGACATATTGGCCTGCAAATTACAGTCGACCATGCCTGGGTGAAGCACCGGCGTTCGGAAGCGCAACTACGTCACTGATGCTGACCGCTGGTCCGATAACGCGATGGTACGAGTACGAAGGAAGACGTAGATTCATGGACATGCGGCATCTCGGGCGAAAGGCGGCAAGTCGGTTCGGGCACAATCAAATTTTGCCAGGACAAGGACAGTGAACAGAGACAAAGAATGGGAGGATGGCAGTGCTTTAATAATATTTTCACACTCATTGTTCGCCCCCCTCACGCGCATGTCGTCGCCACGCTGATGAGCCGCAAGCTGCGCAAACAGGCGACGAATGCCAGTGAACAGCGCCGTTGCGCTCACTCTTGCCCGGATGACACACCAGCGGGGCCCGCTATTGGACGGTCGCCGCGGCGATAAGCCCCACCCGCGCATCGACAGGCTGACTGTCCGCTGTGGCCAGGCACTTTCCAGGAGCACCTGTAGCACCTGTAGCGCCCCTAGCGAGCGCCTGGCTGTGATTTATCCGGATCCGGGCCCACCGGTACTTTGCATTCCACTGCAGAGCCGCGCGCGGATGAGGTACCGTCGGCGTCGCGCTTTCCCCGGACGGTTCTGGATCATTCTCGGGGCTAATGGCTGATGAATCAACGACCGGGGCTACTTGCCACCACTCACTCGCCGCGGTACGTCCCAGTGACATCCCCCAAGGTGAGCGAGATGGGGCCCGTGCAGTTACCGGCTGGTCACTGCGCTCCCCTCCTTTCGCCGCTCGCACTCGCCAGACGGTCACCGCCCCCTTCAGGCTGCCACTCCCCTCGGTTCCTACATAAGGCCTCTTCCTGCCCATCGTCAGCCAACCTCTCCCTCTTTTCTTTCTTTCTCTCCATACTCTCCATCTCATCTCTCTTCTCCTACCTAAGGAATAGCCCTTAACAGCGCATCTTCTTGCTCTATCTTCGAATACTCCAGTCTCAACAGCGAACAGCACCCAGTCGCCATCATGCAAATCTTCGTCAAGACCCTCACCGGCAAGACCATCACCCTCGAGGTCGAGTCGTCCGACACCATCGACAATGTGAAGTCCAAGATTCAGGACAAGGAGGGCATTCCCCCTGACCAGCAGCGTCTCATCTTTGCTGGAAAGCAGCTCGAGGATGGCCGAACCCTCTCCGACTACAACATCCAGAAGGAATCCACCCTTCACCTGGTTCTCCGCCTGCGTGGTGGTATGCAGATTTGTAAGTTCTTCAGCCTCGTCTTTTTACCAAGCAGCCAGTGGCTAACAACTTCTCAGTCGTCAAGACCCTGACCGGCAAGACGATCACTCTCGAGGTTGAGTCCTCTGACACCATCGACAACGTCAAGTCCAAGATCCAGGACAAGGAGGGCATCCCTCCGGACCAGCAGCGTCTCATCTTTGCTGGCAAGCAGCTTGAGGACGGCCGAACCCTCTCCGACTACAACATCCAGAAGGAGTCCACACTCCACCTTGTCCTCCGTCTTCGCGGTGGTATGCAGATTTTCGTCAAGACCCTCACAGGAAAGACAATCACCCTGGAGGTCGAGTCATCTGATACTATCGACAACGTCAAGTCCAAGATCCAGGACAAGGAGGGTATTCCCCCGGACCAGCAGCGCCTGATTTTCGCTGGTAAGCAGCTGGAAGACGGCCGCACCTTGAGCGACTACAACATTCAGAAGGAGAGCACCCTCCACTTGGTCCTCCGTCTCCGTGGTGGTATGCAGATCTTCGTCAAGACACTGACGGGTAAGACGATTACCCTGGAAGTGGAATCATCCGATACCATCGACAACGTCAAATCCAAGATTCAGGACAAGGAGGGTATTCCCCCGGACCAGCAGCGCCTGATTTTCGCTGGTAAGCAGCTGGAAGACGGTCGTACTCTGAGCGACTACAACATCCAGAAGGAGAGCACCCTGCACCTGGTTCTCCGTCTCCGTGGTGGCCAGTAAATTCACTTCTTTCTTCACGATGGTACTCTTATGATTGGTTGGACGACTCGGCGTTTTTGGGAACTTCAGGCAAATATGGGAATTTGGCCATTTGCGGTGGTCATCAATATCTTATGTTAGCACACTTCAGCGTCGCCTAAAAAAACGGCACGCTTCAATACGACTCCAGACCGTCTTTCTAGACAGGTCTTTTTCACAAACTTGTTTTCTTTAGAATCGTGAAGTCTTCTGTGAACTCCGCGTGAAATGACTGCTACGGTATGCCACTTGTCGAGTAAGAGCGTGCTCCGGGCGATGCGTCACATGCCTCTAGTGGAGTTGACGCCAGACCCGCCACCTTCGGCACACTTCGCAAAGCTTCCGACAATTTATAACCATTATCCACCCAGGTCTTGGAAATGGGCTCTTGACCTGGGATATATGCTCGACAGGCGCCGCCATGTTTGACTGCTGGCTTCTAAAACAGTTTTCATCAATCAGACACTTCTTTCCGCCTTGACGCCAATAGAGATCCTTTCATCAAACACGACCGCTAGCTCTCGCGCAACTTACCCGGTCCAACCACTGTCTTGGCAGCTTCACCATCGGCGGCATCTTAGAGTAGTCTTACGAGGATGTCGAGATCGGTGTCTTGGAAATGACTTCATATTTCTTCCATATCAAATTCGAGCTCTATCCGACCGAGAACCCTGCAGCCGGTGATCAAACATTCGAGGCGCGGAGCCGCCGGGACATTTGGCTGCCATCGTCCGAAACCAGCGTTTTCGACGACCTCCCCGCCCATCCTCGGTCTCCCCGCCCGGCGACGCGCAATACCGAGACGCCGGATAGAAACAGGCGGATATCTTTTGGAGCTCTGGCGGCCTTGGAGCGCAGAGCGGAGATTGGCGCAAGCTCGAAACCCGGAGTCATCGACTGCGGCACCCCGCGCCCACCGACGGAAAACGGCGAACGGGACAGCAAGGCCTTGCCAGAGCGACAGTTGCTGGGACGAGTGAACAGCTTCCCACCGCCGTCGTCGACAGCTGCCCTTAAACCGCGGACTGCGGTTCGAGATTGGAGGTTCGGGCGCATCAACATTGAGACGCTGGATCCCGACTCATTATACAATAAGAATATGGCTGGAGAAGGCAGCAAATCAGCTGCTGTTGCCGGACCGTCGGCCGCGCCCGCTCTGGGGCCATCCTTCAGCGGCCCAGGTACGGCGACAAAGGCCGAGTTTGTCGAGCTCGAGGGCAAGAACACCGAGGTCGGATGGGGTATTGTACACTTTTACAGGGAGGCAGAAGAGACGCCTGGGCTCGCCTCCAACACCGAGGTGGCAGAAGTAACCGAAAATGAGCAAGACTGCACCACGCTGTGCATCCCAGCCGTCCCAGCTTACATGACGCCGGCGGACTTTCTGGGATTCTTGGGTGAGCGATGGCAGAGAGACATCAGTCACTGTCGTATGGTTATGACCTCGCGGATGAACCGATATCTGGTCCTGCTCAAATTCCGGGATAGCAAACGGGCGAAACTGTGGAGGAAAGAATATGACGGCAAGATATTCAACTCGATGGGGGTATGTTGCAATCACCGAAAAATCATTGATTCACTGGTCAAGATTACATATCTAACGTGCAAATAGTCGCAAGCCTGCCACGTAGTATTCGTCAAGAGCATCACATTCGAAACACCAAGCGTATCGCGGGGGCTCGATTACTCCATGCCGTCTTCCTCGGCAGCCGTGTCGCACAGCCTGAAGCCCTTCCCACCTCCAACCCCGAATCTCGTGGAGCTGCCCACATGCCCTGTCTGTCTGGAGAGGATGGACGAGACGAGCGGATTGATGACCGTGCCGTGCTCCCACGTCTTCCACTGCACGTGCTTACAGCGCTGGAAAGGAGCCGGCTGCCCAGTCTGTCGCTTTACGAACCCTTCAGAAGAGAGAGACCCGTCAAATCCTTACAGCCAGCCTTTCGGAGGGTCAGTCTCGAACCTATGCAGCGTTTGCGACTGTGCCGACGATCTTTGGATATGCTTGATATGTGGCTACTTGGGTTGCGGTCGATACAAAGGAGGACACGCCAAGGATCACTGGAAAGACACAGCGCACTGCTTCGCCCTGGAGCTGGAGACACAGCATGTATGGGACTATGCGGGCGACATGTGGGTGCATCGTCTGATTCGCGATAAAGGCGATGGCAAGGTTGTTGAGCTACCAGGAAGAAGCAGTCACACGGCCGATGGTGAAGGAGCAAACGAAGACATGGTTCCGCGGGCAAAGCTGGAGACGATTGGGCTCGAGTATACCCACTTGATAGGCAGCCAGCTCGAGTCACAGCGGGCCTACTACGAGGAGATGGTGAGCAAGAGCGCCAGCAAGGCGTCAAGGTACGCAGCCGAGGCTGAAAAGGCGATCATGGAAGCGTCCGAAGCGCGGGAACAACAAGCCGTCTTGCAAAAGGAATATGAAGTCCTAAGCCGGGAAACGCTCCCGCAGATGGAGCGCGATCTCGAGCGCGAGAGGACCAAGGCGAAGAGGGGTGAAAACCTCGCCAGGAACCTGGGCCAGTCGCTTCAAGAGGAGAAGCGGATCAACGAGGGACTGATGAAGCGTATCGAGCATCTGGACGCGGATGTGGAGGCGATCCGCAAGCAGCTGGAGGAGCTGAGGGCGGAGAATGCGGAGCTGAAGGAGATGAATCGGGACTTGACAATGTTCATCTCTGGGCAAGAGAAGCTCAAGGAGTTGGAGAGCCAGGGACAGATTGAGGAGGGGGAGCTGGAGGGGGGGACGATGAGTGTTGCCGAGGGGAAGAAGAAGAAGACGAGTAATAGGAGGAAGGCGAAGCGGTAGATTGGGTTCCTCTTCAGCCTAGAACTAGTAGTGGTAATAGCAGCGGTAATGCCATTCATAAGATTAATGACATGACAGAGGTTTAAATTTTGAGCAGCTTTCTTGGAGGTATTGCTGCTATCTGCTCGTATGAGTATTATACCTGTCTGTGAATGTGAATGTGTGCAAAGCCGTTGGTACAAATCCCCAGTGGCCTACCTATGTAGTAATGAAACCTAATGAAACAGTCTCGGAGTCAGTGCCGGCCTGGTTGAACCATTGGATGTCGTGGTAAGGAAGCATCAAGAGTCGGCCGCTTGCGTGTTCAGTTCGTTACGTGATGGAACCCATCTGGTGTGGAGGAGATTGATTTAAGTTTCTTAGAGCTCACGACAGATCTCACGGATTCTACATCCAGCATAAGGCAGGGGATAGATAATTTGACCAAGGATGCGGGTTAAAGTTTAGCGAGCGTGTCTTGAGCATGAGCCGTCTTTTACTCTGTCTGAGGTCACCCTGCGATTTGTGTGATGAGAGACAGACTTGGAAGCATTCTTGGTCTCCTTGCGTTGAAGAAACACAAGTGAAACAGTCATATACTAGTACCTAGTAGTAGGTAGCATTTCTCTTCTTGATTGTTCTCTCACCCCAGATAAGTAGTGAGACATCGTTATCACTATGTTGTACGTAGTAAAAATTCATCATTCTTAAATCTGGACTCCATACCCTTGTCTCTTCTAAGCAGCCCTACGAAGTCATCCTGGGAGTCCAGCAAGCTTCTCTTCTGCCGGTGGTCCGTCCGAGGTTACCGCAGGTACTCTTAGCTAACCTGAACGCTTTGCTGGGATAGGTTCTACTATAGTAAGTAGTAAGCTTGAGCTTGAGCTTGAGCTTCTACCCCCCCTTGTAGCTGTTACTGGAAGGGGGTTGTTGGAGGTTTGGCGGTCTTTTTGGGTGCTGGCGATGCTGAGGTTGGCCTTTGTTAGTGGCGCGCTCTTGACGTGTTGATCGAGGTAGCGAGTACATGCAGAGAGGAGTGAGGGGAGACGAGAGCGGGGTCAAGGGAGCTTTGGAAGGTCGCATTCAGCGGTACCTATACCTTGAGGCACCACTAGAATGAGGTACCTACATGATGATGCCCCCGGTCAACTGGAGATTTTCTTCCTTTTTCTTCCTTTCCTTTCCCTACCGTGACGTTTCTCTTCTGCTTCTTCCTCTTCCTTTATTCTCTCCTCCTTCTGGACCTCTTCGTCGCTTCTATTTCCCTTTCTCTCTATCGCAAATCTATAAACGAGCTACTCTCGAGATAATAAGCTCAAGCCGTCATCCTATCCTTGCTGGCGCGAGCCCCTCTTCCGCTTCGCGCCGGAATCGTCATCCATTCCTGCTTTTGGTCTAAAAAGCTTCGAGCTGCGGGTGATCTGTTCTTGTCCACTTTTATTTTTTCTCTCGTCATCCACCTCGTTCCTCTGTTCACTTGAGCTCGACAGGCAGAGCTATTCGGGCTTCTGTGATCATTCATCCAGCGCTTCGACCACGGCGGCGCGCGGGTTTATTTGCGCATTCGTGACCCAAGACTCGGATCTGGTACCAGCTGCGCCGGCCGCTATACGAGACGAACTGATAAGCAACTACCTTACAGAACAGAGCTGCAAGCTGGAACAAGGCGCCGCAGCGATGGCTTCGCAGGAAGCTGGAGACAAGGCGGCGGCCGAGCTGAAGGAGGTGTTGGGAGATGAGTCCCAGCAGAACCAAGAGAACCAGCAGAAACAGCTGTCGCAGCAGAATCAGCAGACTCGACAGGACCAGCAGCCCACGAAGGAGCTCTACCCCATGGTGAACTGGAAATACGACCTGTTCCTCTACTTTATGGGCAACCTCGTCAATCTGTTTTTCAGGGAAGTCGTGCCGCGGGGCTCGTGGAGGGTTCCGCAGACGGGACCGGTGCTCTTTGTCGCTGCGCCGCATGCGAACCAGGTATGAGGTTCATTTCTGCGATGCTTGCTTTGCGCCGAGGCGAGGGCAGGAGGCAAAAGGCAAAATCAAAGCTTACTTTACTTACACGCCTCGTCTCGATAGTTTGTTGACGCCATTCTCCTACAACGCACGCTGCGCCTCGATGCTAATCGTCGAGTATCCCTCCTGATTGCGCAAAAGTCTGTCCACGGCTTCATCGGCTGGGGGTCCCGCCAAGTCGGCTCCGTGCCCGTCGGCCGAGCGCAGGACGCCGCGAAGCCCGCGACGGGCCTCATCTACCTCCCAGATCCCATCAACGACCCGACGCTGATCCGCGGCGTGGGCACCAAATTCGGCGAGGGCGAGGGTGAGCCGCAGGGCATGTTGTTTCTGCCGCCGGGCAAGAAGACGTCGGGGGAGAGTGTCCACATCGACCAGATCCTCGGCCCCGAGGAGATTCGCATCAAGCGGCCGTTCAAGACGCAGCTGGCTCTCCAGCAGCTCACCGGGCGCGACGACATCGACGAGGAGGGCCGATTCACCAACAAGTCCGCCAACGGCCCGGCGCCGGGATTTAAGGGAACCAAGTTTAAGCTCGCGCCGCATACCGACCAGTCCAAGGTGTACGAGGCCGTCTTTGCGCGCCTGAGGAACGGCGGCTGCGTCGGCATCTTCCCCGAGGGCGGCAGCCACGATCGCTCCGAGCTGCTCCCCTTGAAGGCCGGCGTGGCCATCATGGCCCTGGGGGCGCTGGCCGAGGCGCCCGACTGCGGCCTCAAGATCGTGCCCGTGGGCATGAACTACTTCCACCCGCACAAGTTCCGCTCTCGCGCGGTCATCGAGTTCGGCCCGCCCTTTGAGATTCCGCGGCACCTGGTGGACATGTACCGCAACAATCAGCGCCGAGAGGCCATCGGCCAGGTCCTCGACACCGTCTACCAGGCGCTCAGCTCCGTTACCGTTTCGGCTCCGGACTACGACACCCTGATGATGATCCAGGCGGCGCGACGGCTCTACAACCCCACGGGCAAGAAGCTGCCTCTGCCGGTGGTGGTTGAGCTGAACCGCCGTCTGGCCATGGGCTACGAGCGCTACAAGAACGACGAGAGGATAACCAGCCTGTCCAAGAGTGTCAAGGAGTACAACTCACAGCTGCGCTATCTCAACCTCAAGGACCACCAGGTGCAGTACGCCACCATGTCCATCTGGAAGGTCATTGTGCTCTTCATCTACCGCTCCATCAAGCTGCTGGTCCTCTTCCTCTGCACGGTGCCCGGCCTCGTCCTGTTTTCGCCCGTCTTTGTGGCCACGAAAATCATCAGCAGGCGCAAGGCCAAAGCGGCGTTGGCGAGCTCAACTGTCAAGATTCGCGGACGCGACGTCATGGCTACATGGAAGATTCTCGTTGCCTGCGGACTGGCACCCACGCTGTACCACTTCTACTCGATTATCGTCGTGTGGAGGGCGTGGTACGACCGTCTCTGGGGTTACTTGCCAGAATGGATGCCCCTGATCCTGGTGTACTTTGCCACTTGGGTGGCGTGGATGGTCATATCCATCGCCGCGCTGCGGTTCGGTGAGGTCGGGATGGACATCTTCAAGTCGCTGCGGCCGCTGGTGCTCTGCCTGGTTCCGGCATCCGACTTCAACATTCACAAGCTGAAGCAGAGGCGGGCGGAGCTCAGCGCCCAGGTGACGGACCTGATTAACACGCTCGGGCCGGAGATGTTCCCCGACTTTGAAAAGACACGGCTGGTTCCGGACATCTCCAAGGTCGAGACGGGAGGAACCCAGGCGGCGTCGTCCACCGAGGCGCGCGCCCGGCGAGACAGCGACCAGTCCAGCGCAGGTGCCGGTGCGGAGTCGCCGCCGCCGCCGTTACGGCGCAGCACGACACAATCCAGCCGCTTGCTGCCTCGCAACGACTCATTCAGTAACATTGGCAGGGTCGGCATCTTCTCAACACGACCGCCATCGCGATCACGGAGCCGCTCCAACAGCTCGGGCGGTGGCTTTGGCTCCAGCGGGTTCCACATCAGTGGGTTCACGACGCTGGATTCCAAGGATGGCTTCAATGAGGCCAGCCGCAAGATTAGAGAAGCGATGAAGGACAGGCGGAAGAAGTCGGACAAGGTCAAGATGGAGGCGGGTGGGCACGAGGATGAAGAGTCTGATAGCGATGAGGATGGGTATAATGAGGCGAGGAAGAAGAATATCTGAAGACGGAGAAAGGCAGACATTGGCCCGCATAATGAGATGCGATCTGGTGCGGCTGATGTGCGTTACAATCTGATTTCTGTTCCTGTTTTTCCTTTTTGTTCGGTTTTCTGGTTTGCATCCTTGCGCATATAGGCATCTTGTGGAGTCCAAGACAGGAATATGGAACACGAAACATGATGGCAGATGAGGATTTTGACTTGATGGTTGTGGGAGTTTGTGATGCACGAGAATGCCGACGGAAGTTGGGCTTCAAGATGCGTACGGGTTGGCCTTTGTTTTTGGGCCCCTGGAGGGATTGTGAACAGCCGTGCTAGCATTAGGCATCTCCGCACAATGAGATTCTGCTTACGATTTTGAACATTTCTAGCAAGGTTGAAAAGCATGTGAGTTGATAGGTGGGATGTCCGCCGGTGAATTGAGAAGTCGAGCTCGGAGATGTCGGCACAAAGACGCGGTGTGGGGGTTTTTAGCTAGTATTCCAAGAAGGATTGTGATTACGTGTCGAGAGGGTTTGGAAACGAGAAATGGCATGGATTCCATTGGTGATGTTTGTCTGATTGGACATGATTTGGCGTGACGAGATGACGACGACGGCGGCGGCAAGAATGAAGAGGAGGAGGATTTTTTTTCTGAGGATCTGATATGATGGGCAAATGGATTTCATGTGATGACGGGAATTCCCCGTTTGGGGGCGAAGCCGCACTCCGCAGCGTGGCCGGCAGGTGCAAGCCGGGGACGGGAGAGAGAGCCTGAATGAACAGCTTGCGTAATAATCAGAGGAGAGGATGTGATTGGACCGGGGCTTCGTGAATAATACGTGTATCCATGAACTTTAGCGGGCCTGGTTCCGATGGGCCATGGAATCATTCCGAGGGCGAGACGCCGGATCTGATAAGGGAAGTTCGGGGTGGGATGGACGGGGCGGGCGGGCGGGCCAGGGGTTCGATGTGTTGTTTGTTAAATCCGAGCTTTGGGGTGCTTGTTTCGGGTTGGGCGAGGATGTGCAGTAGGTAAGGTAAGAAGGGATTAAATGGTTGGGATAGCCCCTTGGGGGTTTGTTTGTCAAGGAATCTGTTATTCATTCTGTTCTTCTATAGTCTTTGTTTCTTTTGAAATCATTGGTTGAGAGGCAAAGGAAGCATTAATAAGGGAAAATACATCAGCGGCGAAAAAATAAGGGCTTCCTGATATCCACTTGGCCTTGTCTCGGAGCTACTCTTCTTCTTCTTCTTCTTCTCTCCTTCATCATGTCCACCAACAACACAAACGGCGGCACATCGCGCATGCCCGTCAAGCAGAAAATGGCCGTGTCCCTCAAATCCCTCGTCAGCTCCGTCCTCAGCGCGGTGCCCGGCGGCGTGGCCAGCGCCATCACGGGCCCGTCGTCGGACACGGGGCCGGCGGCCATGGAGGCGCTGTTCCCGCGGACGCGGCCCGAGGCCGACGGCGACGAGTGCCTGCACGACTGCGACAGCTGCTCCGTCAAGTACCCGCGCGGCTTCAAGGTGGACGAGGAGGACGTGCTGTACGGGCAGGTCAAGGGGTGGAGCACGCATGTGCTCGTCGGGACGGGCAAGACGGACTGGGTGCGGGACGTGGCGGACGAGAGGGGGAGCGTGATGGAGGCGATCCAGAAGGTTGGGGGGGTTACGAATGGGGTGAGTTTGTTTGTGTGTCTTTTTCCTTTTTCAGTTGTAGCTTGTGAGATTGGGGGGGTGGGATGTGAAGTTGGGATGAGAAAAGAGATGGGGGAAGGCTGAATGAGATTGTGATGAGATGAGAAGTGACACACATGGAAAGGCTGACGAACTTACACACAGAGACTCATGCTGTCCGCGTCCAACCTGCCGACGCCTCACGACACAACCGACTACTCGGAGCCCACCACCGTCCTGCTCCTCCCGGCCTTTTGCCTCGTCCACAACGTCCACCCGCGCAACGTGCCCCAGCTCATCGCCGACGTCGTCAACCGCGCGCCCACGACGTCCTCCCCGCTGACCCCCTGGCAGTCCTCCATCCCCTCCTCCCTCCCCAGCCCGGACGCCTCCTCCTCCTCCCTGCCCTCCCTGCCGCCCCTGACGGTCGAGTCCTGCCCGCACAGCGCCGTCATCCTCATGTGCAGCCAGCGGACGCGCGACGCGCGCTGCGGCCAGAGCGCGCCGCTGCTGCGCAAGGAGCTGGAGCGGCACCTGCGGCCCCTGGGCCTGTACCGGGACCTGCACGACGAGAGGCCGGGGGGCGTGGGCATCTACTTCATCAGCCACGTGGGCGGGCACAAGTATTCGGCCAACGTCATGGTGTATCGGCGGCCGAATGCCTTTGGCAAGGATGACGAGCCGTTGCCGGAGGGCGTGGACGAGGCTGTTGCGGCCAAGGACGAGGAGGCGGAGGGAGGAGAGAAGGAGAAGGAGAAGGAGAAGGGGGATGTGGGTGCTGCGCAGTGCATCTGGCTGGCGAGGGTGAGGCCGGAGGACTGCGAGAACTTGGTGCGGTATACGGTTTTGAAGGGCAAGGTGGTGAAGCCCGAGAGGCAGTTGAGGGGAGGGTTCGATAGGAGGAAAGGGTTGATGAGTTGGTGATGATTCATCTGGAGCTGGGATTGTTTTCTTTTTGAGGAGTTATTAGACTCTATTTTGGTATCATGGAAAAGCTAAGAACATGTAATGAACAAGGAGGTTTTCGATCCTTGATGATAAACCCCAACCCCACAATCTCCCACGTCCCATGAGAATGACTCCCCCCCTTTTTCCCACCAAAAAGTCTTGGGTCAATATCCAGCCACCACTCTCAAGAGGTCAATGGCGACAGCACTCTCCCTGGCATCCCCTCGGAGAGTCCAGTCCGCTAGACGTCCCACTGCTTTCTCCATCCTCCGATTCAACGGCAGCTTGCTTTCCCTTGGACGAAGCAGCAGCAGCAGTAGTAGCTGGCACCGGCCAATCGAAGAAGCTGCTCTTCTTCGGCACAGGAGCCGCTACCTTGGAGTTTGACTCGTTTGCGCTCCCGTCAACGTTGACGACGTTCCGAGAAGACGAAGAAGAAGGAGAAGAAGAAGCCACCGGCGCAGGCATCGTGGTCGGCGCGTGATGAACGCGTAACCCCCTCTGATACCGATACCGATACCGATAATTCTCCCCCCTCACCAGAAGCGCATCGCTCCTCGCCAGCACAGCGCCCAGCTCCGCCGCGCCCACGCGCATCATGCCATTCGCAACCTCCCTCTGCCGCGTGATTCTGCTCACTCTCTGCTTGCTCTCCTCCTCGTCGTCCATCAGATCGCGCAGCTGATTGAGTTTCTCCATCCAGGCGTCGCTGCTGCTGCTGCTGCTGCTGCTGCCGATGCCCACGGGCGACTTGTCGGACAGGATGGCGTTGGTGACGGCGTACACGTCGTCGTCGTCGGTGAGAATGTCCATCTCGTGGCACAGAAAGTCGAGGGGGCTCTGGGAGAAGAGGTCCCAGGCGGATTGGGCGACGAGGCTGGATGTGCGGCCGAGGTGTGCGGTTGCTTCGGCGTGGCGCTGGTGGAGGGTTCGTTGGGCGTGGCGGAGGAGGTTGAGGCATGTGGAGAGGCGCTGCTCGCGGAGGAGGAGGAGGAGGTGTGCTGATGAGGACGGATGGTCTGAGGAGGATGATGGAGGTGTGTTTTTTCCGGTTGCCTGGGAGGGTTGTTGTTGTTGATGTTGTTCGAACATTGTTCGGAGGAGGAGAGGTGTGAACCGTCCGGTTGGCATGGCGGATGATGATAGTTTCTGTGTTGGTTGAGGAGGAAAGGGGAAGCCTTGGGTTGAGAAAGGAGGGAGGGAGGATGTTGACGATATGAGATACTCGCGGGGGACTTGGTTGGAGGATGCTGCGTCGGACATGTAGGACGAGGAGCCTGACGATGCGGAGGGAGGAGGAGTAGTCATGGTTGACGGGGGAGTTGTTCCTGTGTGGAAGCTGATGGTTTGTATAAGTGAGTTGTTTTGGTTACAGGAGAGGCAGATGTCGCTGGAGTTGTCGAGCCGGAGGAAAGCTGGGAGAGGAAAGAGAGCAGAAGAGCGGGCGTTGGCGGCGGCGGAAACGCCCATTCTTTTATGTTGATGGACGGAAGCAGTGATTCAGAGCGTTTGCGGGATGGTCTGCTCGGGGCCAGGGGAGGTGTGTTTTCTGTGTTGATCAGGGAAGGGGGAGGAAAAGCTTGGGAGTTGTCTGATTCACGTATAAGGGGCGTGTAAGTGCCGTGTGGACGAGCGTCTTCTCCATGTAGAACTTGCAAGGACTTGGGGCGCGAAAGCACTACATATCACACAAGTGACCTCATGCCAGGTTCGTGCAAGAGAAGGAAAGAGTATGTGAAAAGTGTAAGTGATTTGTATCTCGTATCATGTCTTTCAACGAAGTCCTTGTCGTGACGTGGATTGGGATGCTCTCATACGCACCCCCAGTCTTCATCGCCCTCATTATCCCGCCGTGGACAAAGCATATGTCCATGCTCACACACGCCCATTCGTTTCAACACATCAAAATCATTCCCATCAAACGCATATACAACGCGCTGTACAATATCCAAAAGAGCCCAGGATCACGCAGATCTATTCCAATGGCATGGGGTTGCTCCCAACGCGAAACAGAATGCTCCGAATGAGAAAGTTCGTAAATGGCCATGACCATAACCCCAAGAGAACATGAAACAAATTATCCAAGCAAAAGAAACGCCTCATATCAACAAGAAAGAAAAAAACAACAAGTTCGTAGCCCATGACAAAGAATCTCGAGAAGGGATCCTTTGAATCAGTGGTGCTAGTCCGCCAAACTGTGCGAGTTGCTGCTACTCGACGCCGACGTGACCGTCAGCTCGCGCCGCGCGCCGTGGACGAGCTTGTAGATGCCGAACGAAATGGCCGCGAGCACGACGAAGAGGACGATGATGATGATTGCGATGACATAGTTGCGCTGCGTCATGGCGGGTGGTTTCTGTATTCTTATTTTCTGTTGTTCTTGGTTTGGTATGTTGCTCGTTTGGCGCGGGGGGGAGATGGTGAGAGTGTCGGTGAGAGAAATGGCCAACGGCTTCCAATCGTGTTGTTCTTCGTGGTTACTCGTTCAGTTTGATGCGACTCAGATTTCACGATTGCGCGTGATTGACTGTGCGACGGCGATTAGCAACTCTCAGTTCCCCTCGTCTTGTCTCTCGTCTCCAATTCAAGGCCCTTTTTTCAACGGAAAGCGACCCAATGAAGCGCAAACGGTACACATACCCAAAAAGTAAACAGATCTCGTCACCGCAAAAACACGCAGTAAACAGAACGCTTATCGCCAAAGAGAAACCGCTCGCGCGAGTCAATCCAGCGCGCTCAATGGAGATCCACAAGTCTAAGCAAGATGAGCAACAGAGTAGCTAAACCCGCGAAAGATATTCAATTCGTCGTCGCCGTCGTAGAATCGTAACAACATCAGAAAAGAGAGCACGACAGAATAGGCGCCGACAAAAAGGCACACCCCAGTCTATATACGAACCGACACCGTTGCCCCGCCACCTGCTTTACACGACACTCTCTCGCTGTTTTGTGCAAAAAAATCGCAAGGCTGGGGAAAACAGCTATTTTAGCACCTCCATCCCATCCCATCGCATCACAATGCTTGTTCCTGGACTAGCAGCTCATGTGGCTTACTGTACCTCAGGTTCTCTCCCCTGCAGCTGCTGCGCCGCGCGTTTGCAGGGGTTCAAAGCTTTGCTGTTCAGCGGGGCAAATGTTCAGATGGGATTCCCAGCCTCGCTATTTATGAGAGAAGAACAGCAGCTGAGATGCGTTGGTTCTTTGTTTGAAACACGGATAAGAAGCCGAAGCAGGTTGATTTGCTTCCTCATGACCAGTGAAGGTGGACTGACGCAGCTCTCAATTTGATGTCATTCGTCCTCGACAAGTAGATCGAACAGAGGGCCGGGTTTCACACACTCATACAATCTGATAACAATTGAGCTGCTTCACACACAATTCGTCAACAGTCGAGAGCATCATCATCAGGTATGGAAATGGCAGTCCACGAGGCACCGAGTCTTTCAACAATACCTGGGCTCGTACTTCGTAGCTGTTGATACACACACTTGCTGCCCGTCCTTCCCATCAAGTACATCCCAGCCCCAACACAACACGACAGGCACAAACCCACTGCCCACCGCAAATCGGAGCTCCCTTCCAGGAGAAACTATGAAGAGTTGTAGAGGAAACCAAGAGACAGAGGCAGAGGGAAAATTATATCAAAAAATCCAAAAAAAAAAAAAAAAAAAAAAAAAAAAAAAAAAAAAAAAAAAAAAAAAAAAAAAAAAAAAAAAAGCAATCGAGGCTTGATGCGACCCGTTATACGCCAGTCTTGAGACCATGGACATAAAGCAGTCGCAGAAATCACTTATTCCACTCCTCCGTGCCGTGTCCGATCCAGCAGCAGTGTTTTTCTTCTTTCCAGTGACGCGGTAGAGGATTCGGGAGAGCGCTTCACCGTGTCTGACCAGTATCAGTATCCCCTGACTGCGGGCGTCTTCACTCAGTCAAAGCCTTATTCTCCTCCCTGATAATCTTGACGTGGCGCTCGTAGAATTGCAGCATCTGCAATGAAAGTCAGCTGCACAGTCCAAGTCCAAGCCCAAGTCCAGCAGTCCTTACCTTTTGCGGGCACTTCTTGTAAATGACCTTCGTGTCATGCTTCGTCTTACGGCCATTCTTCCACACAAGGTATACTACGAGCCGGCCGCTGCCCTCGTCCTCGCACGCGTCAATCGTCTGGATCTCGTCCTCCCACGATCCCGCCGGAGGGCTCCATTTGTCCGCCGTCGCCGGGGGTGCCGAGTCCGCGGGGTGCGTCCCGTTCCTCCTCGACCGCTTCGTGGTGGCGGCCGGAGTCGAGCTCGCCGTGCGGCCGCGCTTCTTGCCCCTGGAAGCCTCCTGTGTCTCCTCAAAGATCTTTTCTCGCCCGCCGATGGACTCGAGGTAGGCGCTGAGGATCTCGCCCGCCGACTCCCTAAAGCGCATCGAGGTCAGTCGCTGAGTCGTCCAGCAGTCCAACGACACACGGCACATACTTGAGATTCTCCTCGGGCTCCCATGTCATGTCCGACTTCTTCTCGTAGCCCTCCCACTTGACGTGGAACTTGAGCGTTCCCTGCGCGCAACCGTTAGCCATCGTAAACGAGCAAAAGAGACGTCGATTCCCCCGTACATCTTCGTCGATCATGTGCTTCTTAATTGCTTCGACAATGAACCTGCAAAAAGAACCGTCAGATTCTGACTTTCAATGCCACGCAGCAATCTGCTTTCGCATACACATCATCCTCGAGGCCCTCTTCGTCTTCCTCGTCCTCCTCGTCCGCATCCTTGACGTCGACATCCTCGTCAATGTCGACATCGTCGTCCACCTCCTTCAGGTCCTTCCTTGCGGCCCGTCCATTCCGCCGGGGCTTCGTCGACGCGTCGTCCACTTCGCTCGCCGAGGCCGAGTTGCGCGACGACTTGACGGGCGGCGCGCTCTCGTAGTCCGAGGCCTCTTCGTCGCTCAGAGCTGCGGCATTCTTAGCAATCGCTCTTCCTCTCCGTCTCGTGGGTGCCATGACGCGCCGGTTCGAGCAGCAGAAGCTATCATCAGGTCCAAGTCGACGTCCTCGGCTTCAGCTTGCTCCGCCGGCAACACTTTTTGGGATGGCGGTGTTCTCGCTCGTTACTTTGCAACTTTTCTGGGCACAGGCGCGCGAATCACACGTCTGGCTGGGGGAGTGGACGGGGGATTGGCCAAGTGGCAGCCAGTCAGGGCACGTACCTGGAGGCATTGTCGCGGTCTTCTTGGGGCGGCTGGCAGTTGCAGAGCTGGTTCGCAGGTCCCGACGGCGCAACCTGGTCGCACGCTTGACGCTTTGTCCGGGCATAAGCAAACGCGACGGGCGGAAGCTTCTTGGTGTTGCCGAGTGACGCTGGGTCACGTGAGACGACTTTTTCTGGGGGGCGGTTATCGCTGCTATCGATCGATCTCAGCAGCTGGCAGCTGGCAGCTCTCCACTCTTCTTTCTAGAACTTGCCAAAGCGGTGATGCTGGCTCACGATGATTGGATTGAGGCGGACTGGTATAGGCCTATCTGGTGATTGACCACGATCGCTTCAGGTTGTTGCTTGGGGCTTTATACCAAGTGCCAACTTGGTTGCCTATTCCTCCGCCTTCTTGCTGAAAGCTCTCGTCTTTGAGGCAAGCATTGCTTTGTCTCCTCGCCCCAGGTCTGTGCTATCAACAAACATCACGAGATGCCGCCCTGACCAAAAGAAAAGCACTTGGATGGCACACTTTTGTTCTTGCCCTTGACTTCAATTGCTCTAGAGCATGCGGATGGACACCAATGGCCGGAGTCTTTGTCGCTCTTGGAGTCCTTGTCGCTCATCTCATGTTCGTGTAGCCTGGACACGGATCTCGTCACTTCAGGGCGTCTGATTACAGAGGGCCTCTACAATCACTGACTGTGTGTGCTTCTTACCGATAGGACGTGCCCTTGAAAGGGAATATAGCGTTAGAGGACATCCATGAAAGGGAATGCCCAAGTCCCTCAAGAGATGGATTTGTCGTCGAGAGCATCCTTTCTCGCGTTTCCCGCGCACTGGTATACAGCAGGATGGCTGAATTGCCTGTTTTCAGGCTTGATGGGTGGGAAAACAAGCTTAAAGCGACCCAAAGGCGAAGCCACAAACTCTTCTTTCACATTCACCCCGTCCTCTGACATACAGGGACAAAGGTTGAGACGCTGCCAAATGGCGATCAACCTCGGCAACAAGTCGAGCCAAGCCATGCCGTATGCAAACAGGAGTCTGAAACGGACCAGACATGAGAGAACACTGCGCCCCGTCTTTGCAATCTGCAATTACGCCGAACTGTCGAGGCATCAAGACGGGCTCGGGGAAACATCAAGACTCCTGCCACACCACTTCAGCGGCTGCGTTCAATTTGGCCTGCATAAAGAGCCGCTGGACGGCCGTTGGCGCTGGGCGCGCACTTTTACGCCGGCCTGCGATGGATGGCACCTGGTAGGGCGTCGTATTCCGTTGATCCGCGCATGCTGCCGCCATGTCCCGCAGAAACTCGCGCTGCTGTTTACTTGTTTGCTTGTGTGTTTGACCGTCGCCCTGATGAGATGGGGGACTGTTGGTTGTACAATTCGGGAAGCACTTGCGACGCCAACTGATTCCATGCACGGCATCTCCCAGCCCTGTCATGTTCCATCATCCGTGGTCCGTACGTGATATAGAGCTTATTTGGCCGGCTCTCGACGGCATCACATGCTGGTCCTCATCACCTACCTGTTCTGAAGTCACAGTGGTTCGCAAGTGCGAGCTTTGAAGGAGATTAGCTGTAGGATCCGAGGCTTCATGCGGACACGGCCGACGATGCAAGCCATCCAACCAACCGGCCGAATCCTCTTGACCAAAAGCAAGGGGGTCCGAGAACAAAGTGGCCGAAGCCACAAGTTCCTCTCGAGCAACGGACGCCGAGGGCAAACCAGTGCAACTCAAGCAGCGATAGGGCCCCATTGTTAGCAACGTCAAAAGTGCCAACGGCCCGGTCATCCGAAAACAAAACAGACAGAGATCAACGCGGCAAGATGCGAAACGCTGCCGATTCGACAAGGCCGGCTGGCGTTTCCTGCTGCCCGCTAGAAGCCCATAGAATGCACGCAACCACACTGACGACCGGCAACAAGGGACCTAGCCAGGGGTAAAGATCGCAGCGACTTCCATGGATCTTTGCCGGAATCTTGGTGTGCAGTAATACTACCCTGAGGCCCTTGGGAGTCCTTGCTCTGAAACAGCGACAGCAATTTGCTCGGAGGGTAGCATTGCAAGCATCTCCCGTGGAGGGTGCTTAATCAAACGTACGAGTACAGGCCTGTACTAGTAGTAGTTTGCCTGCTGGCTCTACTGTACCGTAATGTCTCGTGTGGCAGCCAGCGCTGGGAGGTGGTGTTCCGGAACGAATTGCCTTGTTCTCTTTAAGCGAGCGCGGAAAGAGATCGACCCGGCTATGTATGGGTGTATCTAGATGCGATCTCCAGGAGAGATAAGGTAGGTGTTGAAGTGAACGATTTCCAGCGGCAGCATACCAAAGCTCATGGCACCCCGGTGCTGGTCCACGGTATCGTTTCAACAAGGTCAATACTATGCGGTTGGAGCATTGCCATTGTATTACTATTAGCCTGAGGCTGTTGATTCGGTTTATCCGCCTGCTGAAACCTTTTGCGTTCGTTTGCAGTGAGTGGCAAGGTGACACGCCTTGTCCGTCATGTACACGTTGTTGGATGACAGTTCACCCATGCCTTGTCCATCCAGCTTCTGCTTATTTACGTACCTGTTCGGCGGTCATCGTTCCCGATGCAAGTATAAGACAATAAAGCCACCCCATCGGCGACTACTGCGTTCGCACCAATAGGACCTCATGACACTGACCAGTAGGCGACTTGATTGCTCGGCTGAAATCCCCTCAGCCGCAGCAATTTGGGGATGCAGAAGCGGCTAAGAAGGGAGCCAAGCATCTTCTACTACCGCAGAAAATACTCCAAGACAGGTCCGTGGCCGGCTCACGGGAGCCTTGCCGGCACCGTCTCACTTCCTTCTGCCGGTCCAGGAGATTGGCAGTCTTTGCTATCTCTTCCCCACTAAGGAATACTTCGAAGCAAAATGCGGACTGCGAAGAGGTCTTCCATCCTGGTTGCTGTATCACCGGAGCTCTTCCATGTGGCCGCAAGACAGCAGAAGCCGTTGGATGGGGTCTCCCGCTCCCGGAGCAACAAATTTCTTCTGCGATGATTCAAGGAGTCTGTGCAGCCATCAGTCTTTCGGCTATGCCAAGGTATTCTATCTTGGGATTGCTGCATACAGACTTGTACGTGTACTCCGTCCTGTGATGTATCACTTGGTGGTAGGAGGAGTAGTACCTACTACTCAGCTGCAGCAGCACTCGTAGCGTGACGGAGCAGTGCATGTGCAGGTCGTTCGAACCCATGTTGATGGCATCTCCACTGTCTCTGCGCTAATCGCACCAAGGGGCTTGGCCGGCCGGCTCTCGTCAAGCTGTTGCCCACTGCCCAGGTAGGCAGTTCCTTTAGGTACGAGGAAGGCAAAAGTAGACCGGTATGGGAGTACCTCAGGATACCTAAATGTTCGCGCAGTCGCTTGCCATGGAATCAAGTGTTTCGGCAGTCTTCCGCTTCTCATCATACACGGCACGGGGTCGCAAATACTGCAAAGCCCGCTTCCTCTGTAGAGAAGAGATGATCCAGAATAATAGCTGGGGCTGTGACAAGGGGCCCATCGTCGTACAAGTGACCAGTAGTGCTATGTACTTCGTACAAGCATGTCCATGCAGTGAAAACCAGGCTACACACGCAGTTGGGCCGTTGACGAACGGTCGAATGAACGGCGGCGCGGAAGTGATAGCACGGCTCCCGGGTTGGACGAGGGGTGAATGCTCGAGGTCAAACATGTGTGCAGCGTGTTGCTCCTTGGCTGGCAGCTTGCCAGCACTCATCAGGCCCTTCTGAGGCTCGTCTCATTTGCCGTCACAATCGTAGCAAGGGAGCAAGCGTCTGACGTTTAGCTCGGTCCAACGAGGGTGGTTTTGTTTTGGCGTCAAACTTTGACCACAGCGTCGACCCCCTGGACGGGTGGGTGATCTCCCGAAGAGACCACCCCTGAAGCCTCGGATCTTTTTTTTTGATCTGGCCTGTGTTCGGAGGGCGTGTTAGTGCCATGACTCTTGATCTCAGCTGTCGAGCGAAGAGGGTTCAGTTACAAAAGCTGGCATCAGCGATATCATCAGTATCCCCCCCGGTTGTCCGTGGATGGTCTCACACCACTGCGGGCTTGTCTTCAGAGCCCGAGCGCTTCATGCCAATTAGCCAACAGGCTCTCGGAGAGGTCCTCTCCTCTTCCAAACTGCCTGAATCACAAAGACCCTGTCGCAACCGCAGAGTACGCTAGGCATCCAAGTCCTTTCTCCTCTGATGCCCACTCCGTTGGCTGCCAGCCTTTCCCAAGTCGACCGGTGCGAAGCAGACACATGTAGGGTGGCTGGTACGGGCGCAGGAGAGGTGGGATCGTGTGCAGTTCACCTGCAAGAATGAAGCGATTGGATTCCAAAACGCCACGAGAAAACACCTGGCGTGGCCCTTGACTCTGGACCAGACGGGCACAGCCTTTGGACTGCAGGCAGGTACTTTGTAGGATCCGTCCACGTTACTCCTGAGCCCGGCCCCGATGGCGGGCACCCTTGCTGGTGAGTCTTGATCGAGTCCATAGAGCCCATCTCAAGCCTGTCTGGGCTTGCTCTGCCTGCTCTGTCTGGCTGCCCGACGGCTTGTCTCCAGTGTGCCTCCTCCTCGTGCGGTGAATGCCTAGAGAGTGAGTTTTCAGCTGCTGCAGCCGTCGAGAGCTGATGCCGCACTCTGTACCCCGTATCTGCTGTCCATGGAGGACGAAGGCAAGCCTGTTCATACTAACTGATCCGGGCATTCCTGCACGAGGCCCCGGACAGGGGGACCTGGGAGTCGACGGGGTGCGTACTTGGTACCCATGCGAGTCCGATCGAGCACTCACGGCCTTGCTGCGTCTCCATCGTGCCGAGGGCCATGCTGGGAGTTACTCCGTCCGAGACCTCTGCGTGTACAAAGCAAGTAGCACGAGCTCGTACTCTGCCGTCTCTTTTCACAAGCAAGCAGACGGAGAGAGGAGGACTGATGGTGGATAAAGTACGGGAGTTTTGCGGACGGAGGGCTGCTTCGAAGTGGGCAGTCAGGTCATGACAATATCCTGCGAGCCTCCTTCCTTCAGCAGCGCCCCGTTGAACAGCTACCAAGTGATCCGATAGGTAAGAGGTACCTCAGCGGCACCAAATGATCGAGTACAGGCTCTCCATGGCTCCTGCATGGTACCGACGCTACTGCCTCCAAACCATCCTCCAGAATTGAAGTGAGCACATGTACAGAAGCTACGGAGCAGTACCTCACGAGAGTGCGAGGACGACTCGGGAGTATCTTGGTCCGGCAGTAAGGTATGTACTGGGTATGAGGAACCAGCTGGTCTACGAGGGCCATGTGGCAGAGCAGCTCCATGATGGCCGCATGTTTGGCCGTTGCAAGAAGACGCCGGCTGTGTCCCCGTGGTAGTCGACTGCGTGTAAGCGGTACGAGCCCGCCACAGATATAGTGCCTTGCTGCGTCAACTCCGGCAGCGTCACGTCCAAGGTGACATTGCAAGAAAGGCTATAGTACCGTACTGAGTACCTTGAAGATACCTGGAGGTACTGTAGCGTCTGTCTTGTACTCTAAACTTCCAAGTTATCCGAACGATACGGGAGGTAAAGTAGCACTCGTAGTGAGAGAGACAGCTCTTCTCTCTCCCCTCTCACACAACTCATCATCATCCAACCCGGCTTCGGCGGCAGCGCATTATACTGGGCCTCGCCTGACCGAAACAACGCACCGCACCTGAACAACGCACTGCAAGCCCTGGTTACCGCCAGCAAACCGCGGTCACGATCGGCACGCCTCTTGCCCGCCATCCGCACCGCGAGTGGACGGCCTCTCGGCGTCGCTGACAGCTGGGCCAGCTGCTGGAGCGCTAATCTGGGGGGCCGGCTGGGCTTGTGCAGGGGTTGGCGGACACGCACAGCGCCTAGCGGTGGGCTCGGGGCTCCAGCTGCTGCTCCAGTGCTCCTGGACGGCGAGGGCCAGCGCCATGAGCCGCCTATGGCGCCTGGGCCCGGTGCGGTGGGGAGGGGGTTCGAATCCGGTGTTCCCTTGGTCCCAGGGCTCCATCGATGCTCGAGTGCGTCCCGTTCGAGGTCCACCCCTGAGCCGGACTCGACCACCTAGGGAAAAAATAATTAAAGGTTTCCCACGGCTTCTCCTGACTCTCGAAGCTTGGCCCGAGGGGAATCGAGTCGAGCTGCGTCCGGGCTGTTCGTTCAAGAGGAGCTTGTCCGGCTGTCCATTGGCCCTTTTCCGTCTGGATCCCGAGCTTGCTGCGGCGTGAAGAAGCAGCTTCGACGTCTGTGAACGGCCTCCCCCTAGAGGGCATTCGCTACCCACGCTCGTTTTGCGAATCCCCCCTGGTCTGCTGCTCACGCTCCCTATGATCATTGCACCTCCTGCTCCACGAAAGGAGCTGCTGGCTATAGTCGTCGTCCATCAAATCACCTTCTGCCTGGCTCTTTCGTAGCACCATTACGAGAATCCGTCGTGCCTCTCGCCAACCGATCGATCGAGAAAACCATAAAAGAAAAAGAAGCAACAAAATAATCGTCCAGCGAATTGCTGTCTGCTCCTCGTCTGCCTTGCCCAATTTCTCTGTCGATTACCAGCAGCAATGCCTGAAACGCCGGCAGCCAATGCCGAGGGCAACCAGCCCAAGGCTGCAAAGGACAAGAACTGCGAGTACTGCGGCCAAGCTTTCACGTCGTCTTCCCTCGGCCGCCACCTTGACCTCTATATCAAGGAAAAGAACCCCAAGCCTCCGGATGGTATCCACGATGTTGAAGCCATCCGGAAGCTCCGCGGCAACATTACTCGACGCCAGCCTCGAAGCTCAATGGGTGCTCGACGAGATACCTCGACGCCCGCTGGCACTCCGAAACCGACGCCTGGCAAGCTGACCCCTGGTCAAGAGTCTGCCATGCAAAGGGATGGTCCATACGCCGTTGGCTCAACCGCCATCAAGTACCCTTACGCTACTCCCTGGGAGGCCACTGGCGTCATGAATGACATTCCGGGCAGGGTTCCCTGGGATGGCAATGCGTCTCAAGATGCCAAGCGTGCTGGTTTGTCGAGGAACGGTAGCAGACAGATGGCCCAAAAGGCTCAATTCGACGTCAAACAAAAGCTGACAGACGCCATGGACACTGCCCGAGCTGCTGAATTGGCGCTCAGGGAGTTGCTTAGCTCATGGCGAGCGGCAAAGTAGGTCTACTTCTCCCCTGGCTGGTGTATGGCGTGGACTAACACCGCACGGCTAGGCAACAAGTTGATGCCTTCACGACACCATTTGACTTCGACCCTCTCGCCCTGGATTTTCCAGCCCTGACCCTGCAGTGCCTTCTGCCGCCGCCAACTCTGTTCTCATCCACTCAGCACCCTACATCGACATCATGGTCTGTGCAGTCGCCGGGCGAACGTGAATATGGCGCACTCCAGGCCTATTTCCAAGAAGAGTTCAAGGCGTGGAAGGTTACGTGCGCGTCAGCCACGACCGCAGTCATGGAGGAGGTGGCATACCCCCCCACTGGGGGGCCGTACAGGGACATGAAGGAAGCCGTCAAGAAGGCTGAGAGGGTGGCCGAGACGCTTGAGAGGCATGTCAACGAACACCTGCAGTCTGCGTATGCAGTCTGGGAGGCATTGCCCCCTCAGCGGAGAAACGAGCTTTGGATCCTGGAGCTTGCCCGTGGAGTGGGCCGCAAGCACAAGGAGATGGAGAAGATGAAGGAGCAGCATCACAAGCTCAAGCAAGAGAACACTAATCTCCGATCACACATTGACCAGCTCAACCGACTACAGCAGCCGAGGGAGTACAAGGTGCTCCCTCCCGTCACCATCCCTGTGGAACGGGACGTCCTCTCGTACGCCAACGAGCAGAGTGTTATGGGGGCCAAGCTTGTGGGCTTCGACATTGAGGACCGGCATCTGGACTTGAGCACTCTGGTGGCCAAGTCAATCGACCGGTGGAAGAATGTGATCGTCTCGAGTCGTGTTGCCGCTGCTGGCATGCCCGCACAGCGGCCTCTCGACCAGACCGTGGCCCAGCCTCCTGCTGCGGGAAACCAAAACAGTCCGTCAGAACCTCAGAGTGCCGCTCAGACACCACAGCTGACACAACCGCCGCCGCCGCAGCTCGATAAAAGGCTCTCGACCGCAAGCACCAACGGCCCGACGAGCGAGCAGAGCGCAGCATCTGCAACCAACACGGGCCCACCCTCAGTTGAAGAAATAAGCGATCAGGATGCCGATGCAGAAATGGAGGATGACGACAGCTTTGCCATGATCAGCCAGTCTCCCGTCAAGCCAGCCCACCCACCCATGCAGCAGCAAGCACAGCTTGATGTCTCTCGAGCTCGCGGTCCCATGACCCAGCAGCAGTCGCAGCCGCAGCCGCAGCAGCAGCAAGCCCAGCAACAAGCCCAGCAACAATCTCAGCAGCAACAGCAGCAAGCTCAGCAGCAGCAGGTCCAACAGCAGGTCCAACAGCAGGTACAGCAGCAGCAGCAAGTCCAACAGCAAGTACAGCAGCAGGTTCAACAACAAGTCCAACAGCAGGTTCAACAGCAAGTCCAGCAGCAGCAGCAACAGGCCCAGCAGCAACAGGCCCAGCAGCAACAGGCTCAACAACGCAACACGGCAGACATGCGCTACATGATGCCGAACGGCGCCGTCAGCCCCGCAAGCAGAGCGGCTATGGCTATGAACCGTGTCATGCCCAACATGAACATGGCCGCAATGCAGGCCAGTGCCATGCATGGGGCCGACATCAGCATGGCCATGCAAGGGGTTCGTGGCGATATGTATCTGGAATAATGTCGACGAAATTCATACATCGGAAAGACGGCGGATTATCGGACGGTCGAAAGACATGGACGTTTCGTCTTGCTTTCCCCCTGGCTTATCATAGCGTTCTTTCCTGGCCGCCTTGGAGCTGCCTGTCATTGCGAGCGCGATCTTCTTCATTGCCAAAAACAAATCTTTCCATTTTTGCAACTTTCCTATAACAAATCTCACCGTTTTCATCATCGAAAAAGAAAAGAAAGGAAACAATCAGCATATTCTGCTCGCCTGCAGAATGTATTTGTTTCACAGCAACCGCAGCATTGGGTCGGATAAAGAAAGCATATAGAACGGGAGGAACGGGCGTTTAGGGGACTGGGCAGAAGATTTCTTGATTCTGTCCCCGGTCCTCTTATTGTTTTGTCATTTTTTGGGCTGTTTGTAGACTGGGACATGGCTGAGTCGGAAGGGGAGGGAGAGCATGAGGAGGTGTAGAATTATGTGACACTACTAATGGACATTTGACTAGAAATACAAAGCAAGGAATCGGCGTTGATGGGTGAAAATATATATGCTTTTCCCCCTTTCTTTGTGGGGTAATCTACTCCCTCGTCTTGAGTTCTATATATGTCTCTGGAGTTGAGTTTCGTTCTTACAAGTGATCTTCTGTTGGGGATTTCTTCCTCTCGCAGGGTTTTATAACATTATACAGGTAATACATCATCCAAATGGTACATGTTCATTTGAGGGGCGGCGGCGGACCGGCTTCATGGCTTGATCTGCTTTAGCTTCTGCTCAATCATGCGCACAGTCGACCTGGGAACGTGAAGCCGGTGAGCGAGCACCAAGGCGCCCGTGAGAACGGCAAGACTGCCAGCCTGGTGCGTGGCGGCCAAGTGGGTGGGGACCATGTAGATGAGCGTGGAGATGCCGAGGGCGGCCTGGAGGGAGACGAGGTGGACGAGGCCGGTGGTGCCCTTCTTGGCGTCGCGGGGCAGGGCGGCGGCGACGCGGCCGGTGCGGGCGTAGGCGAAGAGGGCGAGGATGGTGCAGAAGGTGGTGACGGCGAGGATGCGGTGGTCGAGCTGGACGAGGCTAGGGTTCTCGAGCATGTTGCGCCACCAGAGGTCGGAGCCGTCCTCCTTGCGGGAGTAGAACTTGTCCCAGAGCTCCGACTTGGGCGGGGTGAGGCCGAGGCCCATCTTGGGGAACTCGTTGTAGATGAGGCCGGCGTCGAGGCCGGCGACCAGGCCGCCGGACATGGCGGTCAGGAAGACGAGGCCGGTGACGCCCAGGACGGAGCGCCTGAGGGTGTTGAGGGCGGGGTTCTTGATGGCCTTGATGGTGGCGGAGGCGGCGGCGGGGTCGGCGAGGAAGCGACGGGTGCGAAGGATGGTGAGGCCTGAAAGGAGCATCCAGGAGTAGCAGACAAAGGCGGTGGCCAGATGCGTGGTCAAACGATACTGCGAAACGCGGGGGTGAGAGCCGGGAGCGAAGAGGTCGTCCTTGAGGCCCGACTTGACCATCCACCAGCCGATGAAGCCCTGGAAGCCGATCAGGCTGGAGATGCCGAGCAGGTTGAGCGCCATCCGGGGCGAGACGCGGCGGCGGGCGACGAAGTAGAGCGAGGGCAGGACGAAGGAGAGGCCGATGAAGCGGCCCCAGAGGCGGTGCGTCCACTCCATGAAGTAGATCTTCTTGAACTCGTCAAGGGTCATGTGAGGGTTGAGCAGCTTGAACTCCGGCGAGGCACGGTACTTTTCGAATTCCGACTCCCAGTCGGCGGGCGACATGGGGGGAAGAGAGCCGGTGACGGGCCTCCATTCCGTTATGCTGAGTCTGTGTATGATTTGAAGTCATTGTCAGTGAGATTGACCTTGGTGTGGCGCCCCTCGTGCCTTTCATGCCGCCCTTCATCATGAGTGAGACGACGTACCCAGACTCGGTCAATCTTGTTAGTCCACCAAAGACGACGATGCCAAAGCAGCTGGCGGCGCTGCCCAAGAGCCAAATGGCAACCGCCTTGGAGGTGGTTTTCGTGGGAAAGGCCTTTGAAGCTTGCGCCTGGACCTGAGAGGCCACAGCCGACGCATTCTGGGCGGCGAGGCTCTCCAATGGCTTCGCATCGGCGTATCCCCGTGCTCGTACGATGTTGAGGATGGACGACGGCGAGCGCCTGGGCGTCTGGCGAAGGCATTGGTTGCAGACGAAGAACTTGGAGGGCATCTGCAGCGCCGCCCTGCGCATTCCCGCTGCGAACAAGGACATCTTGAGCGAGATTCGGCACAATCGAAGCGCTCAATGCCTATTACCAACGGAAAAGAGCGTTGAAAAAAAGATGGCACGATAATTCGGCGGCTCTCGACAAGTACAAGTATTTAGTGGCATGTCGTTCGGAGCTTACAGAGCACCGAGGCGGGACGAATTGGAGGGGCGCTGATAGGTGGGATGGTGGTGGGGGACCCCGCTGGGCTACGCTCACCGCCAAATTTTTTGACGCGGCAGAAAAAGTTGGGCCAACAAGAAAAAAATGAGAGCGAGAGAGGGAGCTACTGTAGACAGACCACGGCACTTTGACAGCTTGGAGTCGCGAAACAACCAGCGGCTTTAACTCTCTCGACCCCGAATACAGAGAGGTCATCAGTCAAGATGCCGGGTCGTCAAGCACACGGAAGGCCGCTGCTGGCCCAGCCAAAGGCCAAGGCTGGCCCCAAAAAGTCCAAGTCGAGGGCGCAGGCGAATGCGCTGAATGCCTTCAACATTGCGCAGGAGAGATTTCCCACAAAGGAGAAGAAGACGCCGCGAGCGCGGGAGCTGGACGCCGAGATCGAGAAGAAGCATTCGCGAGACGAGGAAGACGAGGATGAGGAGGACGAAGAGGAGGGGCCCAGGCGAAAGAAGGTCAAGGCCCCCAAACGGGGCGCAGCGACGGATGGCGACGTCGAGTTTGGCAGCGACAGCGAGGGAAACGAGTGGCAGCTCGGCGGCATGGCGGACGACGACGACGACTCTGAGATTGAGAGTGAAGACGCGTTTGGCGACAGCGACAACGAGATGTTCCAGGGCTACACTTTCCGCGGCTCCAAGTCCGGCAAACGAAAGGTGAGGAGGCATTCTGGTGGCGACGGCGCTGATATGGAGTGCTAATTCACGGCCAAAACAGGATGACGACTCGGACGACTCTGATGACAGCAATGACGATCTGGGAGAGACCCTTGGCGAAGATGCCATCGATCTGGCGACGGCTCTGGATCAATTTGAGGAAGAATCCGAAGAAGAACCAGAGGTTGAAGAAGAGTCCGAAGAAGAATCAGAAGAAGAGGACGATTCCGACGAATCTAGTGCATCTGATGACGACGAAGACGATGTTGAGGATGACAGCGACGAGGAGGCCGATCCCGAGAAACTGAAACAGCTCAGAGGCCTGATATCCGGTTTTGGTGGCGAGGAAGAAGACGACGAGAAGAGCAAGCCCTCATCCAACCAACAGAAAATCGACCTTGGCGATCTCGGACTCTCTGGGCTAAACGACCCCTTCATGAAGCAATCGGTAAAGCTCCTGAAGAAGGAATCCAAGGAGACACGGCCCGGCGCAACAAAGAAGCTGGCTGTGCCATTGTCGCGGAGAGAACAGGGACGCCTGGACCGAGCGGTTGCCTACCAGAAGACGAACGAGACACTTGATCGATGGACAGAGACTGTCAAGCAGAACCGCAGAGCCGAACACCTGATATTCCCCCTTCCCCAGAACTCAGACTCAGCCGGGCTCGATCGGTCAGAGCTTCAGCCCCTCTCATTGAAGAACGCCGCCACCGAGCTGGAGTCGACAATCATGGGCATCATGGAGCAGAGCGGCCTGTCCCTGGAAAAGGAGAAGAAGCCCAAGAAGCAGGAGTTTGACGAGGAGGGCAACCTGCTTACGCGGAAGCAGGTGCTGGAAAGGAAGCGTCTGGAGCGAGAGATCAACTCCCGAGAGGCGAAGCGCGCAAAGCGCATCAAGAAGATCAAGAGCAAGGCCTACCACCGAGTGCACCGGAAGCAGAGGGAGCGCGACGAGATGGCCGCCAAGGAGGCCATGGCCGAGGCCGGCGAGATCGACTCCGAGGAGGAGAGGGAGGCCCAGGACCGGCGCCGCGCCCTGGAGCGCGTGGGCCAGCGCCACAAGGACAGCAAATGGGCCAAGATGGGGTCCAAGGCGAAGCGCGCCGTGTGGGACGACGACTTCCGATCCGGCCTGACGGAGATGGCTCGCAAGGACGAGGAGCTGCGCCGAAGGAAGGAGGGCAAGAGCTCAAGGGGAGCAGGCGATGATTCGGACGAGACCAGCAGCTCGGGATCCGATTCAGACGACGACGACGTCGCCAAGATCCGGCGACAGCTGGATGAGCTGGAGCAGGAGGACGACGAGCCCCAGTCGAGGCTGATGAAGATGAAGTTTATGCAAAAGGCGGAAGCGGCGCGGAAAAAGGCAAACGACGACCTCATCCAGGAGATCCGCAGGGAGCTGGACGGCGAAGAAGGAGCCCAGGTATCCGATGAAGAAGAAAAGGGGGGCGAGATCGGCCGGAGACAGTACGGCACCGGAGCCGCCAACCCGTTCTCCATGGCGCGGGACAACAGCTCCGCCCGGGAGGCCAGAGAAAAGCGAAGCAAGGAGGAGGCCCGAAAGGAGCGGGAAGAAGTCCGCTTCGCAAACGGCGACGGGGCTCCCCATGTCGCGAACGGCTCGGTCAACCACGCCTGGTCGACGCCTGCCGAGGCGACGTCCTCCATAGCGGGCGCTTGGTCCCGGGACGACTCTCGCAGAAAGAAGTCTTCTTCCGCACGAGCCGACGACCTCGATCTCAACGCCAACATCCTCACCGCCTCTCAGCCATCCAAACCGAAACCGAAATCCTCCTCCTCCACTACTCCCAAGAAATCCCGCCCTCAGGACGACAACAACGACGACGATACCTCCTCCGAATCCGACGCAGACTCAGAAAACAGGCTCCCGCTAGCCATCCGCGACAAGGCCCTCGTAGCGCGCGCCTTTGCGGGCGAAGACGTCGTCGCCGAGTTCCAGCGCGAAAAGGAAGAGATTGCGGAAGCCGACGACGACAAGATCATCGACAACACGCTCCCCGGGTGGGGCTCTTGGGTGGGCGAGGGCATCAGCGCGCGCGAGAAGAAGCGCCATCAGGGCCGGTTCCTGACAAAGGTCGAGGGCGTCAAGAAGAAGGACCGCAAGGACGCCAAGCTGGACAAGGTCATTATCAACGAGAAGCGCGTCAAAAAGGTTAGTCTTGCTCGGTTCCCCCCTTATCTCCCCTATCTCTTTCCTGCTCTCTCGGCGATTTTTTTTTTTTTTTTTTTTTTTTTTTTTTTTTTTTTTTTTTTTTTTTTTTTTTTTTTTTCTTTCTTTCTTTCTACATATATTGTTTCGACTGGCCGGCTAACTGTTATGTGTTTCTTGCAGAACGACCGGTATCTTGCTTCGCAGCTGCCCTTCCCATTCGAGTCGAGACAGCAGTACGAACGGGCTTTGCGTCTGCCTGTCGGACCGGAGTGGATGACCAAGGAGACGTTCCAGGAGAACACGAAGCCGAGGGTCATTATCAAGCAGGGCATCATCAAGCCCATGTCGAAGCCTACTGCATAGATTACTTCCTAAAAGATGCTGTAAGAATGATGGGATACAATGTTCGGGGCGCGGTCCTGTTCTCTTTTTATATAATGCCCTATACCTTTGGTATATGGGGGTGTGGCATGCTTGGGATGGGTTTCTATAGAAATCAAGTTTTGATTCTCTAATGGGAGACATTTTGCAATATTTGTTTCGAATGGTTGTTTTTTCCCTCTTGAACAAGAACCATTATCAATTTTATTTGTAGACTTTTCATTTATCAATCATGCAGAAACTCGACGCCTTCCGATTGCCTGCTGTGGTTCCCCCTTCCCAAAAGAAGTACAGGAGAAAAAAACAAAAGAGACATTTCCCCCCCTCTAGGGACACGCATTTTTAACCCGACACACCCAGCACTATCCTTCTCCTTTGCATCTTCCGACAGCTTCTTCGTATTTGCAGCAAAACATGAAATATCGTACAGTGACTCGAAGAGATAGGAAAGGTAGGCCAAGCTAGGATATTTCGATTCGAGGTTTTTGTCTTGGCAGTGGATATGGACAGTTCATACGTCCATAAGAGAGTAGACAGATGCTATTGGGTTATGTATAGCGGCGCAAGTCATGGCCGTATTCTCGGGCCGGTGGGAATATCCTCAACCGGTAATGGGTAGTATTCGATATGTATGGAGGTCGCCGGCACTCGGCGCTTAGTTGCCGCCACTGACGAGGTCCGTTGCCTTGTCCAAAAAGTCACCGGGCGTAGCAAAGAAAGCGACAGCAATGATGATGTAGAGGCCAAACAGCATGGCGCCTTCGAGGTAGTTGGACTTGCCATCCTGGACGACGTAAGTGACGACTAAAACGGACACGGCAAAAGCGACGGTCTCGACTGGACAAATGTTAGCATTTCCACTACGGGAGCTCTTGGATCATAAGTGTACGCACAAGTCTCAAAGTGAAGCGTCATTTCACGTCCAATGATCCACCCGACAATAACGAGGAAGGGAGTGACGCCCAACGCAATCTGAATGCTGGAGCCAATCGCCACGCCCATGGCCAGGTCCATCTTGTTGCGAAGAGCAACGACTACAGCAGTAACGTGCTCCGCCGCGTTTCCGACAATGGGGATTAGAATCAGACCGATAAAAGCCTTGCTGATATTTGTAGTCTCGACGAGGGCGTCGATGCTCCCGACCAGGTAGTCGGCGCAGACGGCGACCAGGACGGTGACAACGACGAGGACGGCGGCGGCAGCAATGGGGCCCATGGTGGGCTCCTCGGGCTCATGTCCTTCACCGGTAACCGGGTCTTCGGGGTCGAAAAGGTTGCTGTGCGTGCGAAGCTGGAAGACGAGGTAGAGAGCATACAAGATGAGGAGAATGATGGCAGTGCCGCGGGACAGAACCAGGATGCTCCGGTCCCTGTCGCCGTTGCTGGGATCCTTCTGGTCGAGGACGCCGTAGAGCTAGAATGCTGTCAGATATAGCTCGTCACACCCAAGAACGACGAGGGGGAACACGTACCGCGGCAGGGATCACGAGAGAAGCGGACGACAGAGCCATGAGAGAGCATGTAGTCTGCGCAACAGCGGCCGAGAAAGTCTGTTCCGTACCAGCGCCGGTGGAGCCACGGTGCCGAAGACCGCCAAACAGGAAGCACATTCCCATGACGAGCAGCAAGTTGGACAGGATGGATCCGAGCATGGAGGATTGCACAACCTGGATCTGATTGTCCCTGAGAGCCACAATGCTCACCTGCCGAAGAGTCAGCGTCTCATTCGAAACATAGCAATTCCCGTCACATGTGGGAGATATGCGCAACGCACAATCAACTCAACCGCATTTCCAAAGGTAGCATTCAACAGTCCGCCCAGAGCCTCGCCCAGCTTGAGAGATATCTCCTCGGTCGCAAAGGACAGGACGGCGGCAAGCGGGATGATGGCAAAGAAGTTGATGGTGAAGACGGCGGTAGGGCTCCAGCCGAGGCGGCCGGCAATGATGCCAATGGGGACCATGATGAGCAGAAAGTTGACATAGTCTGAAGGAAGGAGAATCGTCAGTATACAGCCATTGCGCTCAATGTCTCCAGGACTTACTGCTGAGCAGCGTCACCTTGGTGACATGCCAGGTGTAGGCGAGGCTGCGGACGACAAACTTGTCGCTGTCGTTTCCTGGCGTGTGCTTTGCATCAAAGAAGAACCGGAAGGCCGGTGATCGCTCGGGGTGGTGGCCGCCGATGATGTGGTGGTGCGCGCCATTGGACGAGGCGCTCTCGCCGTTGATGAGCGGCGTGCGCTCGCTGGCAACGGTAGCGTTCGGTTTAGAAGTCATCGTGACTCGAATGCTTCTCGAGCGTTTGAGGTTGACTTCGGTTGGCGACACCAATTGAGCACGGTTAGTTGACGAGAAGACGCAGCGAGCGGGATTATGTTTCTGGGAGGTTGTAGAGAAAGGGAAACGCGGCGCAGGACGAGGCTCGTTTTGGTCGTCGGCGCAATGAGAGAACAAGGAGAACCGAAAAGAGAGATGACAGAACAATTGCACGCGTGAGGCGAGGGAGAGTCTGCAAGCTGGCGCTATTCGCAGCGAGAGGCAGGAAGCAGGAAACAGCGAGCAGTGACGAAAGCCACGATGAAAAGTCAATCACCTCGATTGATATGGAGAGCGAGAGTTGCAGCTATTGAGGCGCTATGATGTAGTGCAGTCGCAAGATGGGGACGCAGGTAATAAAAAGTGGCGAGGCAGGGATATAAGGTATTGATGTAAGGTAGGGGTAACCGGCGGCAAGGCTGGGATTGGGGGTGGGTTTGAGGGCAGCAGAATCAAATAATAAGTGATATTAAATATCGGGAGCGTTTGTTTGAGGTGCGCGTGGCGCCTTGTTTTAGGCTGGGGAGGACGGAGATGGTCTGTATGTCACCGAGTCCGGCATAGCACCAGGGCGACGAGGCAGGGCTTGGCAGCAAGAAACGAGGCAGGGCTTGGCAGCAAGAAACGAGGCAGTGGTTTGGAATTGGGGACTTGACAGGCCTCGTTTGATTTGCAAGGCGAGGAGAAGGCTCTGGATTGGGCTTTGTCTTGCTAAGGTAAGAGATGTTCACTTACACAGTCCCAGGACCATGGCTGGAAGCGCCGGAAGAGCCACACAAAGATGGCGATGTCTCGTCTGGTCTGGTCAATGTTTGTCCCCCCCGGAGACGGCGGGCAACGGCAACAACCGAAAACTCGGGCCAGAAAAGATCTCGAGTCGGTCGCACAGGTAGCAGTACAAGCACTCGAGGCGTCGCGAGTCGAAACGGAACCTGGAATTGGACGGTCCAAACAAAACAAAGAGGCGTTGTTTGCTGTCGATTGCGGCGTGAGAGAAGCAAGAATCGAGCGAGTGGATGAGCCGGCGCGAGAAGCTACGTAGTACGTACCTTGCCGTAGTGCAGCTCCAGGCAATATCGTCACTGTGCCTGAAGCCCGGAAGTACCTGTACCTCGACATGCAATCCGACCCCAAAAGAGCAACGCTCTCATTCCGCCCTTTTGCAATGCCCGAGGCTGTGGTTTGTCTGATGACCGGCTTACTGATTGCTTTTGAAGCGTATCATCATCTGGATTACTACCTCTCTTCTACTTTTGTCAATCCCCGACAGAACAAAACCGCCAGGAAAACAGGCCGCGAGGCACGAGTTACCTGGCCGGCTTGGCACGCGCGATCTGGATTTCTTGGAGATCTCTGTCGGGAGGCCTCCTTCTCCTTCCCCCCTCCGCGGCTGCATTAGTACCTATTTTACTTCGTATGACAGCCATGCGCGTCTTCACCGTAGATTCAGGTATTGAGCGCAGAATGACCTTACCAACACCTTCGCGTATCAGCCGCGGGAGTTGTCAATTGCCGACTAATCCCTCGATTGAAGCATCAAATGCGGAGAAGCAACATCTCCATCCCATCCATGAAGAGTCCTTCCTGCCGCTGAAACTTCGTGTACCTCTACCATCTCCATCAAAGGCCACAACGATCCGATTAGCGTCTCTCGAAACATGCGCAGGGTGGGTCAAAAAGCTTGTTGCTTGATGACATAATGATGGTTTCTCCTGCATCAGAAAATCAGGGTGGGGAAAGACCCGCATGCATCCAAGACGTCATTGCACGATTCAGCTCCGAAACACGCTTTTCCTTTGAAGAAGGCATGCCTCTATTGAACAACTTGTACAAGGCGAAGCACGGAGGATGCCGTCCGATGGCGTCTACTAAGGAAACCATCAAATGGAAACTAAACAACTTCGTGCACCCATCCCTTCAAGCCCATTCAAGCTTCAAAATACCTCCAAAGCCTCCAACGAGGAAACATTCAGCAAGCCAACGAGACAAACGTTCACCACCTACCAATCACACACGTGCCCCCTTGGATCCAATCATCTGGTATCACAAAGCATCAACTGCTCGTACAAACACCAAGCAAAGCACGCTCTCGTAGCACACGCAACCCTCTCCTCAAACTTGTACATTTTTCCATCTGTCTATGTAACTCTCCTCTTTGCACCGCCTCCTCATAGCCCCAATCCTCAATCTCCAAATCCACCTCCTTCTCACGCCAAAGTTAAGCTTAATCGAAACAGACCAAACATCTCCCCGAACTCCTCGCGCGTGACCCCAATAGCAGGCATAAGCGTACTTCTTAAGGCCCCTTGGCTTGGGTACCAATCGTACATACTAGTACTACAGCTTTAGACCCTCTCACCTGATGTTGATGTTATAATATATGACAAATGTTAGACAATTGTTCTAGAAACCGACCCCGCTGCCGACCTCCTACCGAACGGCTCCCGCTTCAATGATGTGTTTTCCAAGGGCTGTACGCAGTCCGGCTCGCAGTGCATGTCTCAAAGCCATGAAACAAGGCTCGCACACAGCACCCCTTTGCACGACCTCTTATCGATAGTTGGGGGCTACATACATGTAAAGCAGCTTACCACAGCACGTTGATTGCATTGCATGCACGTGGGAATCGCATGCTGCTTCTTGTTACATTGCACCACGGAAGCGCCATTCGCCCATCTTCAACAGTGGAAAAATTCGGAAACACAGAACTGAGTCAAACAGCATGACAAATGCACAAGGACGGCAAATGTACCAATATTTGTATTGCTAATAAGCTAGAATGCCGCAATATCAGGTAACGACTCCTCGTGCCAGTCCGGCGTGAGCGATCCCGAGCTTCCCGTCTAGATGCCCGACGACGTCACGGCTTCGGATGTCAACCCGGCCTTAGTCAGCGCCGAACCCGTGCCTCCGACATGGAACAGCCCGGAACAGGTGAACAAGGCCAAGTAGAACGAATGCCCTTTCCGGCCAAATCCTCGCCTCCCGTGGACTCCAGAGTTGCCTCCAACGCCGCCTTGTCCCGCCGCCAAGTTGCTCAGCCTCACACCGGCAGGCCCACGGAACTTATACAAACGACAGATTCAGCATTCAGTTAGCCGCACCGCCGGTTCCTTTCCAAGCCTCCACCAGGCAGCTTCCATGTAGCAACCCCAAACGGGCATTCTCCTCTAGTATCATATTCCCCCAAGCGCTGTTGCTGCCTGTTAGCATCCAATCCATGACTTCAGCTCTAGCGAATGTACCCAGGACTCACCGGCAGAATAAGCCATGAACCACGTCAGCGATGCTCCGCCATCCAGCCACTGGGGGCTGAACGAGCGTGAACTGAAGAATTCCCAGGCCTTCTTTGGGTCAACCGACGCATAGCTAGCCCAGATGATGCCCTTCCAGGCATTGCCAATGTCGTCGATTCGGCCGTTGCTGAAAAAGGCATCCCACTCCTCCTGAACGAACTCCTTGGGCCTCACAAACGGCGTCGAGGGTAGGATAGGAATCATGTGGATGCCTTGGATGGCCTCGATGTTGGGATCGAAATACGTCGTGTGGTCCACCTTGTTCTCAAATAGGATGCCCGCCACCTTGTTGCCAATGAACTGCTTGGGCTGCACCTGGTTGTCATTTTTGTACAGGTAATAGTTCTGCAGGCTTCGGGCGAGGATGGAGAGCTGAAGATTGCCCCTATCATTCTTGGCGTCAGCTAGCCTGCCTCTCTCTTCATACAACGAAAAGGGGCAAGAAGGGAAAGGACAAAGCACGAATATGAACATCAGCATCAGCGGATATGAGCTTCGCAACACTTCCTTACCTTGCCTCCAAATCGGCATTCTTGCTCACTTTGCCCCACATCTTGAGGGCATATGCGTGCATCATGTCCTCGGAACTTGATTCTTGGTCCTGCGAGCTATTAGCAACCAGTCAAGCGATGCCGTGTTTTTGGAGCCAAAGCGCACCTTGCCGTCCATAGCGGCATAGAGACCGTGAGCCCAGCTGTGGCCGTGGTACCAGTCAAAGTTGCGCCACATGGGAAACAGCTTGTCTTTGGCGCTGGGGTTGGCCACGTCGCGAACGAGGATGTTGATGTAGTCCTTGTTCTGCTTCAGCCAGTCCGAGTCGAGATGGCCAATGATGGCGCCAGCAAGGATGTGATAGCCGTAGTGGAAGTGATGGTCATTGTAATACGTGTTGCCAAAGTCGGCGCCAGAGTTTCCAGTGACATAACTAGCCGACGATACAATACCACCCCAAGCAGCTGCAAGCCATCACGTTAGCATCAATCACTAGGCTACAGCAAAGTGATGGGAATCTCTCACTCTCATGGACAAGGGGAAACTTTTGCTCATTGGCCGCAAACGTGGCAAATGCCGCCTTGAGCTGCCCCAAGCCAGTTTGCATCAGCGCATTGTCGCCCAGCATGTGCTTGATCACATATAGTATAGTCGCAAACTTGGCCAAGGCCTAGAAGACAAGTTGTTAGCTGGAAACCCATACGTCGCAGCCAGGGGACACGGGAAGTCCTCACCTTTCCGCTGAAATACATGGAATCAAGATTGCTTTGTGAGATCATGTTCTGTGCGACTTCCTTCGCGGCGGCCGAGCGGATGATGCTCTTCGCGTGGTCTGACAGCTTCTCGATGCTTCCCTTCTTCGGATCCCAGGGGGCAAACGACATGCCCACCGGCATTGCAGGCTCCACCATGGTCCAGCGATTTCCCTTGACCAGTGTGGCAAGGCCCTTGGTGGTCGACTGCAGCTGCGTCTCCTTCTGTATGCGGCTTGATGTTTCTTGATCAAACGAGGCGACATGGTGGGGGAGAGCGTACATGTAAAGGTTGCCATTCTGATGTCCGTCGATCTGGAAATTGAACGAGTAGGTGCCTTCAAGTCCGCGAGTGGTACCTGTCAGTTCAAGTGAGATGGGATATATGCCAGCGCCATCGTCCAGGATATTCTCGGATATTTGGCTCTTTGGACACTTGCAGACCTGGATGACACCGTAAAACGGCGCCTTTGATTCAGCCAGGCCATTGTTGGTCACCTTCAGGTCCAGCGGATCCCCCTTTGTCCTCCAGGCATACACCAGCCAAGTTGAGCCATCCTCCAGATTGAAGGTGAACTTGGCCAGGTCTTTCTTGAGATCTCGTGTAACTCGAGTCATAGTCTTGAAGAATACACCAGATTGGATGACCGGAGTCACGCCGCTGTACTGTGCCGTGATGTACGCCATGCCCTGCACCAAGGGGAACGACATTGCAGGAGGAGAGCCGCCATCCTTGCTGAGATGCACGCGTGCCGAAAAGGCCGTCATGCTGTCAATGGAAAGCTTCGTATCTTTTCCAAGCTCCTTGGCAGAGAGGACCAAGGACTGGATGCCGACGGGGTTGAGGTAATAGGACGAAGCACCATTAAACTTCTCCTTACCGAAGACCCGTTGGCTTGCCTCCGTATGAGAGCACGCCATGCCCCAGCTAGCCGTCGTGCCCTTGCCTCCAGCCCAGGCGAGCGAGTAGGGGAACGTGAAAGTCGGACATCGTTGATCTTCCAAGAAAAAATTGGAGTAGAACTTGTTGGTCTGAAGAGGTGCATTCTCCGCGATTCCCTTTCGAGGAACAGGATGATCCTTGCGAGTCGAGATTTGGGGCGGCGGCAGCTTGACATCAATGGGCTCCGCGAAGATATTCTTTGACACCATGGTGGCTGCTGGTTGAAGGACTGCTGTCCCTGAGGCGGCTATCCGAGTATTAAACCGGACCGTAGTCTCTGCAGTTGGCGCTTGGGACGAATCGTGGGGACCGTCGAAGTCGGTTTTGCTTGTCGGAGTGGTGTGCGCTTCGGGTGATTTTGTCGTCCTGGATGGTGAAGAGCTTGCGGTTACGGTAATAGTCGTCGTGAGGCGGTTCTGGGCACAAGAAAATGATTCTGCGGTTTGTATAGACTCTGAGACAGTCGTCTTAGAGGCCAGAGTTTCGTTCAGCAGGACGCTAGAGAACGGAAAACGCAACTGAGTCCTGGTCAGGGGTTTTGATTCCACGGCCTCTGCTGAAGAAACAAAGCGATCTTGACCGGTATCCAAGCCGGGTCGAGCGTGAATTCCTTGGGTAAGTGTCAGCCAGCAAAGCAATGATACGATACGATGAGGTGAAGCCATGATAGAGGCAAGGATTTCAAATTGTCCATATATAGGTACATGGGCTGGGAGATCTTTTCCGAACTTGAAACTCTCAAGTCAGAAGACCTTTGAATGACGAGAGTGCGAGACATGTCGTTTTATTAATAGCAAGCGATGACTTCAAGCGTGGAATTTGGAATGCCCATAATGCCCATCGTGACGGAGGAATGGGTGTCCATGAGATGCTGTGTGGGGGAAATGATTCACATCCACGCATGACCGACTCCGAATCCCAGAGGCCTGGAATGCAGAGATGCCACAGAGAGTATAGGACAATCAACAGTGAGGTTTGTCTGCTTTGGACATACCTTTGTCGGACGGATTTCGAGCTGGTAATGCTCACGGCAGAGGTGTCGAGTGCGCGGATGAAGTAACGTCGATAGTGATTGAAGGTACAAAAGTTTGCTTTGAAGATATATCCAGAAGTATAGCAAGGTGAGAGACAAAGAGCAAAGAAAAAAAAAACCCCCGAAAAAGAGAGGCAAATGTACGTGATGCAAAATAGGAACGGCTTTCTAGGTAGGGCGAGCGGGATGCGATGAAAGAGCTCGGAGGTGGTTTGGCGAATGATTGAGAGACAGACAGAGACGGTTCGCGTCTATATAAGTACCTTGGCAGGAAGTACCGTTTGGTTGCTTTATCCTCCAAGATTGAGCTTTTTTTCAGCAAGAGGTCCTAACAGGTGATTCAAGAAGAGGGAGGGCTTCGATTGCACCTCCGTCGTCGATATACAGTGACTGATTAAGTCAGCTGTTCCCTTGGCGATAATTGCAGAAAGAGGAAGTGACGAGGCTTGGTGTTACCTGCTTTCTTTGCTCTAAATCTGGTGAGGAAAGAAGACGTCAGTGAGTGGGTCACGGGTCAGCTTCTCTCTTTCCTCAGCTGCAAATTTGAGAGCTTCTCTTGTTAATTCCTTGTTTTCCTCCCTTTCCTAGGAGCATGAGTGGTTGGTTTAGGGTAGCCGCACGCTGCAAGGGGTTATGGTGTTGCCCGGGGTGTTGTGGCTGGTATGAGCTGACTTGAAACTTTTCAAGTAAACAAACAATGTGGTTGTTTGAGGGGAAACGTGATGATTGCTGTGGAGTAGCTGAACTTCGTGCTTGGCTACTGTTTGGCCGTATTGGCTTGTAGAGTTTGCTAGTGATGCCATTTGAGGCCTGTGATTCTTCGTTCTTAATTGCTTGGTCCATGATGCCACTGACATCTCTTATTCCTTGGTGTTATGGGTAACGTCTCTCTGCATTGCCGTATCCCAGCAAGATGAGCAAGCTTGTAGAAGCACCGCGGGACCTCCAAGGCCTGAACTGTTCAAAGATACTCATTTCCACCAAAAGTGACACCTGACGTCTGAGGTCGTTATCCAATCCGCCGCCTTGGAGTCATTGTCCAGCCCAGCCCAGCGTCATATCATAATCCAAGAGCACTGAATCTCCCACTTGACGCGCCCTCCCGGAGCATCCTCTGCACCCTCTTCGCAGCATCCTCATCGACCGAGCTCTTGTTTCTTGAACTGCTCGTAGCTTGCTTCGCATTTCTTTCCTTGACGTCCTTGCTCTTGCTCTTGTCCTTGTCCTTGTCCATGTTGTACTTCTTCGCCTTCTTCTGCTCGGCCCTCTTCTGCTCGGCCCTGGCCTCGGCCTCAGATCGCTCTGCCTCCCGACGGCATCGACGCACATCCTTCTCGCGAAGCACCCACGGCACATCCAGAACCTCGCGCCGAAATTTCGCCCGCTTCTCCCAGAGCGCAACCTCCTGCGCCGTGCCCTTCACAATGACCATCTTGACAACGTTCATCTGCCGTTCGCCACGAAACGACGACACACCCCCTTTCACATCGACGACCATTCCCACGTCAATGTCCGCATACGGATCGGGCACTTGCGCGTCTGTAGTTTGCGCATCATTGTTGGTAGGTCGTTCGCCGGCAGTCGTCGATTCGTTCTTTGCCTTTGCAGGAGCTGGGAGTGTAACCACTGCGGAGATGTTCATGCCGCTGCTGTCGTCAATGGCGTAGATTCGTCGTTGAGCGTACTGCTCGATGGCAACTACGATGCCAACGACACGCACCCATTTGATCGGGAGATTTCGGTAAAAGAAGAAGCATTCCCCTTTGAAGCGCACGGTAAGCATCCCAACTGCCACCCATCATAGCAAGAGAACCATTCTCGGGTTAAGAACGCATACCTTCAAAGCCGGCATGTTGATCGAGAGCATGGACCTCGGCGGCGCGCAGCAGACACCAGGTATTTACGGTGGGCGAAAGGTGGAAGCAGTAACGCGGGTAGAGTGTAGAAGTGGCTCCGACAGCTTTTGTGGCCTCGGTCATGGAACGTGCGTCTTGGTGCCTTGATTCACGGGCGAATCAAGCGCATACCCCCATACCGGCGCGATTGGCTCTGCGATCATTTTCCGGTATGTCGTTGTAGAAAGAAAAAGGAGAGGACGCACAGGGTTGGAGGAGATGCGGTTTTGGGAAAAGGCCGTGAATTTCTGTGGCGCGTCACGGCTTGACACCCCGCCATAGCTCACGGGAGCTTACATGCCTCTGCCTGCTCCTGTGCCTACATGCAAGCTCATGTACAGCATCGCAGTCACGGCACGAGAGGGTCCTGCAGCTGAGGAGAAATCCTAAAATGTCACTGAACAATTCATTTTGACACGTTCAGTATCGATCAATTATCACATATTCTGAATAACATGCGCTTCGTGACGCCTTGATCCCGTATTCCGAGCCCGTTCCTTTCCTTATACAATGGCGCAAAACAGCCCAGCCCGTATCCCATACCCAAAAGCAGACATATAACTCATGAACTACCGGCGAGACCTCGTCGATCGACGGCCTGTATTTGACACAGGCTCCTCTTCCTTCTTCGCAGTCTTGGCCTTCTTCAGCCTGGCCGCAGCAGCTTGAAACGCCTCCTCCGATGGCTCGTCTTCTTCTTCCTGCGCAGGGCGCTTCTTGCCCTTGCCCTTGGGTTTCGCACCGTACTTTTCCTCAAGGTGGCTGAAGAAGTCTCCCGCGCGGTCCTTTTGTCGCTTCTGAATCAGGGCTGCCAAGTCGTCCTCCGCATTCCCCTTGCCCTTCTTGCCCTTTGCCTTGCCGCCAAAGATTTTGTCATGAACACCGAGTTCTTTGGCTAGTTCCTCTGCTTCCGCCTCCTCGGCCTTCGCAGCCTTGGCGCGAGCGGCCCGTTTCCGCTTGTTTTCCTTCTTGTAGGCTGCAAAGGCAGGGACATCGCCCGTCTCAATGGCTTCGTCGATGATCTTGCGGAATCGTTCGTCGTCCTCAACAACGTCGCTGAGCATCACCCGTTCGTAAACCTGGTCCATGTCGCCCTCGCACTCTTCGTAGGCGATAAGCAGGTCATCCTTCTCCTCGTCAGAGTGCTTGTATCTCGCAGCAAACTTCTTGATGGAATCTTCTGAAACTGCATCTTTGTACTGCTCCCGATAGTATTCGCTCCAGTCGAAGCCTTCAGAGTCGACAATGGACTCGGACGTGGATCCGGTGGTGTCGTATCGCTTTCGTCGCGCGGGGTCTGAGAGGACGGCGTAGGCGAATGCGATGCTCTGGAAGGTCTCATGAGCCTTTGTCTTGTGTTCCTCGGGGACCTTGTCTGCAGATGTCGACGTATGTCAGTAAAAGCTTGGCCCATGGTCATGATGCGTCCAGATCGCCTTGTCTGTGCAACCCACCCGGGTGGTTCTTGAGCGCTGCCTTTCGATATGCGCTCTTGACCTGGTCAGCAGTTGCGGTGCGCTCGAGCCCGAGGACCTCGTAGGGGTCTATTGAGGGCGGCTCGCCGTCGACGACGTCTTCGTGGTCCGACATGTCCAAGACTCGACTCGATGCGACGCTGCAGGTGTCTCGGGTGTGGTTGCAGAAGACAAAGAAGGGGAGGGTAGGCTGATGGATTGACTTGGAGCTGCAGCTGCGTCACGCGTCGCAGCGCGTTAAGCTTAATGGAGGCGGCAGCCGGGGGTCCACTAACGAGCTGCCGCCCTATTTCCGGAGCTGTTGACCCCTTCAGGCAATTGAGCTGGTTGCGGATTCTGTGACGATATGCTCTATGTGCAACTTGTCAGATACACACACACACAGAATGAGTTGTAACGTACAACCGCATTGATCAACTGCCCCTCGCTGCAGATTCGACACAACATGGCGTCCTCAGAAAGTCACAAGGCGGCCATGCGGCAGGCTCTGGAACTCGCCAAGAAGTCCCCGCCAAAGCCAACCAACTTCCGGGTCGGTGCCCTCCTCATGAGGCTGGACGACGGCCACATCTCCGCCGAGGGCTACACGCTGGAGCTCCCTGGAAACACTCACGCCGAAGAGTGCTGTCTCTTGAAGCTCGCAGAAGAGCACTCCACTACGGAAGAAGGCCTTGACGCTGTCATGAAGAGCCCGCATGCACTCTACACCACCGTCGAGCCCTGCTTCAAGCGTCTCAGCGGCAAGCTGCCGTGCGTCGAGCGGATTCTGCGCCAGAAGTCGTGGATCAAGAAGGTGTACGTGGGCGTCTTGGAGCCCGAGACATTCGTGGGAAAGAACCCTGGCCGCCAATTGCTGGAAGGGGGCGGCGTTGAGGTGGAATATGTGGCTGGATTCGAAGAGGAAATCCTTGCGGTGGCGGCAGCTGGTCACGCATCGTCTTGATGCCGTTGTCGATGTAAGAGGGTATCATTGCTTGGCCATGAGCCAGCTGACTTGCTGCTCGTGATATAAATACAATGGAAGGGTTGAACTTCAGACGACTGACTACGACAATGCCATAGAGCTCTTGACCACTTCGTGTCTCTAGAAAGCAATAGTTTCACGAGTTGTTATAGATGCGTGTAACTATCATGATCGCCTCGAGTAAGAATGGTTATGCATATTCATCAACATGTCAAACAATGACAATAGACAGACCTGACTCTGTCCTGTAGCAGCAAGGCATTACTATATTCGTCTGGGATTCAAGGTCTCCCAATTGAAGAATGAAATGAACTACGCACTACATGTTTTGCCGGTAAGACTGGAGCTTCATGTACCTGTTGGTGACTGAAATAGGTGTGGGTGCAGTAAACGCGGGGTTGTACCGCTGATGAACCCAGTGGCTGCTAAGACCAACTTCTGCTCCTCAACCATCTACAGAGACTCGGCACCTTCATCGCCCCATCAATTGGACGTCAGCAAAAAGAAAAAAGCATTATCATCTCTTTACTTTATTGATGTATTGATATTTGCGCATTTCCATTACATTAATTGCCACACTCTCAAGCCCAGAGCTTCACGACTCTCACCAAGCTGATCGTCATCTTCGACGCCTCTGGTTAGTGCATCATCGCTTCTCGAATCCCTGCTCAACACGGCTCTCCACAGATATTATCCGCCATCCCCTCGGCTTTCCAGCCGATCCCGTGGTGTCCGGCAAGTGAGGAGAAACCTCCATGCTGTATTACGCGACTCGAACACCCAGTTCCTCGTGACGTTGTCACGGAGAGAGCTGGAAGTCGTCTATGGGTTGATGCTCGGTGTACTCGGTTGAGACCCTCATGCCATACATCGCTTCACCACTTACAAATAGCCTTCGATCCGTCTGTCGTCTCTCTGTGCTGTTGCATCATCTCACCGCTCTTCTTCAAGCCTGGAAGGTCATCACCAGCGAGCACTATGCTTGAACAAAAGGTAGTCTCCTTTGAGCTGGGTGGCGGCTTCAGCCTCATCGGCGCCGAGATCTTTGTCGATGAGGAAGACTACACAGGCGTCTCCATTGCGGCGAACAATCTATCCAGCGACTTCACAAGGGTCACTGGGCGACACTGCAACCCCATTGTCAAGGCTTGCCCCTCGGCTCCTCCGGCTCGGTCATGTATCGTCATTGGCTCTCTCACTCAGTCGCCGACGATTCAGCTCTTAAGAGACCAAGGCAAGATTGATCTTGACCAGATTGAGGGGAAATGGGAGTCCTGGATCACAACGACTATACGTGATCCCTTTGAGGGTTATGACAATGCTCTGGTCATCGCCGGGAGCGATAAACGAGGAACCATTTTCGGAACCTATTCTCTCTCGGAGCAGATTGGCGTGTCGCCGTAAGTGTTGTCGTCCTAAACCACACATGGGAAGCCGATTCTAACAAACTTGTCAATCGATAGATGGCATTGGTGGGCTGATGTGCCTCCGAAAAGGCAGCAGCAGATCTTTGCTCTGCCTGTGACGACACGCAATGGCGAGCCCAGCGTCAAGTACCGTGGCATCTTCATTAACGACGAGTGCCCCGGCATGGACAGCTGGGTTCACGAAAAGTTTGGCCCCAAGTTCGATGCCAACTTGTACCATTACGTCTTCGAGCTTCTCTTACGACTCAAGGCGAATTTCATGTGGCCTGCTATGTGGCGAGGTTATCCGTATCCCGGACGATCCTTCTTCGTGGATGACCCTAAGAATCAGGAGCTGGCCGATACCTATGGTATCGTGATTGGCACCTCTCACCATGAGCCGATGCAAAGGGCAATGAACGAGTGGTCCACTACTCAGCCAGAAGGCACCTGGAACTGGGATACAAACAAGGAAAAGATCACACAGTATTTTGAAGAAGGAGCCGAGAGGGCCGTACCCTACGAATCCTATTTCACAATGGGAATGCGAGGCGAAGGCGATGTGCCCATGACAGGAGGCGATCCCGTCAAGATCCTCACCGAAGTGCTGGATGTGCAGAGGGACATCATCAAGAAGAACTATGGCAAGGAAGACGGTGTCCTGCAGCTCTTGGCGCTCTACAAGGAGGTTCAGGGATACTATGACAAGGGGCTTGTTATTCCTGATGACGTGACACTCTTGTTTGGAGATGACAATTTTGGGAATCTGCGCCGTCTCCCGACGGAAGAGGAGAATAAGAGGTCCGGTGGCTCAGGTTTCTACTACCACTTCCAGTACACGGGCTACCCGCGCTGCTACAGATGGATCAACAGCAACACTCTGGGCAAGGCCCTTCACCAGCTCCAGCTGGCTCACTACCGGGGCGCCAATCGCATATGGATCTTCAATGTCGGAGACTTGAAGCCTGTGGAGATCCCCATGAGTTTTGCGTTTGACCTGGCTTGGGATGTCACATCCATCACGGCCACCAGTCTGCCGCAATACTTTGAACATCTTGCTACGCGGGAGTTTGGTGAAAAGTACGCAGGTCCGATTGCGAAGTCCTGGTATGACTTCAACAAGCTGGTGGCGATACGCAAGCAGGACCACATCGACGCCTCTACCTTTGTCATCCAAAAGTACCATGAAGCTGACAATATCATTGCACGATGGCGGCAACTCATGGAAGATGTTCAGGCGATACATAAACACATCGGCGAGGAACACAAGTCTGCCTTCTTCCAGCTCGTGCTTCACCCTGTCAAAGCGACGTACATCTTCACTCAAGTGCGCGTCGCCCAGTACACAAATCAGCTCTTTGCCAAACAGCGCCGAAACACGACCAACGTCCTGCTTAAGAAGTGCATCAATCTTATGGATGATGATCATGATCTGTACGAAGAGTACAATTCCATCTCGGATGGCAAATGGAACCTCATGCTTCGCCAGCCTCACTACGGCTACGGCGATACCGGTGCGGAACCGTCGCGGAATATGATCGATGGGCTTTGCTATGTGCAGACAAGAGAAGACTCGAACCCCAGTGTTGGCCACATGGGAATAGCCGTTGAAGGCATCGAGGGAATCAACCCCGGCCATATCAACGAGGACTCTGACAGAACACACCCTTCCCGCGGCTTCCTCGAGCCCGGCGTCACCCTTCCATTCATTACGCCCTATGGTGAACAGACTCGCTACTTTGAGGTCTTCCATCGCGGCACAAAGGAGTTTTCGTGGGAGGCCCGACCGCAGTACAAGTGGATCAAGCTTTCTCAGTACGAAGGGCATCTGAAGCCCCGAGACGACGACACCAGAGTCATCATCACCATCGACTGGGCGCAAGTGCCCGCTAACTTTGACGCAAAAGTCATAATTGAAATCGTTGGAACTCGTGACGGCTACGAACAAGTCCACATGGGTGTCCGGAATAACCGAGTCCCTGCAGACTTTGAGGGCTTTGTCGAAGAGAGCGGGCACTTGGCCATTGATGCCGGCAATTGGGTCACGGCGCCATACATTCAGCTTCCTGCTCTGGGCCGGCCTATTGCAGGAGCTGTTACTTTACCATTTGATACCGACTTTGGCAAGGCCGACGAGCTTCCGTTCCTGCGCTACCCGATCTACGTCTTCTCGCAACACGACAGTACGAACCTCGAGCTCCAATTCAACACTACGCTTGAAACCGAAAAGACGAGCAGAATGCAGTACGACGTGCGCTTTGACGGAGGACCCATCGGCACATACCGTCTCACAGAGGACGAGAACAACGCCGAGAACCTCCCCAGGGGGTGGCCCACGGCCGTCATGGATTGCGTCTGGAGAAAGGCCCACAACATGGGCAGGGTGACGACGGGCAGCCACACGATTGAGGTGCGGATTCGGAGCCAGAACATCTGTCTGGAGAAGCTGATTCTTGATCTTGGGGATTTGCGGTACACGTATCTGGGGCCGCCGGAGAGTGAATATGTGAAGAAGGGGGATAGTCGAAGCGTGAGGCGGGGGAGTGTTATTGGGCAGATGGACAGCTTGCGGATTGATTTGGGATTCTAATATGGGTTTGGATCATAGGTGCAATTTCGGTTTCCTTTGTCAAGGTTTTTATGTTCGGATACAATAACTGATCCAAATACTTTATTCAAGTCTTGTACGACCATAGAGGTCGCTCTATGAGAACGTCGCTATTCCAAACCATCCTGAGAACAGAGAGACGATCCTACCATGGCTCTCTGAAAAAAGCTCTTCCACCGTGAAAACCTGAGCTATTACTTAACTCCCTTATCACTGGCACTCCCTTTTGCACTTGGCGCAAATATCCGACAACTTTGTCTTCACATCGTTCCAGCCAAGATACCTGCACCGCGGCGTGATATAACTGTTCAGGACCTGCTCCGGAGGACCATGCGCGATCCACCAGTTGCAGTAGTCCCAGACGGTGGAGCTGGTGGTGTCGACCCCGACGATGTGGCCGAGGCCTTTGCAGACGTTGCCGAAGTCGACGCAGCCGGCGTTGCGGCAGGGGCAGACGATGAAGATGCGTGTCTTGGTGCACATTTTCGTATAGTAGCTTCTTTTCTTGTAAGGCTGGGTTTGCGTTTCTTCTTCTTGTATTCTTGTTCCTTTTGGCTTGCTTGGTGGGCACATGACTTTCCATGGCGTAAGAGGATATTTATCTCTTTCCAGAGGAGTTTTCGTTCTGTGAATGGTGTTTCTCTGTGTTCTAGGGGTAGCACTGCTTCACTCACTGCGTGGTACGCCTGGGCAGAAGCTGACATATAGCCGTCCATGCAGTGCACCACGAGCTACGATTTGAGAACTTGATTAAGTCACTATCATCTATACAACAGTGAAGGTGTGCTGTTCTGCAGTGAAACCGAATGTGTGGACTCAGGTGGCGAAATAAAAGCTATAACCATAGATATCCCAATCACGGGCAATAATAGGAGCAGTGCATGCTTTATATATGATCACATAAGATAGAGTCTAAAAGATGTTTATAGTCTACAATAAAAGCGTTCTAGTGAGTCTCTGATACACACTCCCCAAGAGATGCCTCGCTGCCCGACTCTAATACGCGAATGAGAATCCGCGATAGCCGTTGTCCACCGCATCTTGAAGCACCTTTCGATAGTTCGCCAAACCTCCCACCCAAAACAAAATCTGCGGCTTCTTTCCTGCAATATTCTCACCAAAAATATACGATTTCCCCTTCCGAAACAAGTTCTTGCTCGGAATGTCGCGACACAGATCCATGTACTCATCCTCCGCTTGCTGAGTAGCCTCGATGAGGACTGGCTTATCCGATCCGTCTTCCCTCCTCTTCGCCTCGGCCTTGGCTATCAAGCCCGTGATGAAGTTGACCTGCGTCTCAATGGTAGGCGGAAAGTTGTTGAACGGGGATTGTGGTCCCACGACGAGAAACCAGTTGGGGAATCCTGCTTCGGACACTCCCAGGTAAGAAGTCGTCACATCCGCCCAATGCTCCTTGAGAGACTGCCGAGGCCCGCTGATGGTGAGATTGAGGTAGTTGCCATCAGCAACCTCAAAGCCAGTCGCGAAGACAATGACATCCAGCTCGTGCAGCCTGTCACTCGTGCGGATGCCTTTCTCGGTGATCTCCACAATGGGGTCCTCTCGCAGATCAACAACGTCCACGTGCTCTTTGTTGAACGTCTCGTAATACCCCGGCGCAGTAATGGGTCGTCTAGCATAGTATCCCCTCGGAGAAAGCTTCCGAGCCTTGACAGGATCATGCACAATCTGCGCAACCTTCTTGCGGATAAACTTGCAGGCTTCCTCATTCGCCTCTTCGCTGACTATGAGATCAGAAAAGGAGAACATGAACCGGAATCCGTTTCCTTGCTGCCAGAGGTCCTCAAACACTCGCTCGCGCTCTTCTGCGCTGACGCTCATGGCAGGGATGGTGCTCTCCTTGACGTTATGCGCAGCATAGCTGTTGAAGACGCCGTCCCAGATCTGGTCGTAGTTCTTGTTGATCTTGTCTCTGAACTCGGCCGTGACGGGCTTGTCTCCGTTGGGGACCACGTACTGTGGCGTGCGTTGGAAGGATACGAGCTCCTTCACCTGGTCCTCGAGCGCAATTGTGATTTGCACCCCCGTGGAGCCGCTTCCAATGACACCTACTCTCTTGTTCTTGAAGTCGTACTTATCGGGCCAGTTTCTGGTACCTTTGTTAGGGGCCTGTTTCCGCTGGATAAGGTTGAATGGGGACTTACCCAGTGTGATACTTTTCGCCAGCAAACGTCTCAAGGCCCGGAATGTCAGGGTAGTTGACCTTGGACCAAGTTCCCAGAGCAGTAAGCAGATATCTGGTCTCGACAGTCTCGCCGGAGGAGAAGCGAGCTGTCCACGTAGACGTAGCGCTGTCGAACGAGGCGGACTCCAGCTCAGTGCCGAACTGCATGTGCTTCCTCAAATCATGGCGCTTCACGACGTGCTTCAGGTAGTCCTGGATCTCCTTTTGGGAGACGTAGTGGTTCGGCCATGGGTATGTTACCAGCAGCTCCTTGTCGAAGCTGTATCTGTACACTTCGCTGAGAGAGTCGCTGTTGGCCCCGGGATATTTGCTCCAGTACCATGTACCACCAACGTCGGCACCCTTTTCGACCAGCTTGACGGAGAGTCCCAGTTCGCGGAGTTTGTAGAGCTGGTAGATTCCGGCAAAGCCGGCACCAACAATCAAGGCGTCGACCGAAGGCATGTTTGGAGATTGAAGAGCATGTGATTGGCCGTCGGTAGTTTGCTCAAGGTATTCTATGGCAAAGGTTGAGAAAGATGATCAACCATATTCCCCTTTATATTGACAAGTGCACCGCATCTGTACATGATGGATACTCATTTGACGGAAATGCCATGCGGATGGTTTGTAAGTAAAGTGTTGGCATGCAGCGTCGGACGTTCTCAAACCGTACTCGACATCGGTGTAGTTTTAGAGCAGCTATTGCTATATCACATGTGTACACAAAGCATGCAGAGTCATTTGTTGAGTCTTGAATGTGGCCTGATCTGAAAGCAATCCTCTTGTTTCATGGTGTTTACCTATACCTGTTGGGTGGTGATACGCCGGCCAGTAGCCGCTGGACGTTAATCAAATTACTCAATATTCTCGTTCTGGCTCTGGCCGGGCTGAATAATACTCAGATCGTGTAAAAGCCTTCGCATATAGTATGGTAGCCTGCGCCCCCCTCCAGCCAACTACGTGTGTACTGGGCCATCCATTTTTTGACACCGCTCACAAGATCACATTTTGCTCAGATTGATTGGAAAGCATCGAGTCCATTATGACGCACGAGTTTCAATTGAGTTATGCTTACCTTATATGACCGCTGAAGAATGGGCTGATGAGCGCGGTTTTAACTGGCGATGCAATCTGCAGCCTACCCGGCCTAATATGTGCGTCCGGCAACCCTTATTTCCTATCCAGGGCAATCCGCATTGTTTCGCACTCTTTGGCATGCAGTTCCGAAAGCACGGAATTGATATCTGTAGTCGTCTTATATCAGGCTCGTGGAGATAGACTTTGGGTGTGTGCTACCCCGGATTACTCGATCTGTTTGCACTTTTGCTATGATCATTCAGGTCTCTCACTGTCCTGAGCTCTTCTCAAATAGTGTTATAACTTGATACTAATGACTAGATTGACGGAGAATCCGTCTATCTCAACGGCAGACAAGCAGTTCTTGTTTCTTCAAGAGCGTAGAGGACCCTGAAATCACACTTCCGAAACAGGAAATAAGATGCCACAAGGAAATCTCCGAGAGTGGAAGGGGTCTTTGTTAGCTCCCGGTGATGCGGGGAGTCCCGCGAGATGCGCGTATTCTGCTCGTGTAAGCGAGCCTTTTGCCCGGACTGCTTGGGAATGTATGGGCAATATTTAGTACAATATGGATTAAGCTGGTGCCTAGCGTTTTTCTTCATCTTCGTCGGACAAAGAGAGTCTGTACGATTTGTAATGACGATGCACCCGACCCTGTTAGTGTGGATGAAGAGAGGACAAGAAGAAATTATGAGCCGTAGCTCAAACGTCATCTGAACATTTGCGTTAACGATACATGCTACTAAGAAATATGCGGTTCCATCTATGCTGCATTCAAATCAATTCTTCTCAAAGCCCTCTTTCTCAGCCTGCATCGCCTTGTATATCCAATCCGTATGACGCTTCTGGTAGTTCGCCGCGCCCTCTGGATCATCGCTCTTGATGCCCAACGTCTTGGGGATATGGAACCCCCTAGCAATGGCGGGCCTCGCACTCAGCATGGCCTCCCACTTCTGCAGGTTGGGGAACAATTCCAGCGGGACATCCACATAGGGACCAAAGATGACCCAGGACAGGGCGGCGATGTCTGCGATTGAGATGTGGTCTCCGACCAGGAATCCGGACTTGGACTTGGAGAGTTGGACATCGAGGACATTATAGAGGCGCTTTGTTTCGGTGACGTAGCGGTCTATGCCGTACTGGATTTTGGTGGGAGCATAGCGGAGGAAGTGAGATGCTTGGCCTTGCATGGGGCCAATACCTGAAGAATGACAAGTGGTCAGTTGGATGCGGTTGCAAGAGGAATGGTAAGTTCTGCGCGGAATAGCTCACCTCCGTGCTGGAAGAAGAGCCAGTTGTTGCACTCATAGTAGTCTCTGCTACCCTTGGGAAACGAGAGCTTGTGCTCAGGGTCGTAACGCTCAGTCAGATACTGCAAGATGCTGCCTCCCTCAAAGACTCTGATCGGCTGGCCGTCGTCGAAAGTGTCCACGACGGCAGGAATGCGCCCATTGGGGTTGATCTCGAGATACCACGGCTCTTTTTGGCGAAGAGTGCTGATGTCAACGTGCTCTACTTCGTAAGGGAGCCTGAGCTCCTCGAGTGCGGTGGTGATCTTGATTCCGTTGGGAGTCGAGTCCGTGTACAGCTTGATGTGAGGTTGAGGCGCCATTGTGGAATCACGGCGGTCGATAGAAAATCTGGTATCAAGAGGCGAACGCTCGTGAACAGAGTTGCTGCTAAATGATATGGTATGTGTTCCGTCGTGAGTGATCTTGTAAGTGGCTGGACGAGAGCGCAACATATAAATACCCCTCCACCGAAGAGAGAAGGGCGGCTTAGAAATACGCACACTTGCAATTCGCATATTGTTACAATCTCTGAACACATTCAACAATTCGAGAGGTTTCTAATTGGATGATATATAATGCGAGGAATACGCTTGGTTCCATTGTACGACATGCGATGATCTCATGACAGGGACATACACCTGGTGCCCTTTCGGGCAATTCTGGACTACATCTTCTTTGAGATAAGAGGGTTGTTACAAATTCGCGCAAAGGGCATCATTATTAGTTTAGGAAGCTGAGTAATTGCCGGTGCATGTTACCTGAAGTGACTGAAGCTCTTGTTCGGTCCCATCTGTAAAGGAATGAGAAGGTGGTCCTGCGGTCGAGGACTCTCTCGGAGTAACTGATACTCATCTGTATATGCCCACAATGAAGGGAATGGAGGCAATAACTATCATCCTGCGAATGTTAGTCAACCCATACTGCTATTAGTGTTATATGGCTATCATAGTGACCCCATTGTCAATAATTCTAAAGATTGTTGTGAAAATACGTCGCTCAATTTACATGTAGGGAATCAAAACGCCCCCTTCCTCATACCATAGCCGGCCCAAAAGCAGTGCTCCAAAGCTTTGCCTCATCGTGCAGTTTACACCTCTCCAACAGTTCTACCAGCTTATCATGAATGTGTCCCAGCGATATATCTGGCCCCCAGCAAATGCCACCACTAATCCGTGCCTGCTTCAACCATGCTATTGCAGCCTCCAGATTACCACTATTCTCGTATATCTTTGCAATATCTTCCATTGTCCACACGGCACACTCGTCATGGCATTGTGGATCTGGGTTGAATCCAATGGTGCCATCGAATCTTTGCTCGACAATATCGAAGCACACTTCCAGAGCCGACACCCAGTCCTCCTGGTCCATAAAAACGTGCTCCAGCAAGCGTGCTGTTTTTCGTTCCAGAAGGGATCCCGGCCCAGTTGCCATCCTGATATCTTCCAAAGCCTTATTGCATACTCGTAGTGCCTCATCGTAGTCCTTGTTGCGGCGCAGTAAGGCGATGAGGCGTCTTTGAGCGAGCACCCTCAGTTCATTAGCTGGATCGAGGCTGGCGCACAGGCGATCCACGATGCAAGTAAGTGCCCTCAGCGACCAGTCTGTACTCTCCATGCCTTCGTGCAGCCTCGATAGAACAACCATTATAGGGCTCTGGCAAGGCAGCTGTTGTACCGCCAAGGCATGAAGATAACGGAGCATGGTTTTGCGAACATCAGGGTTGGTGGCGGTGTTGATCGGTGACAATATACTAAGAATTTCGATAAGCGCGGTAGCTGACCCCTTTGTGAATATCTCGTCAGAATTGATCGCAGTCGATTGCTGGAGCAGCATGCGGGCCTTTGGGAAATCTGAAATCTTGAAGAAGTAGATGCTGTTGCTGCAGTCCTTCCAAAAGCGTGGCTGCAGAACTTCCGGTGCTGGATCAAAGTTGCCCTTGGTGTAGAAGGTCCGAATACTGAGCAGTGCGAGATTTAAATGGGCATCAGCAGGGGTGTCCCGTGGAGTTATTGTCAGGCTCGACGATAGGCCGCGCTGTAAGTGAAGTCGGAGTTGTTCTTTTCGTTGGGCAACCGTCTGCGGGCTCGGAGGCTGAGACGATATCCTCTGCCATGAGCTCTTGTACAGTCCAGACTCGGAGAAAGTTACAGACGAAGAATTTGACCATGCATCGCTCTCATCCAGATTCGCCGCCCCCGAGCTGGTAGCCGAGACACGCTCGAAGCTATCGCTGCGAATGCTGATGGATTGAGACTGCGCAGCCGCTAGACTGAGAGTCTTGATACCAACCGAGAGCTCGGTCAGCTGCGCTCCGATGCTAGCGAAGCCCTCAATAGAAAGGCTGTTGTTCGCGGCCGTGAGCTTATGCGTCGCCATTTGGACTTGCAATCCCACGGCTGTAAGCTCACGTATCACCTCGCCATTGAGCCGCTCCAGCCTCTCCAACCTGTGCGGCAAATCCTTTTCCATCTTCAATGATGTGATCGACTTCCACAACCAGCGACCCGGCTTCGCTCTGGTTGCCGCTGCTGGGGCGAAGTCGGCGAACGGGAGGAGAAACTGGTTCACTTCTTGTGTGGCTTCGTGGAGGGTGGCCAAGGTGTTTATGAGCCCGTCCGTGTGGCTTAATGATTTGAGCTGCTGGTAGAACTTGGACTCGGTTTGTAAGAGGTTGTAGCAAAGACGTTCCACCTGGGATGTTGATGCTTCGATCTCTTGGAGGTATTTTGCCAGCTTTGGAGGGACCTCGCGAAGTGCTTTGATGATGCGGATGGTCTTTATAAGAGCTTTTGCAGAGCCTTCGGCAAGCTGAAGGCCCGCCGCGATGGCGCCGATGGCAGCCAATGCCTCAGCCATTGTGTAGTGAGGAGATGATATGGGTTAGTGGATGAGAGTTAGACTTGAATGCTGCGCTTTGCTTCAATGCGTGCTTCCGAGAATATTGTAGCCCCATCAGTATTTGTAGCTCGTCGACTGCCTGGAGCTGAGTTTAGTCTTACACTCTTAGTTCATAAGGATGACTTGTAGGCTCACTCCATAGAGGTCCCTTTCTTCCCTTTCCAATTATCATGTGCTGTGATGCGTTTTGTAGTAGAAAAATGGAAATAATGTCGTAGCCTGAAGCCGAAGAGCAGGCAACATCAACTGCCCGCCCCAGCTCTTCTTCCGTCCCCGCTTCACGTTATCCTGTGAGAGCGTACGAAGTACACGGCATACTCCTCTGCCCAAATGTAGAGTCTCATCAATTCAGCCTCATGGGGCGGAGCCAGTGGGCTGCAATTCTTCAGGATCCAGTGTCTGACAGGGGTCCGCAGAAGGTGAGTGGCACTGCGTCAAAACCCGGTAAACATCAGCCATAGGTTAAGCGCTGGGCGTCTTTTTCACATTGACATGTTGCATATTGTTATACTGGATGAATGCTACAAGTAACGCTCGTTATGAGGCATGATCCGGCTCTTCTCAGCGGCCCTCTTCGCATTATTCCACTTCTATAAGTAACCAGGACGGCCTGTACATACGAACATGCATATATACCGTGACACGCGCGGCTCATCTCTCTTGAAATCGACACTTACACACAAGCGCCATGAGTCGGCGCTTGTGCTCCGTCTACGTCGGGCTAAAGGCCCGCAAAGACTTGGTATACCAACATCATGAGAGCCTTCAAGCGCTTAAATCCTGCGCAGAGCGCTTCTACAACCGTGTCCAAATTGCCGGCCTTACTCTGGCTGGCCGTGAAAGACAACTTTGCCAACAACAAGCCTCGGCTTCAGCACTTTCTCCATAACTGGTAAACTCATCCCGAACTGGGGGAATTACTCCCTCCATCACAGAGAGCAACCGCCCGACGAAGGCAAACACGAGAGTCCGTCTAAATTAGCGTTAGGTTTCAAGGAGAATGAGGGCTGTATCCTGATGCATAATTTTCCAAGCTTGACCTATGTTGTGGGGGGCTCCGAAGAGATCTTGAGAGGGGACTTTCCTGGACCAATAGCCAATTCGGTGTCTCATGGTGAGCTGGATGGCACCGAACTCCCTACTCTCGATTGGCCTTCGGGGTTGACACCTGATATACATAGGCCAAGTGCTGAAAAGTCAGTGAATCCTGAAATTCGCACTGAGATCATCTCGATCCGGAGAGGCTGGCTCGATCGATGCAGCATGCTTGATGGACACTGCTGTGGAAATGGGCGGGAGCCCTGGGCCTCGAGGATTATATACACTAAAGGGAAGAAGGCTAGACTCATTGAGCCGGGGAATTACAGAGTCGATATCTACGAGATACGCTCATATTTCCTCGGAGCGCTGGACGAAATGTATTCAAGCTTCCAATAAGCTTCCAAGAGCCAAGAGCCAATAGGAAGACCTTTCTGATGGGGATATCGTTGTTCTAAATCTGCTTGACGCATCACTAGGCAATACATCAAGCTAGGGAGCAAAGAAGTGGCCTGGTCCAGTGGCAGAGTGTTCCAAGTCCTCGGATGCCTATGAGTTTGTCATTACTGTCTATATTCACAATTCACGCATCTCGCGATGTAAGACAGAAGACCGTCTTGATTGAAGCACATGGACAAATATCGTACCCAGGCTACTCGCGCGAGAGCATGAAGCGACACATAGATTGTCTAGAGCCTGCGGAGGCCAGAGAGCTGGTCAGGGGCATGCGGGATCCGTGCGTAGAGTGGTCTATCATCGCCGCTACGGGGATTTTAGACATGGAGCATAAGGCAATTAACAGGTCCCCGAGTATCACGGCGCTTTGCCTCACCTCGGAAGAGGAATTGCCCCGGGATAGAGTGTGCGACCCGATGGGCGTTACAATCGGGGTTCGGGAGAGTGTGTGTCTTCGTCTATCGAAAACCCAGTGGTAGCTACATGTACCCGAGGGAGTCAATTACGAGAAATTATAACTCCATCGAAGCTCAATCACCTATCGGGACCTATTTCTCTTCTCTGTGGGAGCCTATTAAAGCTTATAACTGTGCTGATAGAATGTCGGTGCTACGTTGATGATATTGATGATATTACTAAAGGAAGCTCTCGTATCATAGTAGATGGAGCAAGTCTTTGGGTATTATTGCAATTTCTCTGTAATACCGCATTTTCATAAAGCAGTATTGTTGCATTTCCTAGGTGACCTCTCACATATGTTAACATATCATGGTGTTCCACATCCTGGCTTGTAGGTGACTGGAGTCTTTTCCCCCTTTGTCTACTCGGGCAATGCAGATCACAGAAAGTGTATGCAGCCTGCCGAATGAGAATGGCCCAGAAAGGCTCATTGAAGCGAATCTACTTATTGATAACAGTGATCGGGTACACAGGTAATACACGTCTCTCCCCGTACGCGTTTTGTGCTCAGCGGGAGTTTTCACAGTTACACAACCTCGTGTTTGCCTCTCACCCACCGCGGGCTGTCCTTTTGACCTGTTTCCTTTGATGGCCATGCTCGAGTCACGCGCGCTTCGTAGGCGCCTATTCACAGCATACACGAGTCTCGACCTGCGCGCCTTTGTTCATCCGATTACCAGGTCGCCAGGTTACCTTTGTGTGATGCCAGTGAATACAAGAACCAACCGCAGCTGCAGCCTCCTCCACAAACCCTGTGCAGCTTCATGTTCTGAATGCTCATACACATTGTCACAGCAGACCGACTTGCAAGATAGTGCTGGAGATACCCATTACCACGACTATATAACGACAGTTCGCTGCTGGTCGATTACGGCCCGCGTATCAATATGGTTTCCTCACCAGATCTCAACGATCGTGACAATCAAAAGGCCTCAAATTCCTCACGCAAGCGGCCAAGCGAAGCATCACTGGAGACACCGCCTTCTCCCAAACGACGCAAGCCGCACTATCCATCAACGATCCCCTCGAGATTTTGGGACAACTTGTCAGAAGTGCCGCTCACGCGGAACGCACTGCGAGAACTAGACAGGAGACAGGAGCAGAGGGAGAGAGCCTCGCACGACGCAGAACAGGATCAACCGCGCGTCTTAAGGCTTACACGAAGCACACGACGCTCGCTCGTAGAAGAGAATTACCGCCAACAGTCTGCTGACCAGCTCCTTGGCCAGTTTTCGCCAGCCTGTTTGAAGGAAGTCAGACGGTTCTCAAGCCACGGAGGTCCAGACCTAAGTGATCTGATAGGGGTATGTTTGCCGGGCATCTGCGTGTGGTCCTCCTCTCTATGTACTGACACCCCGGCCTTTTCAGTATCCAGAACCTCCACAAGTCACAGAGGAGATGATGTCTGGTCAGACCAATCCCAGCCAGAAGAGCCCTGTGACAAGGAAAAAGTCCGTACACAATAGCAGGGCGTCGCCGTATTCCTTGAGAAGCACAAGGGAAACCACGCTCACATCGGCTCGTACAAAAAGCACCGGTCCGTATGATCGTGCATTCCAGCAACATCTCATCGACCACCGTGTCTATCCTTACGGATATCAGGATCTGGATGGGGAGTTGCAGCCGAGACCTGAGAACATGAATGACATCTCTCGAGAATTAGCTCGACCTAGGGCGTCTCTGTCTCCATCCAGATTTTCGAACGAGGACTTCCACAAATTCCAGATGGCTGATATAAATGCGGTCAGAGAGACGCAGGTCATGTCAAATGTTATCCCAAAGATTGAAGGAGATACCAAGGACTATCGAAGCGTCGCTGGAGAAATCCCGTTCACAAATCTGGAGCATTTGACCGATGGCACTATCAAGCCAGGCAACCCTGATCTGTATCATGGCGCACGTCCGGAACAGCTCAACAGAGAGGTCCGCAGTGTGCTCAACCATCAGATAGTCCCTTGCACCCAGCATGATCTGCCAGCCGTGCCAAACTTTTTCCTCCAGGTCAAAGGTCCCTGGGGACAACCAGCAGTTGCCTATCGACAGATGTGCTACGACGGCGCGCTAGGAGCTAGAGGAATTCAAAGCCTTCAGTCTTATGGAGAGACAGAGAAAGTGTATGACAACAAGGCTTATACCCTCACATCTATGTACCAGGACGGCCAACTAAAGATGTACACCAGCCATCCTATTCCTCCTTCTACTGAGGGCGGGCAGCCGAGCTTTTCCACAAGCCAAGTCGGGACCTGGGCGCTAACTGGTACTCCGGAGGCCTTTCGACAGGGCGCTGCTGCGTACAGGAACGGCAGGGACTGGGCGAAGCGCCAAAGAAATGACGCTATCAAGAAAGCAAATGAGAGAGCAAGTCGGGCAGGCCAGGTAGGTAAGAAAGGTCAGGCAGATAACACGGCAGCTCAGGCAGACGACGGGGGAAGCCAAGTGCCCGTGTCTGCCCAAGACGTCGGTGTGAAACTGGAATTCACAAGCCAGATATCTGTTAGTAATACAACTGCCGACGGTCTCACTGGCCTGCCGATGCCTGTATCTCAAGATCTACTCTCATTCGAGCATGATGTCTCCGCAGATGAGCCGTCGCCAGGTCTTCATCAACTAAACGCTGTGGCTGGCAGTCATACTGCGGATAGCCCAAGCCTGCTCAGCCAGGAGAAGCTCACTCAGGCAGTTTAGTGTCTTCTAGATGAATGCTTGAAGAGGGGGGTATAATGCCATCTTTAGGCACGGTGACATCGACTCTTGCTCTCATAGAGTGTCACGGCCATAGGACATGATACGGGCAATCCGAAGGTGAGTAATGAGTGCATGGTGCGACCACGTGTACCTTGACCATGGCATCCCGTACTATTTTGTCGAAAACATGTCTGAGCAGCTTTGCTGATACACAGAGAAAAGTTTGGTAGGAGGTCCAAAGCACAGGGCTAGATCCAGGATAGACCAGGAAAAGGAGACGGTGTTGTTCGAGGGATAGCTACGAGGTGTGGCATGGGATACACCTAGGGGACGTTGACATGGAGTTCGAGCAACATGTGCATGGGCAGATGGAGGAATATACCCCATGTTCCATCGGATTATACACCCAGGAGAAACTACGAGAACCCTCAGTTATGCGGAGGACAGTGATATACGCCGCAGAGCCTGACTTGATGAGCTGCCAAACCACTTATGTGGCTTGGGATCGGTTGGTATTCGAATTCGATTTTTGGGCTTTTCGTTTATTGCAAACCTGGAGCGTACTTGATTCCTATTTGCCGTTTACCATTTTGTCTTTATTGTGCTCGCTTTTATCTTCTTTATGTGACAATTAGTTGTCTCTGATTGTCACATTATGATCACGGTTTTTACGTGGCAGGTGGGTACGGGATTCCTTACCGTATGGCTTATTGAACAAACGATCTGGTTAGTTGACTTCAGTTCTCTTCGAGACTCTAAGCTGAGGGGACAGACTCATACTTTTCTTTAGAGCACAATCTAATATGGTATGGACATCTTCATATGAAGCTATTACCAGCATGTCTCACTTAATTTGAGCGATCATCAAAGCCTCCCTTGATCTGACGAAGTTGCTGGTAAGGGGCGCCTGCTACTCCTTATATATATCAATTTAGCATCGACCCCACTCATCAAATAAGCTTATCCGACGTGGTGTAGTGGCTAGCATACTGCGCTTTCACTAGAAAGTCCCGCAGCGATCCGGGTTCGACTCCCGGCGCCGGAATTTGATGTCTTTTTGCCTTTTCTGGCGTCCGTTCTGGACTCCAAGAGACATTTCCCGTGTCTCTCTTAACTGATCTCATGTTAACCTTCTTTCTTTTTTCCTTTCTTTCCTTCCCCCCCCCCCTCCCCCCTTCTTTTCCTCTCCTAATGGCTTTCCCTTAGCAACGGGGCCGTTCTGTGGACGGGTGACGCCTTGTGGGTTGGCAGGATTATCTATGTAGGAGCCCTTCTACGAAGCACACCCCATGGCTGTGAGGGTCGTAATTCAACTCTGGGAGTGCCTAGGTACCTATGCTGATGCGATGCTCACGTGTAATCTCAGTTCTCTGCAGACGAAGAGCATCCAACGATGATAAGACGAGAACTACAGACGGGTTTCCTTGGAGCTGGAAAGTACGAGTACATCGTTCAACCTGGGGGCATTGGGTGTCAAGATATTGTGTGGGTAAGGTGCTCGAGTGCACGACACCCCGCAGTGGCGAAGACTTTCCAAGTCGTTCGTACTTCGTCTGAAGCGTTTGGTATCAAGAGATCATCCTGTATGTGACGTTTGCATGCACAGGGAAAAGCTTCCCTCATCAACTTGCTCTCCATTCCAAGTATGCAGTGCAACCATGGAAAAGACAAGATGATTCTTCAAGCATATTCTCAACCTTGGCCATGCGAGAGGCCCGCCGTGTTGACGCTGGTCTGCGCGCACTTGCCAAGGAAGCACACTGGACGATGAGCAGCGCGTCTCGACCACAAGGAGTAGCAAGGCACCACAACAGGCTGGCGCGCTGTGAGGTTGCGTGAAGGGAATACTATGCCAATCGAAGAGCTGGCCAGGATTGATGCCACCCTCCCGAGAACGTACATCTGCTGTGAACCGTGAGGCTGAGGCGCCAACGGGCCACGAAGGAGCGGATGCAGGTCGTGCAGACGGTTGCTGCTAGGCAGAAAAGAAGCGCCGTGATGCCACCTCTTTTTCTCTTCTGCTTTCGAGCGAATCAAATAATGCTGGTCCGCGCACCGTACCTGTACGTTGATAATAAACATGCAAAAGCAGAGGCCAGCGAAATGTGGACAGGACCCATTGGGAGGCCGACAATGGGGGGCAAGGGTGGGAGGAAGAGCTTTTTGTTTGGCTGAGAAGGTGGCGTGTATCAGTGAGCAAAGTTCAGCTCTATCCGGATATATTGGACGCATCGGCTCGCGAGTTGCTGGAAGCTGGCTTTGCTCTTCAGGGTTATATCGAATTCCTGCAACTCACAACGTATGTAAGGTGTACGGCGACCTCTCTCTCGAAAACTTCCCACATATCCTGCTACACTTCATTACACGGAGCGAGTTGTGGTTCCCTAGGAGCTCTTCCAGATCTCGGCACAGCGGCAGGTCGTGTCAAGTACATGCAAGCACATCGTGCCCACTTGAGCATCCAACAACGATAGCGAGCGGCTGCAGGTAGGCGACATCATCGCTCCCAGCACAGCAAATCAACGCACTTCGAACAAACGCCTCCTCGGAGCTCTGCATCCGCCCAAGAGCCAATTCGCACACAGCTTCCCATCCGGCTGACTCAAGCTGCTGACTTGACGTTTCTCTTTACTTTCCCCGCAGAAACCTGACAAGCGCCTTCTCTCGGATCCATCTCTTAAGGTAGAAAAGACGGACAACGGCAGCTTCGGTGGAGAGCTTCCACTCGAGCTTGGCGCGTTAAAAGCTACCTGTGCGGACCCTCAACTCCAAGCTCGGCCGCACCCAAACTCTCGTCTCGCACGAGTATCTCTTCACGCACCGCATCGGGCAGCTTCCAACAGCTCGCTGCTCCTGCTCGCTGCTCCTGCTCGTGCTGCTGCTCTTACTGCTGTAGCTTCCTTCCTATATCTGCGACTTCTTATCAGTTTCCTTCCCCCATCCATTGACCTCCTGCTGCTCTGCATTGGGCAGTCACGACCCTCTTATCAGGCTCTTGACCTTGCTCAAGTTGCTCTTGCCCTTCTCGCTTCGCTCTAGCCTTTGTTTGCTTTCAGCACGGCCCAACCTCTTCTGTTTACACCTTTGCTTCTGCTCGCATACCGTCGTTTTCATTCTCTCTACACGCATCATCTCTGCTATTCTTGGTGCTCTTTGATTGAATCTTTATACTTTCGCTTTTGGCAATATTCTTTCTTTATTTTTACGATATCACTTATTTTCCCGCCACCATCTCCTTGCTTCATCTCTGAAGTCCTTCTTTTACAGCCGCCTTTCAAGCACAGTCTTGCTTCCTTCAAATTACATCGAGCTCCCAAATGGCCGACAGAGGCAACCGGGGAAATCGTGGCGGTGGCTTCCGCGGTGGAGACCGTGGTAGAGGTGGCGGTCGAGGCCGAGGAGGCGATCGTGGGGATTTCGGCGGAGGTCGAGGCCGAGGGGGCGGAGACTATGGCGGCGGCCGAGGCAGGGGAGGAGATCGTGGAGACTATGGCGGCGGCCGGGGCAGAGGGGGCTATGATGGCGGCCGCGGCGGAGGAGATCGCGGTGGCTTTCGTGGCGGCTTCAGTGGCTTCCGTGGAGACGGTCCCCGAGGTGGCCGCGGAGGAGGCCGCGGTGGTCGCCGTGATGCTTCTCCTGGGAAATCAAAGGCGTTCGGGTGAGTCGCATTCTCTACTGTCAACGAGTTCTGGCACCAGGCTGACATGTTCGCGTGCGTTATAGCTACGACGGAGCGGTTCCCCCTCCTGATGCCCAGATCACTCAGCTTGAGAACCAGATTGTCGCACGTCAGTCCTCATCCCTGGCTGTTATCACCAAGCAGGTGGCCGCTATGAGCGTCAAGGGAAAGGGGGGCAAAGTCGGCGGTGCCGGTGGTGGCAAATCCGAAACCCCGATGAACGACCGGCTCCCTGCCCGGCCTGCCTTCGGCACGCAGGGCAGGCCCGTCGTCCTCTGGGCAAACTATTTCAAAGTCAACGTCACCAAGGATTCCTTCTTCAGATACACGATGGATGTCAAGAAATGTCCCAGAAAGCCGACAGCACCGAAGAAAGAACCGGGCGGTAAGGCTGCCTCAAAGAAAGCTGGCGAAGCGCCAGGATCTGGTGAGCCCGATCTAGCACGGGAAGTCAAGGGCAGAGCACTGTTTTATGTCATCAAAGCGGTTCTTGCGAAGCTCTTATCCCAGGACAAGACGCTCGTTGCTGTCACCGAGTTCAAGAGCCAGCTCGTCACGCTCAAGAAGATCGACTTGGTTGAAAATCCTCTCGAGGTTGAGGTTCCACGGGACGAAGGAGGCGACCTTATGGACACATATCTGGTCCAGTTCCACGGCCCAGCCGATGTTGACGTGGGCAACATGAAGCAGTATCTGACCTCCATGATCGATGCGCCGGGCGCCGCCGACGAGGCTCCCTTTCCACGCTTCCCTGAAGTCGTTGATGCGCTCAATATCATCTTGGGCCACGGGCCACGAAGCGACCCCAACAAGACCGCGGCCGTCGGGTCATCACGCTTTTTCCCTTTTGGCAACGACAAAGTGATTGAGCAACTTACCCATAACTGGCGAGCTCTGACGGCGGCCCGTGGCTACTTCCAGTCCGCCCGCCTTGCAACTGGTCGCACGCTGCTGAACGTCAACGTCACCCACGGCGTCTTCACGCTCGCTGGCCCCATGAGGGAGATTTTTGACAATCTAGGCATGAAAGCCGCCTACCAAGACAAAACCCAGGCGTGGAAACTCAGGGCCTTTGGCAAATTCCTGCCCAAGACACGTGTCTGGGTTACAATGAAGACTACTGAGGGCAAGACTATTCGCCGTTCCAAAGCTATACGAGCTCTTGCTACCTCTTTCGATGCAAAGATGAAAGGACGCGGCATGGCCCATCCGCCAAAGTTTGATGGTGGAATGGAGTATGGGGGGCCCAAGAATGTTCAATTCTGGCTAGAAGACGACCGACGTTACGTTACAGTCTTCGACTACATCAAACAGAGTAAGTGTTTGTTTCTAGTCGCTTGACGCGTTGAATGTTCAGCCTCTCTTTTGGACTCCTCTCGCCCTTCTCGGAGCTCTCTTTTTCCGTCCCTCCCTCTCTCTCCCTTTTTCTTTACAAGTTCTGAGCTGATATGACGTTACAGAGTATGGCATAACGCCTGGTGACTACCCCGTGCTCGACGTGGGCAGTGAGCAGAAGCCTTTCAACTTTGTCCCGGCCGAATTGATTGAGATCCAGCCTGGACAGTCAGTCAGAGCAACTCTTACCATGGAGGAGACGACAGCGATGCTCGATTTCGCCTGTCGGTCGCCGTACTCGAACGCCTTGTCGATTAGCACGGCCAGCCGTCAAGCTCTTGGTCTCGACGACACAGCACTGGGCAAATTCGGCATCTCTGTCGACAAGCAATTGTTGACCGTACAGGGAAGAATTCTCAAGGCGCCAACGGTGAGCTATAACAGTATGGACGGGAGGGGAAAGAACATTAGTGTGATGCCGAAGAATGGCTCGTGGAACATGAGATCAGTGAGGGTCCTCAAACCAGGCACCAAGATCCAGCGCTGGACTTGGGTCAACGTGGCGACACCCCGCCAACGTCCATTTCCAGTTGACAAGTCGGTGGTGGAACAGTTTGGAGCATTCCTGGTGAACATGGGCATCCCCATCAACAGACTCCCCGTGCCACCCAAAAGCGAGCAAATCGAACTTGATTCCAGCTCTGAAGAAGCTGAGGATCGTCTCCACAGAATGTTCACTTGGCTCGAAGAGCAAAAGATTGATCTCATTGTCATCGTTCTCGCCGACAAGGACTCTACCGGCCTATACAGCAAGATCAAGGCGTTTGGGGACTGCGGTTACGGAATCCATACGAGCTGTTTGGTGGCGAGGACCTTTGCCAAGGCAAGCCCGGCCTATTTTGCCAACGTCGGGCTCAAGATCAACCTGAAGGCTGGAGGCACAAACCACAAGCTACTGGAGGAATCCAGTCTCGTCAGAGAGGGCAAGTCAATGGTCGTTGGCTACGACGTAACCCACCCGACGAACATGCCCATTAAGAAGGGCAACGAGCCCCCCAGTCTGGTGGGATTCGTCTCCAGCATCGACAGGGACCTCGGCCAATGGCCTGCACTGGCGTGGGAGCAAGCTTCCAAGCAAGAGATGCTTACGGACAAGCTCATTGACGTATTCAAGACGCGGCTGGATATCTGGCGCGACCACAACAAAGGCCAGTTACCCGAGAGCATCATCATCTATCGAGACGGCGTCTCCGAGGGCCAGTTTAGCCAAGTTCTCGACCAAGAGCTCCCCAGCATCAGAGAAGCCTGCCGCAGCAAGTACCCGCCCAAGTCCCAGCCAAAGCTCACCATCCTGGTCTCCGTGAAGCGGCACCAGACTCGGTTCTACCCTACCTCGACAAACGAAATGTCTGATTCGGGCAACGTCATCAACGGTACAGTGGTAGACCGCGGCGTGACATTGGCAAGGTATTGGGACTTCTTCCTGACGGCACACGAGGCTCTCAAGGGCACCGCCAGGCCAGCCCACTACACGGTTCTTCTCGACGAAATCTTCCGGCCTAGATTCGGCACCCAGGCGGCCGACGAACTGGAGCGGCTGACGCACGAGTTGTGCTACCTCTACGGCAGAGCAACCAAAGCCGTTAGTATCTGTCCTCCAGCGTACTATGCAGATATTGTCTGTGAACGTGCTCGCGCACACCGTCCCGACAAGTTTGAGGAGCGCGACTCGGACGGTAAGCCTGGAGGCAGAACAGACAAGGCAGGCAGTGAAGATCCGAACAAGCCGAAATACCGGAAAATACCCTCTGAGGTGCACGAAAGGCTCAGAAACAGCATGTACTATATCTGAGCTCGATGGCGGCTGATGTAATCATGGCCGTGGCCGTGACTTTGCACTCTCTGATGGTATTTATGCGGAGACTTGTGTTCTTGGTCGGACAAGACATGGTTTGAGGGCACAGCGGCTTCTGCACGTGGATTGAAGGACGGCAATGCAAACGAAAGCGACATCTATTCGATTGGTATCAGAAGCGATTTCTTATCAGCGCTAGGTAGTATTATGAACATTTCGTGAAATACAAGATAAACCAGATTGGTTGCCATGCTATTATACGAAATGGTGAGATTCGAGTGTTACATAGATCCGTCAGAATGCACACTGTGTTAACAAGAACAAGCTGGAGGCTGCCATCTTGTGTCGCCGCCAATCTAATTTGAAGCAACTCGTGGATGTCGAGTGTATACACATGGCAAAGCTATCTAAGAGAAGGGTCGTAGAGAGAATACCTTTGAGGATCAGAGTAAACAGGAGGCTGAATAGACGAATGGGAGGATGGGCGAAGGCATGTATCTTCTAGAGGTTCGCTTTGGTCTTGTCGCCCTTACGGTTGGGCAACGCAAGGCGCTTCTTGAACTCGTCGTCGAGGGTCGCCTTTTCCTCCAGGGGCTTCCGGGTCCACTGCTCGTACTCTTTCTCCTCGTCCCACCACCTGTCCATCTCGGCCTTGATCCAGCCGGCGGCGGCCGCGGCGCAGAAGAGGGGCTCCTCGAGGGGCACGAGGTGGCCGGCCTGCGGGTGGGTGATGTGCTTGACGCGGCCGGGCCTTGCGCCGCCGCTGCCGCCGACGCCGACGCCCGTCGTCTCGAGCTTCTCGCGGATGAGGTGTGGCGGGGAGACGGTTGACGTGGCGCCGAAGACGTAGAGGACGGGGGGCCTGAGGTGGGGGAGGCGGGCGGCGGTGTTGTTGCCTTCGGGGCGGTAGAAGGGGATGGTGGAGGGGGCGCTTGGGTCGATGTCGTGGTCGGGGGCGAGGGAGGGGTTTGTGAGGAGGTTGGTGGAGGGGTCGAGGTCGCTGTCGGAGGAGAGCTCGGCGTCGAGGTCGTAGATGTACACCTTGTGTTTGGAGTCGTCGAGCTGCATCGTCTCGTCGGGCAGCTTTAGGGAGGAGGAGGATGAGGATGAGGAGGGGACGTCACGGAGGCCGTAGCGGATGAAGAGATCGAGGACGCGGGGGTCCCATGACTGGTAGAATGCCTTTGAGCGGAACGCCGCGGCGGCGGCGTCGCGGGAGGGCCAGGTGTCGCGGCGGAAGGCGCTGAGGGAGGCGGGCGAGGCGTACGTCTCGGGCGAGCTGGGGAGGTCCTTGCGGCTGGAGGCGAAGCGGGCGATGACGGGGTCGAGCATGACCATGCCGGCGAAGAGGCGCGGGTGGGCGAGGGCTGCGTTTGTGAGGGCGTTTGCGCCAAAGGAGTGGCCCATGGCGATGAGGGGGCGGGGAGGGCGGAAGGTGTTGATGAGGTGGAGGATGTCGCGGGCGTAGTCGAGCCAGCTTGCTGTGTTGTTTTGTAACATGAAGATGTTAGTGGGAGATATGAAGTGAGATGAGGGCTATGGATAAGGTGCGAGATGGGAGATGGGGAAAAGACGTACGGTCATTGCCTAGGTTGGCTTCGTTGAGGATGCCGCTCTGGCCTTGGTGGGCGGCGTCGGCGATGTAGATTGAGCGGAGGCGGAGGCCTTGCTTTTGGAACTCTTGCAAGAGGTCTTCGTAGAGCGGCTCATATAGTTCCTGATGCCGGTTAGCATTTTGTCCTCATGGCTCGATCTTGTTGTGTCCCAGAGATATACAGACCTTGGGGAAGCCATTTGCGTGGGCGCCAATGATGGTAATGTCGCCTTTGCGCGGAGGGCCGCCGTGCTTGGGCGTGTATTGCTTGACGTGGAGGAGGAGGGGTTCGTCCTGGGAGACTGCTGTTGCGCGAGGGTATTCGCGTATGTGTGAGGCTTGAATGGTGTGTTCCCGGACGTCGAAGACGGGGGATGAGGATGAAGGTGAGGATGAAGAGGCCATTGTGAGAGCGTTGATGTTGCTCCAGATGTGTTTAGATGTATTTGATATCCAAGACGTAGGGATATACGATGCCAACTTCAGGCGATATGATCCGGCGTCGATACTCAAGAGGTTGGCTTTATCTATAGAGACATGGCAGTTCCGAGGGTATCAATTTGTCATCGTAAGGTGTATGTAGAGGTTGTATGTATGAGTTCTACCGGCATCATGGCTGTTCGGTTTTCCCCTTGGGGTCGTGAGTGGAGTTTGAGCCTCGGCAAAAAGAGCTTGAGAGCTCGGAATCGATTCGAGCGCTGGAACATGGCGGCGTGGACCTGGATTTAGTGGCGGGTGGTTCCTGTTTAGGTGCTGACGGGTTCCTGGAAGGGGTCTTGGATTGTCTGGGGCAGCTGGGTTAGTAATCACGGGGTTGAACACGTGGGAACGTGTCTTGGATCTGGGAAGGTAAGGGTTACGCATCACGCATCAGATCTTACCCTCTCTCATCTTCAGAAGCTCGACTATTTCAGCAAAAGCACCATCACGCATGCTCTTCAGATAGCCATTGAGCACTGACAAGGCATCCTGGCTTGCATCGCTCGACGCAGACGAAAGATCATGCAGCCGCTCCTCGCTTGATGCATGGTTGCATGCCGATTCCGGGGCATGCAGGGGTACTTTGGCAGTGATGGAGTTCTGACGGCTGCTACACCATATCAGCAAAATCACGACGAGAGAGCTCGTCTCATCCCATCATTATAGCTTACCAAATACAACAGCAGCCTTGACGTCGTCATCAATCAGCAGATATGCCTGTACCAACACCCGCACCGTGCGTCATCCTATTCGCTGGGGCTCCCCCTCCAACCTCTTTCGACCCTCAAGCCTGCACCCTCAGCCACTTTGAGGAACCATTCCTAACCTTTTTTGGCCATCTTGATCTTGACAGCAAGCATCAACCGCAGCAACGGGACGCAGAACCAGCTTCAGAACCTGAAATTGCGTCGCAGCAACCACACGCCGTATGGCGGTCTGTGCCTCTGAACCGCCGCCCTCTTCATACCGGCCTGAGCCAGAACCACAGCATCTTTCTCGATGCCTCTTTCCAAGCTCACCGGGACTTTTTCACCACGGCAGATGCGCACTCTGTAGATGAGACCCGGTCTCTCGACTGCGGTGACGATGGGGGGGCACTTCTCACGCAGTTTTGCGAGGAGTCTCTGGCGGCTCATAACTTGGTTCCGTCCAGCCAGTTACAGGCCGGCAGCTTCAGCATGGACACGAACGAAGGGACTGCTACCACAACGTCTTTCTTAACTGACTCTTCAAACGATGTCTCCCTGCAAGAACAAGCTGCCACCCGGCCGTTGCCCACTCCTGTACCATCGCATCTCTCAGACCTGGAAGACGTCCCTTCAGCGAAGCGCATCCTCGCCCTGAGCCCCCAGACAGTGACTCTCAATTTGATTGTTGCTGTCATCTCCATCGCTCAGCCCCGAACTGTCACGACCCGCTGGGGCACAACCCTATCCCTGGTGGAGGTGCTCGTTGGCGATGAGACAAAGTCGGGCTTTGCCGTCACCTTTTGGCTTACCAACGACCAAGCCTCGACCAGCCAAGTGAGCAAACTACGCCGGCAAGATGTTGTTTTGATGGAAAACGTGGCCCTGCACGTCTTCCGGGGCAAGGTCTACGGCCAAAGTCTACGCAAGAACCTGACTCGGGTGAGCCTTTTGTGGCGGAGTGATGGCGGCGGTTACTATCAAACCAGAGACCTCACCAGACGAGCCGCCGCGAAACATCCCCAGCGAGAGAAGACGAGGCTCGTAAAAGATTGGGTTCTTCACTTTGTCGGCAGAGACTTGGGAGCAGTCACCCGGAAGCGGGCCAGTCGAAAATCGTGGGATCAGCCTCCCGATGATACACAGTAAATGTGAGTCTTTTATGCCTCTATTTGATGTTGCTTAGAAATCTATTTCTCAATGCTAACTCATTACGACTATGCAGCTTGATATAGCAGGCATGACGTTACATGTGTTCCAAATTTACCCTGGGTATAAATAATACAAAGCTCGAAAAGAGGGGAGAGGTAACTCAACCGGCACATTTATACCATGGCCGGCGCTATCTCACGCTTCTGACCATCCGGGCCCTTCTTGACTGACCTCCATTCGAAGCCCAGACAGCACAAGAATGCGCAGGCAGCGCATGCAACGGAGATGTAATAGGTGTGGCGCAGACCGAGCATGTAGGCCTCAAGGACGGAGTCCAAAGCATCCAACCGGTCGATGCCTGCAAGCACGGACTTGATCTCGGAAGCACCGCTGTTGATGAAGAGCTGGGGGTTGATACCGAGGTTGTCCTTTTCAAGCTGGTCGATGAGGCCATTCTGGAAGAGAGTCTGGGCAACGGCAACGAAGACTGCACCTCCCAGGACCTGAAAGAACTGGACGCAAGCAGTGCCAATGGGAACCCATTCCTGGGAAAGGACCGTCTGCACGACCAAGACACTGGCCTGGAAGCCAGCTCCGATACCCAAGCCGGCGAGGACCTGGTATCCAAACCATTCCTTGAGCGGAGTGTGAACGGCAAAGGTGGTGATCATGCCAGCTCCGACAGTGTACAGGATCATGCATGGCCAGATGATGAAGTTGTAGTAACCAATGACTGAGATGAGGCCACCCGTGAGGATGGAGGTGAAGACGCTCGAAAGGAGCAGCGGCAAGATCTTGATACCGGCCGTGACGGCGCTGACGCCCTGAATGGCTTGGAAGTAGAGGGCTGTTGGCAGATGGTTAGCACATGCTCAGATGTCGTTGGGGTCGCTGGAAATGCAGCCAAGAAGAGGGGCCTTACAAAGGTAATAGATTAGAGGGAAGAATCCGGCGCCGAAGAAGAGACTGAAGAGCATGGCACAGAGCACGTTGCGGTCCTTGAACATGCGCGGCGGAAGCGTTCCCTTGTCGCCCTTCCAGAGCTGGATGCCGACAAAGATGCCAATCATGAGCCCAAATCCGACAAACAGGCCGATGATCCTAGAATTGCTCCAAGCGTACTCAGCACCGCCCCACTGCAGAGCCAACAGCAGGCACACGATGGCGGGGATGAAGATGGCGGTGCCCAGAATGTCGATCTCGAGGATGCGGGACAGGATAGACATGTTGAGCGTGGCGTCCGAGTTGCGGTTGACGTGCAGGATGAGGACGACGATGAGCATGGCGAGGCCGCCGATGGGAAGGTTGATGTAGAAGCACCACCTCCAGGAGACGTTTTCGGTGAAGGCACCGCCGAGGAGAGGGCCGGCGACGGAGGCAATCCCCCACATGCCTCCGATGAGGCCAAAGGCAAGGGGGCGCTTTTCGAGAGGCACTGCAGACACTGTTAGCCAACGGGAGACGCATCGATACAAGGAGGGCACAATAACATACTAGACAGCGAGATGATGACAATGGAGCCGGAGAAGAGACCTGCCGTTCCAATCTAGCTCTCAGTCAGCACGGGTTCCTGGCATCAAGCCATGTGGCCGTTTGATCATCATGGTTCGGCCGATAGAATGCTTACACCCGCAATAGCTCGCCCAACGATAAGCGCCTTGGATGACGGCGCCACAGCCGAGAGCAGACTGCCAATTTCGAAGATGAAGATGGCGGCGAGATAGGTCCACTTGACGTTGAAGAATTTGTATATGGCTCCGTACATTGGCTGCAGGGCCGTGGTGGTGAGGAGGTAGGCCGAGCCATACCAGCCCTAATGAACGGGTCAGCATAATGTCTTCATTCCATTGGTATAAGACGATGCGAAGAAAGGCAGAAGCAATCTCAAGATTCCGCACTCACAATGTCCTTTACACTGTGGAACCTCGCCGTGATGGTCCCCAGCGCAGGCGCAATAATCGTCTGATCGAGGGCCACCAGGAAGATGGCCATGCACAGCGCAAAGATGATGGACACGAGCTTGATGCCCTTTGGATAGTTGGCCGAGGCATCGGTCGCCGCCGTCGCCGTCTTTGCGACCTCTTCCATGACGGCGCCGTCCTTGTCGTTCGCGTTCGTTGTCGTCGGCTCTTTTTCGCCTCCCGCTACGGCGATTTCCTTTTCGGCGTCATCGTCGCGGGTCAGTGGAATCGAGCCGCGCTCTGTCTTGTCTGACGATAGGCGCGGTGTCGGCGATGTGGACGACATTTCTGTCCTTGGGTATGAATGGAGGGGAGGGATGGACAGGCAGAACAGGCAAATTTGTGCCCTTGGGAAACGAAGAAAGGAAGAAAAAAAAAAGAAGAAGCTGCCGCTCTCTATCACGATGTCGGTAAGTTTCCTCCCATCCAATCCCAAGGTGCTACTACTATAGTACTGTTAGAACGAATCGGATCGACCAGGTTATAAGCAGCTGAGGACCTAAGCTGACAACGTTACGGCGGAAAAGCTCTAGTGCTGCACCCTTTTGGCTGACTGCCGCTTCGCCTTTTGTATCGTTTCTGCGGCTGCTTCGCTTGCTCTGGGCAACGCAAGATGCAGGGGAAATGGTGTTACAAATGTGGAATAAAAAGAAAGAAAAACAATACTACTAGTACTGATCACAGGCAGGATGGCGCGAGGCCATACTCGTACACCTTTTCAGCCTTATTATACAGGGGGCCCATCGAGCCAAAAGCAAGCACACACACGCACATACATCCCCCTGTCAGAACCATCGGACCAGACCGCCTAGAATCTCTCGGCCATCGGCATGACTCGAGTCCACGGTTATGCCAACGACAACTCGAGCTCATATGCCGTGTCTTTGGTCCCAAGGGAAAAGAAGGGACTGTTGGCGAATGAAATCTATTGTTGACGGCAACGGCATTCTCGCCTGGGGAAGGGTAAGTGGCGAATCTCGGACTTCTTTCGTCCCAGGCTATCCAACTAACAGACAAATAGACGATGAATCTGGCGTCCCGAGAGAATCCACTCGCTGCGATCCTTCTGGACCTACACGGAGATTAGAACCGCAGCTCTCCTCAAGTGTCTCCTTTTGAATTGTTTCCTACCAGGCAGCAAAGACTATCTATCACATCTCCTCAACCTCTTCCTCCCTATTCATCGTACATAGGATATATCTGTACTTAACTCCGTGTCACCTAGCATGGCAAGCACAGTGGTCTATACAACACTAGAGTCAACAAAACAAGCATTGAAACAAGCACTAAAATAAAGGCTTTCGCGTGCGGCCAGATCCTTCAAAGACCCGCCCATGACTCAACACTTGACACGATTGGGAAAAGAAAGAAATAGAGCTCGCCCTTTCCTTGAAGCGGTTTAGTTCGCATGGACTTGAACAAGACCGAATGGAACAAAAAGCTCTATATTGCATTGGAAGTTATTTCTGGTTTGTAAGACACGGACTTGGAGTTGCCCGAAGTCCGAGGTGGTTCGTTGGTGGAAAATGGTCTTGCGGCTGAGGTTCTGCTTCTCGACCGGATTGTCTGCATTGGGGGAAGTAGTATGAAGAGGATGACGACGACGTTTGAAAAAGGCAGTCTTGATATGAATCATAGGCTGTTGGAATGAAGCTGAACTGTACCTCACAACATTGAAGTCTCAGACACCACGACAATTCCTCAGTGAGAATCAGGGCAGATGTTCGATACCCCGTGCATCGCATCGTCCAAGTTAAGTCCTCGGCAGATGAACCATGCAAACCACGATACGCGTACACACTCGTACTCCCGTACATCGTATCCCACATCCCCACAGAAGCTCAACTCACAGTTCCACCTTTCCATACGTGTAATACATACTTCTCAGGCACCACCGACCCCCTTCGGCCTTGCTCCGCTGCGAAGCCCGACTTGCTGCTACTAGTAGTACTATGCAGTATCGCATACAGAGCTGAGATGGAGAAACGCTGCCACATGTCCGAACAACAAATACCCCTTTTTTGAATAGTTTCATCCTTGCGGTCTCGGCTTTGGCTTTGCCAATTAGTAATCGAAGTCGTGCGTATACAGATACTATGGAACCAACATGCCCTGCATCAATCTATTGCAGCCTTCAAACATCTACCACGTCATGACCAATATTCCTCCCAAAGCGCTGCATGCTTTTTCACGCAAGGGGGGTGAATGGGAGGTAGTAAAACATTACAAGGCAGAGACGTCAAAATGTTCACCATGTTCATGTACTCGTATTCTCCTTTCTAGTCTAGACGAGTCAAACCGTCATCTGGGTAGCCTTATCCCTCCGCCCTCACTTCCCCGTCAGCCGCCAAAGGAACCCATACCAGCAGCCCGTCCTTGTCAATCTTCATCCCCTCGGTCGGAATCACCCGCAGCACCTTCTGGAAGTACTTGTCCCTCACCACCAGGCCCGGCCGGATGAAGACGCCGCGCACGAGCGGCAGCAGCCGGTACGTCTTGGTCCGTCTCGACATGGGCAGCAGATGCATCGTCGTCTGCTTCGGCCCCGAAAAGGCAAAGGCGTCGCTCGGCTCCATCGCCAGTCCAAACGTCAGGAAATGGCTCGACGGGTTCTCAATCGTGATGTCGAGCCGCACCAGCCCGGCCTGCTCCTGCGATCCGTGAAGCACCGATGCCAGCACCCTGGGCTCCGTTCCCAGCACCATGTACTGCCCAACCGTCATCGTCGTGATATTGACCGGGCTCTTCTCTCCCTCTGTCGGCTGTCGTTGTTGTCGTCGTCTCCAGCGGACTGCAAATGCCAAGTCTATGGCGACTGGGTGCCTATCATCCAGCGTGGCCTTTTGCGCCACGAGGTCAAATCGAGCTTCGTACATCTTTTGTGGAGCGACAGGCATGCCGTCTGCCGAAAACTCTGGCTGGCTCACAACTTGACACCGGCCGCCAGGCGTTACGCCCGTAACGAGCAGATCTAATCCCACCACGTCCAACTCTTCTGTAGCGAACGATGCATAGTGACAGACCAGGCACCATTGCTGCGCAAGACCCTTGGCCGGCATCACATCGCCTTCAGTCAGGTCTTGCACATCCTCGTAGTCGAACAGGCTTGGCCAGGCATCAGGATGCAGCCGCGGCATCAAATCGTAGTTTGCTTCAAATGCATTCACCACGTTCAGGTGAATAGGCAGCATTTGGAAAATGGGTGTTGCCGCATCTGATTCCAAGTGGTAGTCCGCTTGAATCTCTATGTCGAACACTGTAGGTGCTGGTGCAGGGTCGAGGTGGATCGACACTTCCATCGACGAGGAGCTTGCTATGCGACCAAGAGTGAGCCCCGTCACTTGCGACTCTTCTTCCGCAGCGTCCACCTCTCGCTTGTGTTCTCCAGCATCCACTCGGAACCGAGGAATCGTCGTTCCAACGATGCGAACGTCCAGCTTCACGTTGGCCGCGTCATGTTCTTCGTTGAGTAAGCTGATTCGTAGGGGAATCGGCTCGTTCGCATAGTATTGGTCCAGAGGCTCTACCAGTTTCAGCTTCATCTTGGGAGGCCGCGGCTGTATCTGTAGGACGTGCCCGTCGGGCCTCGATAATCGCGGTTTCGCCGAGCCGGGAACGTACCACGCTCCGGCTTTGCCCAGCTCCGCCAATGACAGCGTGTAATCCAGCTCAAAGGCGTCAGCCTTGTAAGTCAGAATCACACGAGAGGCGGACGCCTGGCCTGGTTCTCGCAAGGGAATGTTCATCTCCAACACCCGTCTGTGGCCGGGCTTGAGCGTCAGATCGCATGTGCCACTCAAGTAGGCATCCTTTTCGTTGCCTTCGTTTGTGGACACATCTTTCACTTCGTCTTCACCCTTGTCCTCATCTTCACCTTCCTCCCCATCACGCTCCTTGACACTTTCGGGAAGTCGCTCGGTCAATGAAACAGCGCTCACAGAGATGGGCTCGCTCAATGAGTCTGTCGGTGCAGCGGAGGAATCGTGTACAAGCGTGATGGGCTTGAGGTGTCCCTCAAACTCGATCCGAATGGAGGACAAGATAACCGGAGCAGCCACTGGATGCGCTTCAGACTTTAATGACAGCTGGGCTAGGCATGTTTCACCGGCCCGGCCCTCCTTGGAGCGGAAGGCAAAGGATGCTGCGACGAATGATGAGGCCAAGTCATCCGAGATGGTGATGAACGGCTTCGTTGTTGAAGCCACCCCATCCAATGACTTGCCGAGGTCGTAGTGCCAGTTTTGTCTTCGAGTATACCCTGATAGTCAAGTTTAGCTAGAGCCCAGGAATCACAAATCATATGAATGGTTGAAATGAGACCTACTGCTATCCATGAGCTCCCAGTCGATCGCGACTACAATGTCCGCCCGCCCAGTCTCAGCTGCCGCTCGCCTCATCACCCAGAGGATGTCTTCAGAAATGTCCAACCACCATTCTGAACGGAAGGACTTATCTTCCCACAGCGGTCTGAGCATCGCAAGCACCTCGTTCCAGGACTTCATTGTCGCCATTTCTCTTGCGCACTCGAGTGAAATCTCTGCGGCAATTCGGTGCTGTTTCCGGGCTTGAAACTGCGACCTCGCGTTGAGGAGGCAGTCAATAATGAGCTGCGCATGGTTAACTCCGTTTCCGTTCAACGGATATTCCTCGTGGGGTGAAGGACACATGTACGTATCGTAGCGAATCGCCTTGCTCGCTACCCTCGACGCAGGCGAAGCGTCCGGCGCTCCCCTGTCATCGTCGGGTATCCTATGGGCCAATGCTCTCCGAGCCCCCAGATGGCGCGCAGCTATTCGATACCAGTACCCTGTGTGGTGCAACTGCTCCCAGGGCTGCAAGCGCTCGCCGATAAGAGACTTCTCTGGCGGAAGGAAAATGGTCATGCTCGAAGGCCCCAGGCCGGGAACCTGTACCAGTTCAATCAAGTTGGCCATGACCATTGCCCACCGGGATTCCCAAGCCTGCCAGCCATAGTTGTTGGTGCCTCTTCCTCGTCTGTCGACAAAGTCGCCGATGCGGTCGCGGTGAGACTGCCATCTCCTCACTGCCAGACTGGTCTGCCCCATCCACAGATGCAGCCGCAGACAGCGAATGGATATAATGTCTGCCAAAAGCCGCGCTTCGTTCCAGCGAGGGCTCCAGCTGGGAATGATGTCGAGCACATCTTGACCCAGCAAGATCTCATAGGCCTGCTCGAAAGAGCGAACTGCGGCGTCAATCTCCTGGCGAAACTCGGCGAAAATGGCAGACTTGAAATCGTAGCGGAAATTCCAATCGGGCAGCGCCAATGTCTGCGACGTTCCAGATGTCGGCGGCAACGTTGGCTGGGGCACAATACCTCGGGATCGCTTCTTTCTCGCATGCCGCCCGAGATCTCGATAGTACTCGATGGCCGTGTTGTACAGCAGAGTAAGGATGCTGTCCATCACCCTCTTCAGCTCCGACTGCGTTTCCTGCGATGGGATGTAGAAGATCGACTTAGGATCCAACCCTGTTCCCCTCCGAATATACTCCAGGCGGTCCTGTATCATTTCGGCAGTCAGATTATTCCTAGCTTCCTGATCGCCAAGAATGATCACAACGAGGCGTGTTTTGTATCCCGATTCCACCAGAGTCGCTCGTATACCATTGAGATCAGCCTTGAGTCGATTGTCCTGCAGCGTCGCTGTTTTAGGATCGCTCGTCAAAGTATGAAAGCACACGAAGACGCTCGGGACCTCTTCCTGATGCTTCCTGATCCACTGCGCATTCATCAACCCATCAGGATAGAGAGCAGACGAGGGACTGAGCGGCGAGAAGGGCGAGTGCAGAACGGGGGCCGTCGGCAGCGGTTCGATCGTCTCAGGCAGCGTCGCTCGTCGAGGCGGAAGCGTAAAGGACTATGATTTCAAGATCAGAAACATGCTGCGCAAAACAAGCTCGGCTTTTGATCTGCGGAATCGTCATACCCTGCCAACGGTCTTGATACGAACTCTGTAGGGCTCTTCCCTCGTCACCACAGTCCATGACTTGCCGCGCTCGTTCACCCTCTCAAAGTAGGCCTCCAAGAAGCTCGCCTCCTTTCCCTCGAGCGGCGGCAGATCCGATCGAAGCAGCACTCCCTCGCCATTGGCCTTTCCCTTGGCCTTGGGCGGCTGCTCAGCCTGGTCCTGGCCGGAGCTCAACCCCGATACGACGAGGAGCGGCACGTTATGATCGAGGCTTCCCAAAGGGTAGCCATCCATGGTGGTTAGTTGGGCGCCGAGAAGACATAGGCCAGGCGTCTGGTTGGGGCGCTCGAGCTTCGCATTCAGATTGCGCGACTGAGCCCCGGTTGCTCGAGAGGTCAATCAGCGACTGGTGGAGCGAAAGCTGCCCCTCGTTTGCGCAGAGCAGCCCACCTGAAGCGCTTGAGGACGGAATATCCAAGGCGATCACGGCAGCAAGTGGTGAGGGTTCAAATGGAGTGTCGAGATACAAATTACGATCGATCAAGAACGCATCTTGACTCGTCGCTCAATGAAAGGAAACAGATTCATAAACGTGCCAAGTAAGCACGAGAAGCTCTGGAGGTGACGCTCACAACCTGCCGCTGTCCAGGTGCTTATTACAGCGGGAACCACCACAGCTCCCAAGGCCCGCACCGGAAGAACGCCGGAAGCCGAACAAAGTCGCAACCCAAAAATTATCTGCCCGTGCAGTTCCATGATATCCAACGAACCAACCACCAGAGCAAACCCAAATCACCACCAACAAGAAACCACCAAAACTCGAGCCGCTCAGCGGTGCAATTCGCCTCTCACCTACGATTCCTGCCATTGTATCTCTTCTCCATCTCCTCTAGCAACCATGAGGCCTACACAGATCCTCGGCGTGGGCAAATACCGCCACCTCAAGCTCACGACAAAGGACGTCGGCCGCGGCTTCTACAAGGGCAACCGGACGGGATCCATGGGTCGGCACACCAAGTACGGAGGCTACCTGATCGAGTGGAACAAAGTGCGCACATACGTCGTGCCGCAGAATCTCGCAGAGTCCAAGGTACGTTGACATCCTCCGAGCGCCGACTGGGCATGATGCCGCAATCGGGTGGGTAAAGACAGGGAAGAAGAGGCTAATGGTTCTTCTGTTGTATGCAGCTCACTCCCTTTGTGAGCAGAGAGGTTCGCGAAGAGCCTGGCGACTACAAGGGCTTGAACAAGGGTCCTCAGGATCCTTACTTCTACGTCGAGCAGTGGAAGCGATATAACGGCGTCGACTGAACGCTCCTTACGAACGACGGGACATTCTACTCCAGTCGAGATGAAGAACCGAGGATGAGAGGGCGGATATAGACAATGCAGCTTCGAAGCAGAGTCTTGATGCTCAACAAATAGACCCAGCGGAAGTCAAGGGTATTCTGCTAGGGCTGTACATATACACCCAACGAACATTGTACCACCACCATGTATGACGAAGATGGAATGGCGAATGGAGGGCAGAGATTATACATCACGACAATGTGATATGAAATTCGTGGTACTCAGTCACAAATTACACAAGTTAAAGTAGAAAAAAAAATTGGCAAAATCCAAGTTCAAGAAATAGAAACCACCATAAATGTGGATGGGATATCACTGTCCGGTATATGCGTGCTCGCTCGCTTGCCTTGCTTGCTTCCCTGTATGCCTTCTTTCCCGACTCTTTCCATCTCTAGAAGAACGCAATTTTTCGTGTGCTCTCATCTCTTCTCAAATCTTCATCCTGACCTGCGCCGAAACTGTTCTATGCCTCCGTCTTCTCACCACCACCCACAGCCCCTTTCGAATCCGTCTCACCAACCCCCGACTCGAAGCCTGAACTCATCGGCCTCGAACCCGGCGTCATCGTGGAGTTCAGCGTGATCATGCTCGCAGTCTCCGCTTCATTCTTGATGGTGAAAGGCAGCGCGATGCCGTCCAGAAAAGGCCTCTTCCCGGCAACACCCGTCTCAGGCGAAAGCCCGTCGTGAGCAGCCTCCTGCTCCCGCCGCATCGCAATCAGCTGTGCCACGGGCGTGTCCTCGTTCACCTCTTGATTGCTCGTCTGGTGCTCGTCCCGCACGATCCGCTGGCGAGAGGGTCTGCGGTTGTGCCCCAGTCTCTCGCCTTCGGTATTCGAAGACTCTCCATTGTGCAGTTCAGGGGTGACGGTTTGCGTCTCGGGCCCGTAGTTGGCCTTCTGCTCCCTCTCCACCGTCATTTCATCATGCTTGGAGCCCCAGAGAGACCACATGGCCAGGCCGAAACTTCTCCTCCTTCTCTTCCCTGGTTGCAATTCCGTGCCCACAGGGATCCGTCCCGCCAATGCTGTCGGCGGTGGATGCTCGTCTGCGCCAAAGTCTTGATACCCGACCAGTATCTCTTTGATGATCTTTTTGTGTACCTTGGCTTTTGCGCTCGCGTATTTGGTGTCATATGCGTGCTTCGTTGCCAGCCACTTCTTCACAGGACCCTGTTTGATAACGCCAATCTCCTCGGGCTTCATCATACATCCGGGGAGCTCTTCTTCCAACGGAAGGGGCAAAATGACACCGTTCCTGGTTATTCGCTGTCGGATCATGTGGTTCTTGAACGGCGGGAGCGGATCTCCTGCTCTTCCAACTTCCTTGGGGGTCGGTTCCTCCGCTGGCTCTTTATCCTTGTTCTGTCTTTGCTCTTCCTGTCCCCGAGCCTCTGTATCAGAACCAGAGCTCGTAATAACCGAAATCGCATCATCGTCCATAATCTCGATATCTCTATCCTGGGCACGCGCCAGAGCCCAAGCGCCGAATTGGGCGATCGACCTGTACATGTACTTTGCAGGGCTGGTGAAGCTGAGTGTCGGAGCGACGTGGCACAAATCATCCCAAACTTGAAGCTGCACATAAGTAGGCTTGTACTTAGCAAGGAGTCTCCTTCCGTGGTCCGTCAAGTCTGCGTCTGGCGGTGCGTATTTCGTGGGATTGGCGCACTTGTGAGCTAAGTGAATCTGTTCGTCGCGAAGGAGTTCGCCACCTCCGACTGTAATCAGAAGAGGTGGCAGTCCGCCAAGCGTCGGCTGCTTGACAGGGCTCACCAAAGGGTGTGATAGAAGAGCGTTCGTGGTGTACATCTAAAGTAAGGGTCAGCCCCAAACTGATTCCAACCTGTCTCGGCGAGCTGGTATGGACTCACCTGGATCTGGTCCTTCATGGTAATCAACTCTCCGTCAATGGTGACGGTCAGGAACTTCTCCGTCTCGGTATGAAGCCCACTACTGTCAATATGAACCCCGGTATCTCCATCGCTCATCGGAACCACGGGCTTCTGCTGCTTCTCCTCCAGCTCAGACGTCGGTGGGGGGGCCGGTTTCTTGATCCCCTTCTTGCGCTTCTCCACCTCTTCATTCAGCATCTTCAGATCATCTTCATTCGGAGGCGGCCACGCCCTCGACGGCTTGTGATGGAATCCCGACGTCGGTATGTAATCCAATGGAGCCTCCCCAGCAAGACTCGGAAACGAATGAGTCAAATCAACCCACGGACTGATAAGAATACCACCGGCCGGCAACGGAATGCCTTGGTCGCGAAGAAGGCAGAGCATCGCCATAATCATACCGCCACCAGCCGAGTCTCCCGCAAACACAATTGTGCTCGGGTCCTGGATAGTGAGCAGATACAGATACGCCGCCAAACAATCCTGCAGACCGCACGGAAACGGAAACTGCGGCGCCAGACGGTACCGAGGAGCAAAGACCCTAGCTTTCAGCTTCCTCGCATGGCGCTGCATCTGATAGCGATGCTCGTCGACGCTCCCGAAGTAATACGCGCCGCCATGGACGTACAGCATCACGCGGCGCAGCGGCTCGTTGTTCTTCTTCCGCTCGTTGTAGTCCGCCCGCATCTCGATCCATTCGGCCTCCATCGGCCCCTTAGGCCCTCGCCAGTGCCACCACTTCCTGCCGCCAATCTGCCGGATGCCGTCGGGCCCCAGTTCGCCTTCGATCAGTTCCGCGGCCCGGCCGAGGTGCTCGTCGGGTATGGTGACGCTTTCCAGCTTCACCCACTGCGGGTGCGGAACCCATTGCGCCGTGAAGGCCTGGATCTCTTCGACGGTGTGGTGGGAGGCATACTCGAGGAACGATCGGATTAGGTGTAGTCCTTCGTCGTACGACAAATGAGTGGTTGGGTGTTCTTTCAAGTTCTTCTTGTTGAGGTACTACAAGATCACGTCTCCCGTTAGCAAACCCGTACGGCTCGGGATGGAAGTCCACCGCACTCGCGTCTACTCTTTTTCAAGGAAAGACATGATCCGTTTTCCCAACTCTCCGCCATTGACCTCAACATACGTGTGAAAACAAGGTGGTAACCACCGTGGGCGTGACGGCCAGCGACACCGATGTCGTGTTGAGCCTGTTCATGGTGATTTCGTTTGCTCACCAGGTCCCATCGACATCGACAAAGACATAAGCATGTGCGGATCGCTCGTTTATAGGGGATCTCCTTGCACCGAGGCAACTCAAATCAAAGAAAGACGGAGCAATGCACGACACCGGCACCCCGTTATGAGTAAGGCAGCGAGTCCAGGGCATCCGATATTGGAATCAGGGGACTCATGATGTCATGCCATCTCCCGGCAGGGGGATCGTCTTGGCTCCCAATCCCTCGAATATCGGTTAAGACGATGAGGTTCCAAGATATTACCGCTTTAGTATTAGCCCCAGAGGCCCTCGCGGCGTTACGGTAGTGGTCCGTGCGTGGCCAATCTGGCGCAGGAATCGTGGGAGAAAAAAACACCAAAAATTTTGTGCAGAGTTTACAGGCATCTCGAACCTCGAGCCCCTCCATATCCCCGCTATAATTCCAGCATCAACATCAGCATCAGCACAATGGCGTCTACAGAGGCCGCGCAGCTGCCCCCGGCCGGTAAGTGGGAGAACAGGCTATCATCATAATCATGCTATGGAATACTGATTCGTTTACTTTGTTCACTACAGCTACCCGCCAGGCCAACTTCGAACAAGCAGTCGCATGTGCCCTGCACCTCTGGCCGGCCCTGACCCTCGCCGTGCAGAACGGCTGGGGAGGGCCTGATTCGGCAGACAAGCGAGACTGGTTCGCCGGCGCCGTCGTCGATCTCTTCTCTGAATTCACCGACGCCCAGCCCGGAGAGGCGGCAAAGCCCGCCGCTGAGGAGCCGGATATGGAAGACGTCGAGACGGTGCTGCTGCAGGTCATGGTCGACGAGTTCGAGGTCAACATCGACGACGACTCTGCTCTTGAGGTTGCGAGATCCATCGTCAAGGCGAGATCCGAATGCGCCATTGGCGAGTTCAACGACGAGGTCAAGAAGCTGCGCGAGCGCTTCGCGAACCGGAAGGGCACCAAGGTGGATCAGATGTTCAAGAAGGCCGAGGACCAGGACCAGGATACCGACTGGGAGTCGGGAGACAGTGGCGAGGACGACGACGAAGATAAGGAAGGCGATGTCGACATGGATGAGGCCCCGCCCCTGGTGTCTGTCCCCAAGGAAAAGCCCGCTCCAGAGGTCGACGATGACGGTTTCACCAAGGTCACCAGGAAGAAGAGGTAGACCCGTTGAGAAATAAACCGGGGGCGAGCAAGTTATCGCTGTCGGAAATACCTTCCGGCTCGCCATGATCCAAAACATAGCTACGCAGCGCCGTGACGACTCAAACCTGCCAAAAGGCGATGGAAATCCTAAACGCCAAACCCGCCCAAGCTCTAGGAAACAGATTATACCCGCACACGCACAGACGAGACACGGTGCAAAGCCTACTCCCAGTCCTCGTCGCTATCGTCGTCACTATCCGCATCCCCCTTCTTCTTGGCTTCTTTGGGGCTGTTTGGGGTCCGGCTGGGCAGCTGGCTCGTCTTTCCCGATGCCGCTCCCACAACATCATAGCTGGCGTCAGTTTCTGCCTCGGACTTTTCCTCGTGGGATTTCCTCGACTCATCAGGCTTCGACTCTTTGGCGCCAGCAGCTCCCTGGATCGTGGTTGATGAAGCAACAGACTCGGGCTTCTTGCCCTTGGTATCGGCAGCGGTAGAGGCGGGCTTTGCGGGCTTGTCGTCCTCGTCTTCATCCTCTTCTTCATCTTCATCATCATCTTCTTCTTCTTCGTCATCTTCGTCCTCCTCTTCCTCCGAGTCGTCGTCCCAGCCAACCTCGTCTTCCGTAGAGGCAGCTAGTAGAAAGCGTCAGCAAGATGTCACATATAGATGGAAAATAAAATGAGGCCAGGGAACAGCATCCAGCAATATTCACCTTTAAGAAGATCCCGTCGTCGTGTTTCAGCCGTCTCAATGCCATGACGTAAGAAGTAGTATCTCTTCCAGAAGTCGGCGTAGGGAATTTGGTCCGGCACAAGCTTCTCCATGGTCGAGCGCAGTTCGGGGTATTTCGCCAAGTCGCTGCTGATCTCGTCCGTCTGCTTGTCAAGATCAAAGCCTTTGGTCCACTGTTCGTATTCCGTGGCAGATGGGTCTTTCATGAAGCTCTCCGGCGACGTGTGGATGACATGCAGTTGCGCCTCGAACCTCGAAGTATGAATCACCCGCTTTCCCTGAGCGTCCTTGCTCTCAAACATGACCTGGCTGCCTTGGTTGGATTCATCGGGAGGCGCGACGCTAATGGCGTCTCGTAGAAAATCGCGAATATTGGTTCCAAACTTGAGCAGGGCTTCGTCTGCGGCGTCCTCGGCCTTCTGAAGATCCTTTAAGCGCTTTGCGGCCTCGCTTCGTAATCGCGACAGCACTGTTTCGGATTCTTGCGCAGAAGAGGCTTCGCCAGCCGCCGGGGCTGTCGTGTTGGTCGGGGTCCTCTGGCTCTCGTCGGCGTCGTTGGTGGTCAAGTCGGGGATGATGGTGGTGAGAGAAAGCGAGCGCGTTCTGTTTACGATGGTTTCTCGGAGGCTGGATAAGCCCTTTTGCGCATCTTCGCCGACTTCTGCAAACTCCTTGGAAGCTTGGGTGTAGACCGATTCGCCCTGCAACAGAACCATGAGCCTCGGCCATAATGGTGGTGATGTGCCGGGTTGTTGGCCGTCATACCTGTTTGATCACGTTACCAAAGAAGCCTCCAATCTTGGCGCCCCATGGACTGGCTGAGAATGCCTTGTAGGCTTCCTGGATGTCGCTGTTCAGAGTGTTCTGCGCGCCCTCCTGCTGCGAGCCCTCTCCTCCCTCGCCAGCATTCTTGATGACCTCCTCTTGAATATGGTCGTATGCGAGATCCATGACGTCCAGATGCCGGCGCAACTGCAGTATGAGAAGTGTTGATGAGGAGAATGGACTGCGCTGCCCTTGCTGAAGCTCCAGAACAAGCCTCGGGACTTGCTCTCAGGAGGTGGACTTGAAATCGGCAGCTCAGCTGGCGCTTGTTCACGAGGCTAGCGGATCTCCTCTCCTGCGTTAGAGAGGGGCGGGGGAGTGCATTTGCAGTCACGTGAACGCCGGCGAGCATCTTGAAGCTCGTGTATATCTCCTACCCTGGAATTTCGCAGGGAGTTGCTGAAGGAACATCTAGCATTACTTGATGACAAGAGGCCTACAAGTATCCATACATTCTATTCACTATATGATATGAATGCAGGATTCGCTGATATGGCTGGTGCTTGTATAGCTGAGTAAAGGTGCGCCCGAAATGCGACGATGCATCCGGCAAAAGCAGACATGCTAAGGGGTTCATTTGCAAAGACGCCAACCACCTGCAAAGTCGTCCACTGGCTACTACACCAGAAAACTTTAGAATGAAAGCCTTGCGAGGGAGACTCGATCCCTTGTTCCCTTAAGCCAGGTATCGCCTCTATGCCATGCTCCCAAGCACGGACGAGAACTACAGTACTAAGTAATGACATGGTCCATGAGGCTGGTGAAGACGGCCGAGAACAGACGCAGCAGCAATGAAGCTCTAATCGCTTGAGTTGATAGTCAACACTGGTATTTGCTTGTACTCAACGTGATGGCCCGGCACTTGGCGTTTGTGCCTTAATGTGGTGGCACATATCGGCATAGCAGCCAACACTGTGAGTTGTTCCTGGTATTATGACTGCCGCCACTCCGAGCTTCCGAGCTGGAGACAAATATGGTTCCACGGTAAGTGTTGTGTCGTAGACACCCATCACTGTCAGGTCTCGTGATAGAAAGAAAACGGGGTAGGTCAAGAACTCGACATGAGTGATGTACGTGGCGTCATTGCCTCAAGGGATATTCAGGGTCTGTAGCACCAAATGCACGGATGCTCCTAAATCGGCTCGTATGGTGGCACTGCTTCCTTAGGACGGCCCCATTGAGTTTTCGTTGTGTACTTCTGTCTACGTTGCTAACCTCGGTAATGCAGTGCATCTGGCAAAGCGCTGATGCTCGGTTATAGATGCGTTGGCCAGATGAGAACGGCCATGTTAAGAGGGCAATTGATTGAAAGCATCCAAAGGCGTATGAAAGAGCTATCGATACCTAGGTACCTATGACTTGGGTTGTTTCCTCTGGAGAATTCGAACATGGGCTTTGATTCGAGTCCTTGCAGCATGTGTTCTCTGCTCACTGCACGCGTCTCTACGCATCGATTCGTTCCGCTGCCGTCAGCTGATCTCAATTCCACGCAACCAAGGTCCTGCAAACTGCCTGGCCGTTGTTTGGCAGTCCTATGCCGTCACCATGCATTGTGGAGATGAAATCCCAACCAAGATCTAGATTCCCCGGGCCCTTGAAACTGCTGGGTAGAGCAGGTACTAAGCTGCGCCCGAAAAGTCACCGTTCTCGCCATATTCTCTCCGCATTATCCTCAAACAGCATGTAATTCGGTTCCTTGCTGCCTTCCATGTCGGAAGCCGTTCCAAGTTTTCGATCGTCATCGACTTCCGCGATGCTGCGATCGGAAACAAGGGCTTGGTCCTTGATTTCTTGCGTCACTGCTATCCAAAAACGGAAAATTCTGGGGCTTGACGTGAATTAAGCTTTGTCCTTGACAAGCCGGAATGACGTAGTAGCTATTGTGCTCATTGGCGGACTGCCCCGTTTTGGCCCACTTCCCACATGATGCGCTGCCAATTGCGTCGCGGAGGTGCCTGGCAAACGGCGATCTTGGCCTTGAGAATATGGAGAAGTTGGTCTTCAATGACATCGCAATGTCGAGTTCGAAGCGAAATGCGGGTTTGCGCAGGAAGATCAGGTTTGCTCGAGTGCGCCTCCATCGTTTATTTAAACCTCGACTTCTCCTCTCTTGAACCCAACTTCTCCTCATCATCATCACAACTTTCACACACAACAAACAACTCTCAACCACAACACACACACACAAACACAAACAACCACCTCAACTTCTTTCACAATGGAGACCGCCAAGCAAGCTTTCAACTACGTCGCTGAGTCCATCCAGGGCGCGACTTCCGGCGCAAGCAAGGAGACCAACAAGGAGATTGCCAAGAACGACGACGTCCCCGTCAGCACTCGGTAAGCCGGAGCAAATATTCCGATCCCTTCTGCAGCGAGTGTGTTGCTAACAACCTTTTGCAGCTTGAGCGCGGGCAAGGACGCCATTGGCGACAAGTTCGACGAGACTGCCCACAACAACAAGGCCGAGGCTCACAAGGAGCTGGCCAAGAACTAGAGCGGGATTGGGAATTTGAATGCTTTGAAGGCGTTGATCGGAATCAGAGCAAGGAAATGGGTACACTAGCCGCTAGGCATGAATTGATGAATTGAACATTTGCACGATATTACTTTCGCATCTCATTGCTGGTGATAATCTGTCTCGTCTCTCGCCTTGATTAAATACCTAATACTCAGGTGTAGAATTATGAACCTCTGCCTCGATTTTACAGATGCTGTACAGATAAGGTAGCCGAGGCGAAGTCACATCTCAGTCTCTAACCCATAGATAGGGCGATGCAAAGGGCAATTTTCCGACGGCACAAGTGTTATCCTGACGGGCGCAAAAGAGAGTCGTTTGGTTGTATTTCTCGTCTCGAACGGCGGGATGGTCTACCACAGCGCACACTAGCGACAACATTAGGCAAAAGCGTTGACTGCTGGACAACATGGAGCGAAGTCGGGCGAAGATGATGCGAATCGAGCCTCATTCAGCTAGCCACGCGTCAATAGTAGGGCTGGCTAAAGTGGCCGATGAAATAGAAATCGTAGCGGGGTAATGCTGGTCCTATTCGATCAGATACCAGCAACACTCGCCGCCTTTGACTAGAATTGAATTGATAGCCTATTGATAGCGGCAAAGGCAGTCGGCTGGCTGCGTGTGAGTGCTCGGGTGTCGTTTTCGCCTGGAATCCCTCAGCCTGTACAAAGCAGCTTCATTACCATACGGATATGGTGATAGTACTGCATATACCGTAGGTCGCTAGGCTGCCACTCAACGCGAGGTCGGTAGTACGAAGTCAGAGCTGCCAATGCTCGCTGTTGCGAACTCGTCCGTATAACGTGTAATGCAGCATCGCAGGACATGTCGGTGATACGAACAGCAGGGTCTTCTTTCCGGGTGCGGGACTTTCGCCAATTGGTGCAAACCCCACTCGACGCCCGGAGACGGTAGCGACTCGACGTGCCAGTGCGGAAGTGCGGCCTTGCGCGGCGATGCGGAGGTGAACTACAGCTGCATCTGCACGCGAAGCGCAAGAGAAGAGGCCCCGTGCCCAAGGGACTAATTGGCACATGTCTGGCATCCCCGTGGGCGGCACTAGCATTCAGTCCCACGCGCGGCAAATCACCTCATTGGGGCGACGGGCCGTTGGACGTCTGAGAGAATGCTGACGATTGATGATGCGCTCATCATGTGGTTATCGCGGTCGATTGAGGTTCGTTGATTTTCTGGATCCAAAAGGAAGAATGATAGAGCCAGCTCTCCGATTAAATAGATAGGCACAGTGTCCCTGAATATTTGTCTTCGGTAGTTCTGGGGATACCGGTTCGGTATCAGCGCAAATGCCGAAGGGGCCTCGACGCTGACACCACTCGATTGGCACTGTCAGGTAGTATTTGGTATTATCTTGCGCTCGACCGGTAAATTCGTGCACCGTTCGGGGTAGTATCTACTGGTCAGTACGAGATCGGTACGACCCGTCAGCTTGCTGCGCACATGTTGAAGCAGGTGCTTCCTTGTAGTATGGAGTACATGTGGCTGTCGGCGTGTGTCCCGGTTCATGCTGGCCGGCGACGCTTCCATCATGCACTACTAATACCCACGACCATGTGCTCTTGAAGAAAGGCGTGGAACGGGGAAGAGCGGAAGCAAAGGAACGTGAACTGTAGGCCAGTGGGGAGAATCCCCAGATGTCAAGACGGCTGCCGAAGCCGCGAACAAAGGGATCAACGAGGCGTTATGTAGCCATCGTCAACACGAGGCCCAGGCACAGGGACTCGTCCAGGGACGGGCTCGTCTATCGCAGGTACGAAGCACGAAATTAAAGCCGCTTGATATTACCGCCGGGGCAGGACGTGAGGGTAGTAATACAAGGTAATAAGGCAAGTTTGTGCCCGGTTCATGGCTCGCAGGGCAGCTCAGTTGCTGTATCCGTAAGCAGGCCGTGTCTCGCACACTGTATCGTCGCTCTGAGTCGACACCGAGGCGTTGCGGCAGCGCGGACAGCGGTCTGGCCGAGCAGGGCGTCCGGGGTCTGGCCAATGGCAGTGCGCGCTGCGCACCCCGGCGGCTTCCCATTGGTGCACGCCAAAAGGGCTGAAGAGCCGGACGACCTGTTGCGGCGCTGCCCCGCCCGGCCTCTGCCGCTGACAAATGCCCCAAGATTCCTCATCGCCGCAACCTTCGAGACCAAGTACTGTGCAGCATCTTCCCCAGCCGAGCCATCGCATCACAATCACCACATGCCTCCCCCTCGCGACCCCTTCTGGCGCTGAGCCACAGTGCGAGTCTCCTCTGCCCTTCTGCCCTCTGCTGTTCCAGGCCGCACGGAACCGCCTAGAAGAGAAATTTCTGACTCAGGCATCAAGAAAAAGACACTGGACGACGTTCCCTGTCATCCGCCCGCCCCACTGGCCGGCCTGCTGAAGGAACGACGCTGGGAAGCCGCTACCAGACCACGCCAACTGCTCAATTTGCCTCCCGGCCGCCTGCCCTCCTGCACCAAACCGTCCACTCGCATCATCACCCTCACGAACACTGTCCTGGACCCGAAAGCTGCGCCTTTTGTGCTGTGCAGCGCCATCCGGGAATTCCTCACTCTGCCATCGTCGCCTATTCTTATCTACCAGTTATCCCCCATCTCGTCGCCGCGCTGCCCCTGACAATTCTCTTTGTCTGCTTTTCCCTCCTGGATCGTTTTGGCCCTAGCGTCTAGTAGCATTTGAAATCAACTCCCCGCCACCCGCGGCCACGGCGCTGGAACAGAGGAACAAGGCCTCTGAGAGAGCGCGACAACAGACGGGCGCCTGAGTCTGAGAACCTGCCGTCCCGAGGGCAGCGACATCGTCAGAATTGGCATATTTAGGACATCCTCCAGGAAATCCGCAGAAATGGCAGCAACCGGCGCTGGAAGCGGCTCGTCAGTGCCTCCGAACTTCTTCCTGACCCCGCAGCAACAGAGCCTTCTCTTCACGGCTCTCAACGCGAACAAGCAGCAGCAGGCGAACGCCAAGTCTGGCCTTTCGCTATCCCCGACTTCTTTCAAGCCGAATCCGCTCCAGAGCCTGGACGGTGCTGCTTTCCAGGAGAGCCCCTTCCTCGACCACTACGACTACGACTTTGGAGACTCCAGCTTTGATTTCTCGTTTGCCAATGATGCCGGCCAGACTGTCCCGATTGGCGATGTGCAGGATAGGGCCATGAGCGCCAAGTCCGACTCTACTGAGACCGACAATCCCGAGAAGAGAAACCATCCGGATGATGAGGAGGACGATGCCAGCCCTGGCAACGACTCCAAGAGACATGAGGGTTCCGACAAGGTGCCCAAGAAGCCTGGCCGCAAGCCGCTCACTTCGGAGCCAACTTCGGTATGCCCAATCCATGCTTCCTTGCCTACTTCTTCTTTTCGGCTTCATGTCCGCTAACAAAACTCCGTCTGCAGAAGCGCAAGGCTCAGAACCGAGCCGCTCAGCGTGCCTTCAGAGAGAGAAAGGAGAAGCACCTCAAGGATCTTGAAACAAAGGTCGAGGAGCTGGAGAAGGCTTCTGAAGCCGCCAACCATGAAAACGACTTGCTTCGCGCTCAGGTTGAGCGTATCTCTGCTGAGCTTAACCACTACAAGCAGAGGATGGCGCTTGTGACGCCCAAGACGTCCGCGCCCGTCCGCGCTCAAACCTTTGGCGCTGCGGCCATCAGCAACCTGCCTGACGTCAACTTCCAGTTTGAGTTCCCCAAGTTTGGAAATCTCCCCGGACCCCCTGCCAAGGCGGCTCACCAGAAGTCCATGTCCCAGCCCATCAGCCCCGTCTCCAACCAGGCTTCTAGCCCTGCCACAAACCAGAACAACGTGGAGAAGCCCGCCCGCATGTCCCAACAGGCGGCGCGAAATGCGCAGTTCAAGGAAGATCTCGCCAAGTTTAACAATGGCGTCTTCAACATGCACACTCCGTCCATGAGCAGCTCCACCGCGACCGGGTCAAGAGCCAGTGTCGACTCAGTCAACTATAGCATGAACAACACGACAAGCTCGCCGTCGGCCTCTTCTCACTCCAATGTGGGCGCGAGCTCGTCGTGCGGCACGTCTCCCGAGCCCTTTACTCAGTCCCCCATGGGCTTTAAGCCTGTCGACACCCTGACAACCATTGGCGAGGAGCATCCCTCCATGTCCACCACGGAAGGGCCCTTTTCTCAATTCGCTGGCCTTGATTTCAGCAACAACAGCTTCGATTGGATGGTGCAGCAGAACAATGGCGGCCAGTTTGATCCGCAGCTGTTTGGCGATTATCGCGAGCCTCAGGAGAACATCATGGCCAACCCGACTTTTGACGACCTGTTCAACGATTCACTCGAGGCCGATTTCTTCACTCCTTACAACATGGCCAGCCCGAATCTCTCGAAGAAGACAAACCTCATTGATGAGATTGACGCTGCAAAGGACAATGTAGATGATGATTCAACCCTGACCAAGTCAAACATGAGCTGTAACCAGCTTTGGTACGTTGCCACAAGTCTGATCAATCTCAATTCTGCATCTTGTACTAATATCGATTACAGGGAGAGGCTGCAAGCATGCCCCAAGGCTCAGAACGGCGAGTTTGACCTGGATGGTCTGTGTTCAGAGCTCACCAAGAAGGCAAAATGCTCCGGAAGCGGACCCGTCGTTGCCGAGAGGGATTTTGACACCATTCTCAAGAAGTACATGGGCAAGGAGGCGGCCGATTGCACGGCTGACAAGCTGGGAATCGCTCTGGAAAAGACGCCGTCCGAGCCTCTGGTGATGCCATGATCGAATGGAATCGACGGAGATGCCGCTTGGCGCATAGCTGTACGTTTAAAACAACCGATCTCGGGTGCAAATGGGGACACAAAGAATCCATGGATTTTACGGCGTTTTGAGCAAAGAGGGGCATGGCCAAAGCCATTGACACCCGGGCTTTTTGAAGCATTGGATGGACATAGGACGAACGGACAAGTCGTCATTTTTGAAGCATAATTTCTGGTCTTGTGTTTTCCCTTGATTTAACGATGCTGGAATCTGGTTGCTCTATTGTATTTCTATATCAATGATTATACTCTGCATTTGCAGCTCTTGCTATACTGGATATTCTACTCCTTCTCACACTTTCGATTTTATACGTGCTTGCAAGTTCTACGCCATAGGGTATACGAGAGTTGCAATGGAAAGGAACATTTTCTTTATCCGAATGTGTCTACTTTCCTTTACTTTTGGGCTAGCCAAATATATAGACCTATGTACTGACCGTCTTAAGACTCTCGGGACGGATCTTGAGCCACCCATTGAAGGCAAAAGGGAGCTGGCAGTTTGGACCTGGTTGAGATTGCCTTGCCATACGCAACAGGTGGTGGATGTACATCTCTCTATCCCTTTCTCTCTTTCTTGATCAGCGATTCAACAAACAAACAAAACACAAAGGAGAATTAGTACAATGTTCAACGAAAACCCCCCTATATCCCTTCCCTATCACTGCCAGTTCAACTCGAATAGCCAGAAGCAAAAATATCAGCATGAAGGGGGGAGCCCTCGGACGCCTTGAATCCCGCTGAGTAAGTTACAGTACAGTATCTATCTCATCGTCCAATTTCTTTCTCATCGGAAACATCGGTAACTTACCTTGGAGGAAGAAGAAGTCTTTAACCGAGCAAACGAACATTCTATACCAATCTTCGTTTTGCCGCCCGTTCGAACTTTTGTCTTTTCTGCTTTAGCAATGATTACGGAGTACTACTGGGACCCGGGGTATTCCGGGGGACATTGTGTGAAAAACTTACTTGTACCACGGCAATTCCAGAATGCCCTTACTTTCTTTTCCACCCCGTGGCACGTTTATTTGCCACCGGATATCGGCAGACCCGGATAAATATCCAAGTTATTAAACTAGGAACCAACTTATCCTGCCTTGCAAGGAAAAAGGAGAAGATCAGAAGTCCAAACCCAAGAGAGGAAAGGGAAGAAAAAAGGAGGTAAGGATTTCTGATCAAATCGTAAGGTATTGGAAATGCTCATGTAATCTAAGTTAGGTACATACTAGACATATATTCATATATGTGTTGTTAAGAGGTAGATAAGTATGCCATCGCCAACTATAAACCTCCTCCATACTCTCTTCGCTTCCATCTCTCTATATCTTTCAGGCGCCTTTCCTCCCCATCCTGCCCCATCAATGGTGTAACTTTGAGTGAAAGTATGTCAAACTACTGGGACGATGATGCAGATAACCATATTCCCGCTATTCCGCCTGCTGTGTCTCTGCCATTGTTCCTCGTCTAAAATATGCAAACGCCAAAACCGGGAAAAGGAAAAAAAAATTACATCAAGAAGAGTCAAGCAGAGAGGAAGAAGACTGCCCTCTATCCAAGAAACAACCGCAATAGAAAATCAAAAGTCAAGAAAGCGTCAGGACGTGCATATGTGAGCCCCTTTGTGCAGGGAAGTATATCGTACAGTGAGATGGGTATCGACAATCGAAAAGGCGTTCAGGCTGTTAGCTGTGAAACATGCGGAGCACCCCATAGTGCCACCCTCTCAGATGTCCCACAAGAGGGCCAAAGTAGACCAGGAGAGATTACGGTGCCCGTCCGCCGCTCAGCGCGCCTAGACGAGCTGTCTCGAGGTGACTTCGGGACCGGAGATGGGGATTGCCGGGGCTCGCGCCTCATGCCGGCCGTGTAAATTCCAGAAGCGTCAATCGTCCGTAAACTCCGCGTGAAACCGTTAACCCATATCACGTACTCCTTCTCCTCGTCGGGATCGCATCCAGTTCGCTGTCCATGGAGAGGCAAGTCAAACCTCGGTCCCGTGTTGTGTCGTCACAATTCCAAGGCGATGTCGACGCTTCAGCTAATGACCACTCTGGCTCCTTCCTTGCCCAATACGCCACGCTCCCTGGGCTTGGGGCTGTTGGTTCTCCCCTTCTTGCTCTTCAAAAAGCCAAACATGCCGCCTGACGATTCGCTCTTCGCCTCAGCCGCGGTGTTGGCATCCTTGGGAAGCGTTGCGTCCTGTCGAGCCAGCTCAGACCAACTACCTCCTCCATCCAGCGTCAACTGCACTCCGCCTGTCGGGCTTGTGACTCGCTTGCTCATGGGCGGTGATCGAGGGACGTATTGCACTTGTCCGGGGTATGCAGACGATTGCGCTTGAGGGGGCGCCCGTCGATCGGCGCTGACGGTGGCGTCCACAGGGGGTGCTGGGTAGGTCAATGGCGGCTCGTTCGTCGAGGGCATCTGGGTAGCTTCGTCTGTCGTAATCGCTTGAGGCTCCCCCGTCGCTGCATCTCCGTCCTCGCCCTGAGCGGCAGTGATCCTATGGCGAGTCAGCACGCCATTTTGTGCAACGTGGGTAAGCGCATTTCAACTTACTTGGAGTAGGCCGCAAGGGTGTAGTCAAACGGACGGAAATCTGTCTCAATCATCCGGTACAGCTCGTCTTCACGAATCTCCTGATCGGTGGCATCCTCCTTTAGCCGTTCTCTAGGCTTCTGTCGCCTTGCGCGTGCCTCCAGAGGTGCCTCTTCGAGCAGCAGCTCCTCCAAGTCGTAGGTTGCGTCGAAGTTGGTCTTGTCCGATGAGGGAACAAAGATGGGCTCAATGCGCTTTTGCTCGAGCAGGTCGAAATCAATGGTCTTGAAGAAGTCGTTGTAGATGAAGCTCTCCCAGGTTGAACCGAGTCGGTTGTTGGGGTCCCGTTCAAGCGCGGCACGAATGGCGTAGAGGCACGTCAACGAGACGGGGGGTTGCGTGACAGGGTACTTTGGCTGAGAGAACTGAACCTGCTGGCTAAGCGAAGATTCGCTGTTGCCCTCGAAAGGTCGCTGGTCTGGGTAAGCCATGTGTGTCTGTAGTTGCGAAGAGAGTTGCGTCTTACCTTGTTGTAAATGCACTCGTAAAACAAGACACCAAGTGACCACCAATCCGCACGAATGTCGTATCCCTTGCCCGAATAAACCTCGGGAGCAAGGTAAGCCAATGTCCCGGACTTGCTCGTCATGACACGTCCCGGAACAATGTCAGAAGCCACATTCTATATAGCCAAAGTCAGCTTATCAGCCCATTCAAATCTTGTCGCGGGTTGTGTAGGACCTACGAAATCGGTCAAATGGACATGCCCCTCGGCGTCGAGCAGGACATTGTCCGGCTTGACGTCTCTGTGAATGATGTTCTGGGAATGGACATAGCGGAGGGCGCAGCCCAATTCAGCAATCCAGAAACGGACAGCCTCCTCGGTAAACGTCTTTCTGGAGATGTGGAATCGCAAGTCGCCGCCGCTCATCAGATCGACGACGAGATACCTGGAGAATATGCCGTCAGCATAGGTTTCCATCAAACTGGGCGGTGTAACTTGAGTTGGGAGGGGGGCTCACATGTATTCGATATCCTGGAAGCTGTACCGCAAGTTACAGATGAAGGGGTGGTTAACGTGCTCCAGCATTCGTCGCTCGCGGATGATGTTTCGGACGCTCTCGGACTTGACAACTGTTGAATAGAACGTTAGCTGCGCTGTTCATACATGCTCTACTCTTCTGGCGCGACTGCAGGTCAAGCAAGAGCTTGCTGCAGAGCGTACAAGAATGACACAGGACAGGGCGTACGTACCTTCATCTTTCCGAATGTATTTCAGCGCAAACGTCAGGTTGGTATCTTTGCGCTCGACAATGCGGACCTTGCCGAAGGCGCCTCGGCCTACCACTCGCAGCAAGCGGAAGTGGTTGAGGTTGGCTGCTGTTCGGTCAGCTCAAGCCTTCTGGAAGCGCGGCTTTGGAGGAGGCAAGGGGAAATGCAGTCCTCATCGCTGCACGACGCGCCAGAACACGTGGGGGAGAGGGAGCGAGGGAGGGATGCTGGAGGCCATGATTCGCTGGGGGGAGCTTCTTCTGCACGCACCTTCGCCGGTCAGGTCGACGGGCTTTCCCTGGCCGTTGCCCATGATGAATTGGCTGGGGAGGATCGGAGGACAAGTGCAGCTTGGTTATCGTCAACGACGGCAAAGGCTCATGCTGCTCGCGGGTCTGGCAGGAGATGGCGGGTTTGGCTGCTTCGATTCTTCTTTTCTCGCGGGCGGTCCAGTGGGGGGTCCTGCTTTAGGAGCAAAGGAGAAGAAAAAGGATAAGGAAAGGTCGCAGATGGGCGGGCTAGCAGGTGTGGAGAGGCGGCGAATGGACCGGATTGCAGTAATAACGGCGAGAGTCGAGCGATGGAGTTCTGGGTTCTGGGGCCCAATGCCGGCTCGTATCTGTAGTTCGGGGGGCCTGGGTTATCAGATATCGCCCGGCCGTCGGTGTCCTGCCGCAGTAATGCAGCACGGGAATCGCGTAGTGCTGATGAGGCTGTCGACGATGCTGTCGATGATGCTGAGGATGTCGTCGACGATGTTTCTCGACGGGGCCGGCGAGGGACGACTGATTGCGGGATGGAAAGCGAGACGGGAGGCAGTCCAAGGAAAAGAGGATGCGTCCCCATGTAAGAGGAAGAAGGGCAAGTCAGGGAGGATAACGAGCTTGCAAGGATGGAGGGCGATGATCAATGCTCGCCCCAGACTAGCCAGTGCACCGAGAAGATGCGGGAGATTTGATGGAACGGGGGGGGGCGAGAGTCGCAGCACTGGAGAGGCTGCCCTGGAGGTTTAGTGGCCGAGGCGCCCTGTATTAGTGGAGCGCTGCGCCGGTAGTAGCAGCGTAGCAGCGACCAGCAGCGCGGCCGAGGCGGCAAATGCAGCTGATGGGGGATGGGGGGGCGCCTGGAGGCTGGAGCTCCAGCGGGCTCAATGCA